TGGTCACTTAGTATCTCACTTCCTTTCTCATAGTATAACACTCTTCTTTTCATAGGTCACACTTTTGGGTCACAAGATATTTGGGTCACATAGTTGATATAGTTATCAACTTGGGGTCTCATAGTTAAGATGAAGGTTAGCGGAGGGCTGCACCAGTTTAAATGATTGCATTCATTGTCATAAAAATCAAAAATTATTATCTGCAAAAAGGCATACCATAACATAATGAAATAAGATAAATATAATAAATATAAAATGTAATAAAATTATTTGAAAAATATCAGAATAATCTTAACTATCAAAATTATCTTCTTTCTCCTGCTGCAGGAGGAATTTTTCTACTCGGGTTGCAATAATTATTTAGATCAAGGATGGCATTTATCCGACATTACATAAACTGATTATTTATTAATCACAATTACCGGAGACAAGGTGGTTATAAGGTCTTTACCATCTTGGATTTTACGTCAAATTTACATGTTTTCGCAATAATTTTTGTACTTAACCACCATTTCATAACTGTCGTTGAGCAACCGACAAATTTTAGGATTTACAGCTACTAATGTTCTACTCCCTAGCCCTGTAATTTTGAACACAATCTAGGAGACAAGGGAACTCCTGGATTGGGAGAAATTTGCCTTCTTAGGGGACTTTTTGATGCAACTAATCCGCATTTGCGTTACATGGAGAGGAAAGGCACGAAAACCTTTCACGGTTAGCCTGACTGCAAGAGGACTCTAACCCATGATCCGTCTACCACGAAGGATATTTTACGTCAAATTTAATTTATTTAATTACTTTAATTTAATTTTTTAATCCTTCTCTTTAAATTTAATTATTATATTAAAAAGGTTTATACATTTTCTAGAATACTTATTGTAACTCTTTCATTCGTGCTTTCTGCTCCAGTATGAAGGCAACTATACTTTATTTGGCTATTAACAACTCTTTTGGACATTAAATTCTACTATAATCGTCTTTTAAACTTTTTTAATTAGGCTCTCTTCTAATTTTTTATAATATTTATAATAACTCTTTTATTTGTGTTTTCTGCTTCAATACGAAGACAACTATACTTTATTTGGATATTAACCATTCTTTAGGACATTAAATTCTATTATAATATTCTTTTTAATTTTTTTAATTGCGCATTCTCTTCTAATACAAAGGTAACCCAACATTTTACACTTGGATATTAACTACTCCTTTAGTGATTTCATTATATTGTAATCTTTTTTTATTTAATTAATTAATATTATTAAATTAAAAAGGTTATAAGTTTCATATAATATTTTTTCTAGCTCTTTTATTTGTGTTTTCTGCTCCAGTACGAAGACAACTATACTTTACTTGGATATTAACAATTTTTTTTGTCATTAAACTCCAAACAGACAACTATACTTTATTTGGATATTAACAATTTGTTTGGTCATTAAATTCCAAAAAAAGATTATTAAATCTTCCAAAATATTTTATGTAATTCTTTTATTTGAGCTTTCTGATCGAGTACAAAGCCATTACACTTTAATTGGATATTAACCTCTCTTTCGGACATTAAGTTCTATTACAATCTTCTTTTTAACTTAATTAATACTATTAAATTAAAAAAATTTCTATAATATTTATTCTAACTCTTTTATTTGCGCTTTCTGCACCAGTACGAAGATGACTATACTTTATTTGGATACTTACTACGCTTTTGGCCATTAAATTCTATTATAATCTTCTTTTTTAACTTTTTTAATTGAGCTTTCTCCTCCAACACAAAGGTAACCTGACATTTTATACTTATATATTAACTATTCTTTTGTTTATGATGTGTTATTATATAACGAGTAATTGCGAACATAAAACAATTCACTACTATACTAGTAACAAATACATTATTTTAATGCTTGGAATTCTCAAATTGTTTATACTTAATGTAATTAGTTTCTCTTAATTCTTATGCTCAATGTAGTTATTTTTCTCTCTCCCGGGTCTTTCAAATGAACTTGCTTGACAACTTATGTTAGCCTTGAAAAAAAATTACTTTCCTCTTTTCAAAAATACAATAGCATATTATTATGTCAAATAGATATAAGCAATAAAACATGACATTTAAAATAAAAATAAAAAAAAAGAAATGATTTTTTTTTCTTATGTTAAATAATGAAATACCTGTGCTAAACACGCTCGAAATATATTCATTTGCTAAATATTATTTTGTCAACTATTGTAACATGAGGTTTTCAAATATAATTTAATTAAAAGGGTATTATTAATCGTGTATTGTTCTGAGCTTAGATTACAAATTTTAGCAGTTAAAGAATTCTTTTGTCTCGTGTTATTCAGATATATTATCAGTATATTCTTTTCAGGTCTGGCATTCGATCTTTCGGATATCAAATATAAAATTACATAATTTTAATGATCAATAGAATATAGTCTTTACATGGTCTTTAACTAAATCACAAGCAGACTTGCTTGTAGTTATTAAGAGAAAAGAATTGAGAAAAATTTCCAAAATGTTCTTGGTTCCTCGAAAAAAAATCACAAAATAGAGAAATTCACAAAATGGAAGTTCGTTAAATTGAAGTCCGATAGTATTTCATTTTATAACCGACGTTGAGCAACCGATTCAATTCTGAGTTTATGACAATCAATAATGTAACACTTAAACTCAATAATGTTATTTTGAACTCTCTCCAGATGGCATGAGTACTCCTGGATCAAGCATTGGGATAAACTAGCCTTTTTCTTAGATGAAACTAACTCGAATTACACGGAGAGAAAAACCACGGAAGTTTCCCATGACTTGGTTGATGGCAAGGGGACTCTAACTCATGATCCGACTACCACTGATGTTATTTTACGTCAGCACTGTGGTCGGGGAGAGCCGGTTGCGGAATTCGTATCAACCAGCCATCGCTGCGATTCGAACCCGTTTCACCTCATTGAAGGGCAAACGCTCCATCCGTGAGCCCTCACGGCTCTAAAATGATTCTTATTGTAAAATTTAAATTAAACTAACTAATCAAAGCTTACCACTACTGAACATTCTATTACGAAACCAGAGGTCGTTGCTTCGTATTCCGCAGGCCACCATCAAGCAACTCTCCCACACATTTCTCCGTCGTTGTTTCGTATTCCGCAGGCCATCAACAAGCAACTCTCCCATACATTTCTCCGTCGTTGTTTCGTATTCCGCAGGCCATTAAGGCTCGATTATTATTGGTTTCGTAGTTATTTTGATTTATATTTGTTCAATTATGAGAAACCATTTTTTACAGTGTACCCAACAATGAAAATTTTTGAGGTCTTTTAATTTATTACTTTTTAAATCTGGCGTCGTTATCTATGTATATCATCAAGACACAAAAAATATTGCGAAGCAATAGTGGGGGTTAGTGAGTGAAGCACTTTTGTGTATATTAATTAAATTAATTTATATTTGTGTATTCAGTATTGCGTAAATTAAGGAAATGTCACCAAATATAATATTTGGATATCAATTTAAATTTTTGGATATTCTAAATTTAAATATTTTATGCATTTGTTTTGGTTAATAAGTTATTAATACAAGGATTTAAATATATATAAAAAGAGATTATAGTATAAAAAAGGTGTTATGGGGAAATATGGAGCCTATTATGTTATCTATCTAAAAAGATATTTTACGTCAGCACTGTGATTGTTGCGAGCCGGGAGCATAATTCGTTGCAATCAGCAACAGAACGTATTCTACCCTGGTTAAAATCGCTGGGAGGTGAATACTCTATTTTTTAAGCCCCAGTCATTCTATATCTTTAATTTTTTTTAATCGACTCTTAAGAAATAAAATAATAATGTTGATTAAACTGAGTGGAGTGCGTTGTGAGCGAAGCCTCTTAGTAAAATAAAAGTAAAAAAAATTTAAAAAAAAGAGAGAGGAGAGAAAAAAGCGAAAATTATGTACTACAATGGGATTGATAATTACATTGAAAAAGCAAAGTAATAATTTATTATTTTCAAATTCAGATATTTAGGTAAAAAATAATCTGAAATTTATTTATATTTCAATTAGAAAAATTAAAAAATAAGAAGCTGTAACCAAGAAACGAAACTTTCATAGCACTATTTTTGTAAGTAATAACCACTTCCTTAATAAGATGTACTTACTATGTGAGGATTCCTTAAAAATACATTTCCTTGCTATGCAAGAATATTATTTATTTCGTTTGTTTCTTCATCTGTTCGTTTTGAGCTAAATCCCTCTTGTAACACAGCTTGATTTCAATGTTCTTTGAGTACGTTATGTTATTTGTGTTTGAGCCAGTGTAGCCGCTTCCAGCCACAATGATACTATTAACCCAATTCAATCCAAACTATTGAGTTGTTATTTTAATTAGACGTTCAAAGTACTCTTTATTCTACATACTGTTAGAACCCAAATATCGTTCAAATTTGCTGCCAATTTAAAATAGTGTTAAATTGAACCATAATATTTCACTAAAGCTAGATTACACAACATTATGGTTCAACATGTTCGGGAAGATGGGTAAATATAGCAATTTAGTTTTTCAGCAAATTTGCACTGTATTAGGCTTCAGGATACCAATATTATCATTGAACTTCAAACCATTTTTTTTTCTGAGAGAGCAGTTTTTTAAAGAGTTCATCGGGTGCAAGAAATATTTCTTAATAAATCAAAGAAATATTTTCTTAAATTTTATATAAAATAAAGTGAAAAATCATATTTTACATAAATAAAAGAAATTTCTCTAGAAACTACTTATAACCATGAAATTAGCCATTTTATTCAACAAGAATTGAAACTTCAAGAATTGAAATTTCCTCTTCAAGAATTGAACAAGATCATCTTCAAGAATTGAAAACTTCAAGAATTGAATTCAAGAATTGAAACTTCAAGAATTAAACGAGAATTGAAACTTATAATTGAAACTTCAGTATAAAAGTGAAAATATAGTTTTAAGAATAATTTTAAAAATCGTTCTAAGACAATCGAATGAAAACTTTAACATCCGGACTCTTAACATTCTTATCATCCGGGTTTTAGTTTATGCAAATATCGCACCAGGAAATGACGAACAAATAAATTTTGGCGTGTAGAATTCTAAACTTTATTTATAAATCCTTTTAAAGCCATTTGTAAACATTGCCGTAGCAACACAGCTGAGTCCAGGCATGTAGTCGCGTCATAATGCAATTGTGAATCAATTATACTAACAATTTATTGAAAAAATTAGATGTTTTATTCGTATTATTATATGAACTAAACAAAATTCAAAAGTTTCTAAGGGTTTTTAAATTTTTTTTTTAAAACAAATAGGAAACACTCAGACGAATTGTTTTTCCTAATAAGCTCAACCTACTAATATGGTCAATCAAATTTTGTTTTGTTCTTTATTACTGACAACAGTTTTAGTTACGGCAGAACATGAAGAATGGCTGCATTGCAGTGTTCTGGACAGTGAAAACAAATATCAAGTTTGTTGGTTGACAACAGTGTCCGGCGCTGGTCAAGCAGAGATTGTGTTTGGTGTTGACGTTCAAACTCATGGTTATGTTGGATTTGGCTTGTCTTATAATGGTGGCATGGCAGGTAGTGATATTATTACCGGTTGGATTAAAGATGGAAAAATTTATTGCCAGGTAAATTTAAGATTTGAAATTTAACTTTTCTTGGTAAATTTATTTATTTTTGCATGAAACTGCTAAAATATATTAGCAGTTTGCTCGACTAGGAGGAGTTTAGCTTGTGATGTTTTTCAAGGTCACGTAATTTTTCCTTCTGAAATTTATTGGGCAATACATATAAGTAATTGCACGTATAGTTATGAACTTATTTTTTCAGAAAACTTCATTATTTTCTTATACTTTGTACCTTTCCTATGAGTATAGTATTTAAGAAAGGTGTATTGTTTATATAACTATGGTAACTTTGAGCCGTAGAGCGATTTCACATTTTATTCCGCCTTAAGAAATTCAAGTAAATTGTTATTTCTGACAAAAAAGTAATGATGTATGTACTTATGCTTGAAATATATTTCCGCCAAATGTGGAAAGGTAAGAATATCTTAGAGATGGCTAGTAAATTCTATTAATAGTTAATCAATGCATAACGAGTTAGCATATTTATTGCGGTTTATTTAATGACACTCACAAGCATTGCCTACGATTCTTAAGAAGTTTTGTCTTATTGTGACGCAATTCGTTGAAAAGTCTCGTGTGAAAAGTCCTTGGTTCGAATCAGTTGCGCATTGAAGGTGTCAATTGGGGTCAGGTATAAAGGAGATGGGTAAAGATTTCACATTTGAATTTCCGCTGAAGTTCGTTTGTTGCTTCGGTTGTGGGCTGTTGTGGAAAACGAATGCCACGAGAAAAAGTTCGAACGTTTAGATTTCAATGATTTTCTGAGATTTGTCATCGTTTTTAAATAACGCTCATTATTGAACCTTGCTCCCCATCCTTAGAAACTTGATAAGAAGTTGTCCTATGCTATGCTCAATTGACTGCGCGTTACTTTCAGAACCGGAATAAAAGAACTCGTTTACTATACTTTTATCATTTCTTTTATTACAATTAGTCCCAAATTAGATAGATCGTAAAGTCAAGCATTACTGGCAGCAGTCAGTAAACGGGTGAATGACCTCGTTGATCAGCCTGTGAAGGAACCGAGGGTGTGTGATATTGGTTCTTGTTAAACTATTCCACCGTAAAGTGCTCGACTTCGCTCGTAGGGGTAAAAAAACGGGAGAGAATATCAAAGACAGAATATCTTCTCTGCAAAATTGTGACAACATGCCTTCGGATTATCCTCAGAGATTGTGGTCCTTGTTAAACTGTTCTACCGTAAAGTGCTCGATTTCGCGCGCAGGTCATTGGGCTGCCGAAGCAGGGGTACCATCCCCTCTGCAGAGGATCAAAATTGTAATGGTATGTCTTTGGGTCATCCTAAGGGATGTTTCCTCTGGCCATCGCCAATAGCTCATTGTGCAGCTCCTGTGCAACGTAAGAAAACTACAACTACAACATCTCTTTTCCTATGTAATTTAAAAAAATTATTACAATAAAATAGATAAAATAATAGTATTTTACTAAAATATTTTGATAGGAGAGAGCAAATCCACTCAACAACTGAACCCACAAGTGCACTTGTTCATGCATGTCACAGTTCGGCTGGCTTCAAGCTCAACATATTATACTGTAATTTTTACATTTTTAAGAAAATCAATTCAATATTTTGGTACATTAATTTTAAAAAGATAAACTATAGAAAAAGAATTTTTTTAAATGTTTTGAAAAATTTACCGTGTTGTTCCTCTTTAATTCTTACAACCTGTATATTATAAATATGAGGTAAGAACTCAACCTTTTATCTTCCAGCAATTAACTTCTATATCATTCTATAATAAATAAGGAATTGCATGTTATTGTTTTGTATTTAATAAGGGTAAATAAATTGCACTTATATAGCACGCTGACTGCTGCACGCGTTCACAGTGAAATCTCCTTCAGGAAACGATTACCATTCTGTGAAGCGTATTCTGCTAAGTACTACCTAAGATATTTTAATAATGCGAGTCTCTGGTAGTCACAAGAATAATATATCGCTCTGTTTGTTTTCATGGTATCATGTCGGTTTATGTGTATCCGTTGCTTCGCATCTGTTTCTCATCCCGCCACTTTGCACCTTTAGTTTGAATCTTTGCCAAGTAAAGAAGAGTATAACATAAAATCTTTACCCTAATTAGTTGAAATTCCGTAACGAAAATTGTAAAACTTATTTCTTAGTGAGTAAAATAGCAGTGAACACGAAAACTTTTAGGAGTCTCATAATAATTTTCTTATTAAATCATTTTCGTATTACTTTTATTACAATTCAATAGTTTTGCTACTTTCTGTGAAATATTTTTTTCAAATACTTACGAATACCCATCTCAAGTAGTCAAATAAGCGTCACCCCAATACTGGTGACGAGGCCAGATCAGAAACTTTGCTGTCACCCGCATATGGGTGACGCGGCAGTCAGCATGTTAAACTGTAAAAGCATTTGAGATTTATATATATATTTTTTTCTTCTTGTATGCATGCATTAAATATAGCTGAACTAATAGCAATGGCTTGTGTGTAATTCTGCAAAATTTTATGCTTAAATATCTTTTATGAATTAAAATTTGAAGTTATTTTTAGGACAGACATGGTATAGGAAATACTTTACCAATAATTGATATAAGCATGGACTGGGAATGTTTAAGCGGAAGTGAGAATGATACACACACCTCACTTGTTTTCCGGCGGAAGTTGGACACTTGTGATGAAGAGGACCTAAAAATTGACGTAAGTTAAATTAGATTAAAATTAGAAACAATATTAAATTATTTTCAATAATTTATTTTTTCGAGCATAAAAATTTAAAAAATCTAATTGTTTTCTTCTTCTTTTTATTTAGTTTCATATAATAGTTAATCCAATTGCATTCTAAAACAAAATTAATTTATTCAGGCTTTTGTCATTTATTCAGAAAAATTAAAAACTTAAATCTTTCAAAAAGATAAGAACTTACAATGATTACAGAACAACTACGAAGTTTTAGGTGTAATTTTGAAAAAAATAATCCACTAATCAAGGGGAATTTTTAGCTATTCAATTTTGTTGCTGGGCAACAGAAAGCAAATTGATAGCAAAATTTTCTTTCAATACATTATTTTCCCTATGATTGGGGGCCTCCCTGGCAGAGCGGTATCGCCCGCCAAACAATGTGCAAAGCGTAGAGGTAGCGGGTTCGAATCCCGTTGTTACCCTGGATGTATCTTCGTGCTGTCCATCCTATTGTGCTATCTGTCCTTCTATTTGGCAAATGTTTATAAGCCTAAATTGAGCACTCAAGCCTGCAAATGTATGTAATTACAATAAACCGTATGGTTGCTAGACAACGAAATTGCATGAGAAGAAATTTCTCCCAAACACAAATAACAACAGAAATGGTAAACAGATGTCTGTATTCAAGTTTTCGGTGTGATCGACTGTAAATACAGAACATTGAGTTATTTTATGTATTTATTATTATTTTTTAAATATTTTTAGATGAATTTTATTTTTCAAAATTACTAACATATTGTAGGTTTCACGACATTTTTACCGACTTGGAGACTATTATGGAAACAAAATGATTGTTCTCGAAACTTCGAGTTTCAAAGCAATAGGACCCATATTTACGGAGTTATACGAGAATCGACTAAAACCATGTCAAAAGTTCTGATGTTTTGTATTTCAAGCCTACATAAAAGGGAGCTTGAATCCCAAGGTAGAGTCTGCTTGTGACTATAGCAGTGTTCTGACCCGAGTTAATTCATTGACCCGCTTCAGGTTGTGAAGCCTGTGTTTTATTGTACTACGTTGTTATTTGAGCTGTAAATAAGTGCTAGAAATGAGTATATTTTCTGGAAGTTCCTGCTAAAAAAATTTAAGTTTTACGGACTGTTACATTCATCTCCAATCAAAACGAACCCCTCTGCTCGGTAAAATACAATGTTACAGGCTTCTTTACTTGAAACATTTAAGAGATACATCAGAAACATTTAATACTTTATTTAGGGTTGCAAGAAAGCGTAAAATTTTTATATTCCAGTCAGTAAATAAGAATACTTTTGAGACTTTAAAAAATGTTTTTACACAGTTGAAATGATACAGAAGGAACGTAGTAAATACATTTTCAAGATGAAATGCGTTATAATGGTAGTAGCATTCATACCAGTGCTTACTTTACACGCTTATTTGAACTATTGGTTCTCTCAGAAACTTTAATTACTTACAGTTACATTTATTTTGCAGTGCTTTTTTCTTTTTAAACTGTGAAACATAATTTTTTTTTTGTTTCTTTTCGTTTTCTGCTTTCGCATCACTTCTAGCTTTTAGCCCGAGTATTATTTAATGAATATAAATGAATTTCAGGACAGTACTATTCGGTTAATTTATGCCTACTCGGATATTGATCCGTTGGATGAAAATGATCTTGATTATCACATGAAAAATAGAGGAGCCAAAAGTGTTCTTTTGTTGCAACCCAAAAGAAATGCTAAACTATTTATAGATAAGTCAGAACTATCACACTGGGATGTCCTTTCACCAAATGTGAGTAATCATTTGATGATTTTCTTGGTTTTTTTTAACGAAGTAATCCTTATGTTTTTTGCTGAATAATTCATAGAAACATTAGTTATACTGGGGAACAAATTATTTTGCTTTTTTTTGTTGCATGAGATTTTTTTTATCAGATTTGAGATACTTTCGAATTGCTGATTTCAAATCTTCACTCTATTTCTCTCTCCAAGCAACATTTTTTTTTCTTGCAAATTATCTTTTTAGTCTAACTTTTGCCGAAATGTGCAAGTTTAAAAACGTTTTATATAACAGGGGTTCGCATAAATGTTGCGACAAACTTTTTTGGGAGTTAGAGCACATCGTTAGGATTAAAACTGCACAGGAAACTTTGCCCGGAAATGTCATAATGCTCCTCTAGAGACGCTTTCCTATTATAAACTGTTTTATTATGTGCTTCCGAAAAGGTCAAAATAGAGAAGCGCCTTTAATTTGTGTAAGATGATATTTTCAGGGCATGGTTTCCTATTCTGTTTTAAACCTGATGAAGTTCCGAAACTCTCTGAAAGTTTGTCTCAGCTTTTACTCGACCCTCTGTTATATATAATAAGTTTAAACAGTTTAAAAAAGATTAAAAGTTATATAAAAAGTTAAAAAATGAAGTAAAATATGACATTTAAAATAAATCTGTAGATTTAGGAGCGAAAGTAATTTCAGATTTAAAATACCCACGTCCGAACGAGGCAAGATTAAATATTTGTACTTGTATAAACGCAGCAAAAATTTTTTCCTCAGTGTTAACTATTAAGTTTTTTTTAATGCAAACGTTTATTTATTTGGAATATTGATTATAATATTTGTGTTATTTAATTGGATATCTTAGCGAGTTTTTTAATTTAAAAATATGAATGAGATAAAGATGGAGACACCAGCGGTATAAAAGGTAACCAAGATGCTTAAAAAGACATTATATGGTTTAAGTTTTTTTTTTTTTCAAAAAAGGAAACATCGAAGTGTTGTTCTTTAGGCTTAGCAAAAGTAAAATCGGTTATGAGCTTCTTTTCTTACTGCAAAATATTAACTATCACAGAACAACGAAAAGCACACAAAAAAATTGTAAAACACATTGAATACATTGCAACTTGACAGTTAGATTAGCAATAAGAGAAATAATAACTAATAAGAAAGATATGAGATAAAAAAAAATTAAGAAAAACTATAATTATCCTTTCTTTGAGTCTTTCTTCTCGATTTTCATAATTTAATTATTTTATTATAACGGAATATTAATTTTTATCATTCTACAAATATGTGCGCTTGTCCAAGACAAAAAAGCTATCTGGAATGGAACTTTTGTTTGACATCGATTGATTCCTCTAATAAAGTAGTAACTCTTGTACTTTCTTCTTCAATGGATTGGAAGGGCTCTGGCCTTTTCCAGAAGTTTCTCCAGGTAGTTTTACATTTGGCGACAACTTTCCAGTTTTTCTTGAGAATATTTCGTTCATTCTCAACACAGTTGATCCATCTTAGCACCGGTCAACCCCGAGGACTTTCGTAGAGTTACTACTCACTTTGCTACTACTCATTATTAAATTTTACAAAATTTTAATAATGAGTAAAAACAATCTAGCAAAATACAAGAAATACCCAGAAAGTAAATTTCCCTCTAAAATGAATTTTAGGGGGAAAACGAAACAAAACACAATTACCTAAAGAAACACTTATTGCAAAAGATGCAGTAATATTTTAGCAACATTTTAACGTAGAAACCAATGGAACTGTAATACATCGTGGCACAAGTGTTACAGTTCCAATGGTTCAGTAGCATAGAGAAGTCTGTCTCTGAGCAATAGAGCCAGTGTGTCAGAGCTGTCTGTATATTTGAGAAAAAATAATACCAAGACGAGAAATTCTTCATGTCCAAGAACTCTGGGAACAATCTTGGGACTATAGGGTGAATGGTCAAACACCTCCTTGCGAAATTTTTTATACAAATTTCTTTGTTGTTAAATTTCTCGTAAGTGGGTGAAAGTTGTGTGAAATGTTTGACCAGTTGCAATAAATCTTTTCCAGGTTACTTTGTTTAGTTTCTTATTATGGGCTCCATGACTTTCTAGGTAACCCTTATAAAAATGACTTTTTCTAAGACAAATTTATTCCAACTGATCCTTTTATAATGAGAACAAATAATTATTATTTTAATTATTAATTATTCACGTGATTAAATTAAATATATCTTTTCTTTCTTACTCCAGTTTACCATTTCTTCCGAATTCAACACACTGTATTGGTGTAAGATTTACAGAGCTCCAGCGCTACCAGTTAAGCACCATATTGTTTTGGTACGTAATTTAACGAATTTTTTCCTAAATTTGTAAACTTTTCAAGCTATATATTTATTTGTAATTATTTTGAATGGAAAAAAATCAGCAATGCTGCCCTTTTTATTAATAATTGTTTCATCATAATAAGAGTGCAAATTCTTATTTATTAAATTAATCAATTTATATAAAAATAACCTTTTAATTTGTGTTAAAGTATATAAATATTACAATAACGACTAATATCCTTTTTAAAAATTTGTTCGTTTCTGTTCTATTTACTTTTTGTATTCAATATACTTGTAGCATTGTAATCGAATTATATATGTCCATCTGTTGCTAGGTGGTCGTGTGGTCAGCGTGCCTGACTTTAAAGCCAATGGTTGTATGTTCGAATCTTGCTCAGGGCATGGATGCTTCTGTGTTGTTATCTGTTGTGTAATCTGCAATGTGGCCCACCCTACAAACGGGTGTCTGTATCAGCGTGGCGTGGGTAATGTCGCTCGCCACCGGGTGACATTAAAGAATAGCACTGTCTGCATCTTCCGAGGAGAAAAACGAGTGTTCATTACTTTCATTGATTATTCCGTTAATATATACTAGGAGGCTTCGCCCCCTGATCGCTGGCGCTCGCCAACCACCGGAACTGCTTTCGCAGTTCATTTCGGATTGCTTCGCAATCCGATTATCGCTTTGCTCGCTCATTGGATACGTTCTTAACGTCTAGCTTTTGTATACTTTTTTGAACACTGAAGTTCCAAAAACTTATCACTGTAGAAAATTCTAAGCCTGTGCATTTCAATATTAATTTGAAATTGCAAACAGTTCACATATTTNACTATTCATGTTAGTCTGCTAATTCTAGCTGCTGTGCCTTGAAAATTAATAAGGAGAATTTTCAAAATTATTTTAATCTTTAGCAGATCAACAATAGTGTAAATCATGGAAAGAAATTGACATTATGCTTCTCCAACTGTGGTAAAGAAAAATTTAGTCATTCAAAATAAACGTAGGCTTGACTAAATATTCGATTAAATGGAATTTTAATTTCTTATTTAATTTTTGTTATTTCATATTGGTATTTTTTTACTTATTTCTTAATTGGTCTTCAAAAAAAAAATGTTTTTTTTTAAACTTTACAATTGATTTGTCGGCTAGTATAATCACAAAGAGTTTGTATTTTAATCTTTAAGAGCCATTATTTTGAATAACAGACAGAATTTAAAATTTTGACAACTGTATTTTTCGATTGGCTTCATTTCTAGTAATATTGAAGGTAGGCCATGAAAAATGAATATTGTGCAATTTTAAGCTCTTAAAATTTTCTACAGGGAATGAAATTTTCTACAGGGGAAGACAGCAAAAAATCCCAGAGTATATGCAAAAATTATTTTTGAGTTAGTTCAACCATAATATTGGTCAAATATAGAGCTAACTTGAACCGTATTATCGCACATATCAAATTTCATTCCTCGATATTAGGGTATAATTCGAACAGAAAAATTATTCAATTTTACATCTTGTACAGTTTTTAGAAAATTCTCGCTGTATTGTGGTTCATAGCAAGTTCGAAATTTAACCTTCTTTTGGGAAAGTGTATCTCTCCAACTATAAAAAAACTAAAGTTTACATTATTTGTAACAGTAGCGAAAAAATTTTATTGTTTTTTAAGGTTTTTATAAAATTACTTTTGCACAGTAAGCAACAATTTACAAACCAGTGTTAAACTTCAATAATTTAACATGTTCTGCTATTGTTTCTTAACTAGGTAGAACCGCTTATTCAAAAAGGACATGAACCGTATGTTCACCATCTATTGCTGTATGAATGTGTGGGAGCAAATCCTGAAGAATACGATCCTCATTTGGACAAAACAGGACATCAGTGTTATCGACCGAATATGCCAGATGTTATGTCCAGATGTGAAGGAATAACGCTTGCTTGGGCGATTGGGGGAGAGGTAACTTTTTAGCCTGTGATAGAAAATTTTTTTAGTAAAATTTAAAGTTCTTTGTAGAACTTAACTTTTTGAATCTTTTATTTTATTTTAATATATATTTTTTCAAAATTAGGATCTCTTACTTCCGGATCATGTAGGTCTTCCTCTTGAATCTGGCATTTCCAGATATTATATGTTGGAAATTCACTATGATAATCCATTTCGTCATGATGGTATGTATATTGATTTCATCAAAAAATAGTCAATTTCGGAATAATTTGGCTTTTCTGTACTAGTTTTATTAATTGAACAATGCATTTAATATGTTTGAGTTATAAGCTTCTCCTAAAAATGTGCGTCTAAAATTGTTTGAAACAAGTTTAATAGCAATTTTTCACACTAAAATTAAAGTCAATTTTTCTCTATTTTACTTTGTCGGTGAAGAAACTCGTATTTGCAGTCATAGATAATGGTTTTGCATTAAAAACGCCACCGATCTCCTTCCAAGTCATATGAAATCCTATTTGCTTGCTTCACATTTAATTGAAAATACTTCAATAAACCAGTTTTGTAACATTGTATACTCGCATTATTTCTGAGCAAATGGCACGAAGTTTGCTGCTTAGTTAACGTGAATACCTGTCATATTTGATGTTATTTTCTTAAAATCTCCTGTTAAAAAAATGCATATTGCCCTAACTAAAACGATTTAGCCACGAATTATTTCACAAATGAACATATTGTATTCTATAGAGTCAATCACGTACTAAAATCCCCTGCGATATTTAAGACTGTTAAGACACGCTTGAATGTTGATATTTTGATAACAGAAAATAACGGGCTTTAGTGGTTGACGACGACTTTACTCACAGAATTCGAGCGGCAAGAGATTGACTTGTTAATTTATCTGTTCAAAAAGTCTTCAAGAACTATGGTCTTCAAGAGTTCTGAAAATACTTCCATGGGTCAATGATCTTCAAAAGTTAAGTCATACGTAATTGTTAATAAAAATTAAAGACGCTACAGATTAAGATTGAATCAAACGTATTTTTATTATTCGTTTAAATATTGTTTAGAATTTTTAATTTTTTTTTTTTTACATACAGGAGTTTAAGTTGTCCTTAATAAATAAGATATGCAATAGTACTCATCCAAGCTAGCAGTATTTGCTATGGATTACAGAACAGCAATCCACTCAGATAAGAGTCGAATTAGAGTATCAGCATGCACTTATATCCATAGGGGAAAGAGAAAGAATGATACCAAAATTGCTCGATCTGATTTATAGATCGCGGCAAGTATTCAAAGCGGTGGTATTCCAGAGAACCTGAATTTGTGCACCCTATTGCACTACCGCGCACTGATTCTAGCTTCAAGATTTGCAGCCGTAAGCGTCTCAAAATATTTCAGATGTCCCTTAAAGAAAAGTTCACGGGGTTGAGATCTGGTGAACAAGGAGAGCAAGCCACAAGCCCACCGGAATTTTATTCTTTTCTGCCTTACAGAGTTCAATTCTCACAGTGTCTACTTTCCGTAGTAAATACAACCTATCTTGATGGGTAGTATTACCCTTTTATTCTGCAAAAAACAATTTTTCCTCACCTTATATTTATCAATAAATTCTTCAACAAACTTTGATTTCACATAAAGCGCTCACTAATTTTCTGCGTTGATATTTTACATTTCACGAATGGTTGAAAAGGCAAGTAAGACAAGTATAAAAGCTTAATACATTTCTTTCATGAAACCTTTTAGGATTAAAAATAATACAAATAAAGTAATAGAAGCATCCTATATCAGTACTACATTTTCATTTTAGGTATTGTCGATAATTCTGGATTTCGGATTTATTATACCAATAAATTACGAGAATATGATGCCGGTTCATTGATGTTTGGATCAACTGTATCAAGAAGGTTATTTATTCCTCCAAAGCAAAAGGAATACACAATATCTGGACACAGCAACCCTTTGTGCTTGGATCCGGTAAAACATTTATTTTTTGTTTACATTTTGCGAATTGTATACTGCAAATGATATCCTCTTATGTAAATCGTGACATTTTTCGATTCGGAGGCCAATCAGGTTCGACGCACACGTCTTACGTCGTTTGCAGTTATCCAATTAAATCTGATTTAAATCACATGACTAGGCATAATCTTCTGAAGCCGAAAGTATCCAATGGATACTTTTAAAAAACCTCATCACTAGGGACTTAACTCAGCCGTCAAGAGGGTGTGGACAGGAAAATGTTAATGATGTTTTTAAACATATTTGAATTTTATGAATAAATTGAGAGTTGTTATTTATTGCTTGACAGCATCTTTTCAAACATGTAAAACGCAAGGTCATTGCCTATTCGCAATTGGAAAAATAGTGCGTGTTATTTTAGAATCCCATAAGATCTCTTTTGGAAAATTAAATTCATATATTACTGCAGTCAACATTATTAAAAATATAGTCAAGTATGACTGTGACTTCTTTGTTAGAATTAAATTTTCGTTAAAAGCTTTTTTTTTCTTCTTCGTCCTCCAAATCTATTTTTGTCAGTTTAAACAAAAATAAAAGTAGTTTTTTAAAAAATTTAATCACACACAGTAGTACAGAAAAAAAATATCGTTAAATGTTAAAGAAAAAAAGCATCGAGAAAATTAAAACCAAACATATAACTAAATATCCAAAATGGCTTGGGAAAATTTTGGGATTTTTTATTTTATTTTATAAATAGCAATTAAAAAGCTGACATTGAGTTTACGACTCTCAACCCCGTAGCCTTATAATTTTGAACCCAACCCAGAAGACAAGGGAACTCCTAGATCAAGCAATGGGAAAAACTTTCCGTCGTGAATAACGTTTTGATCGAACTAGCCTGCATTTGAGTTACGTGTGGGGGAAAACCATGAGAACCTCTCACAGTTAGCTCGATGGAGAGGGGATTCTGACTCATGATCTGTCTACGACTGAGGATATTTTACGTCAGCACTGTGGTCGATGCGAGCTGGGAGCGGAATTCGTATCAATTTGCCACCGCCGTGATTTGAACCTCCGTCACCTCATTGGAAGGCGAACGCACTATTTCTTGAGATACCGCGGCTCTTATTCCAATCAATATGTAACACAGTGCCTAATGCTTTAGACGAAATTCGTATTGTTGAATAAATAAAGACAGTAAATTCCTAAATTCTAAAATGTTCCCTAGGTCTTATTGTCTTCGTGGGAAATGTATTTTCGGAACATTTCGCTAGAAGTGATTTCATCTTAAACGACGAAAATTTTGAGTATTATTTTTTTACAATGATCTTGTTGTTTTTCTGGTTTTTAATACTTTTTTCTTTATTTTAGTTTTTAATTTATTTAGTTTTTTCAATTTCAGTCAATGTCAGAAGAAGGAATCAAAATTTTGGGAATATTTCTACATGCTCATTTATTAGGTAAGTATACAATACCTTACAAATAAACATTTTTCATTTTTATCTAGATTTTAGTTGTCCTATTGGTGTACTAATTGAAAGTATAATTCTAAATCAAATAAAGACAGCAAAATCTTAAGAAAATTAAAAAAGGTAACGTTTTTATGAAATGAAACTCAAAATTTATGCTTTGTGTTAAGAGAAAAGATTTTGTATTATTTATTGTTTGATAGCACGTCATGTGAAAGCTCGACATTTCAGAAACAACACCGAACTTCAACCTTTAGCTGATGATAGAAATTATGATTTTAACTATCAAGTATGCAATATTATTTCCTTTATTTACTGTTTTTATACTTTTCTTATGAGTTTTACATTTAATATGTAAACAATTAAAGTGTACTGATTCGCTCTAAAGAATTGTAATATCTTTCACTTCTTTGTATTATTTGAAATCGATTGTGTATAAAATACATAAGTTATGTTTGAAAAAATAAAATTTATTTTTATATAAACATTAATGTTTTATTTAACATTGAATAATAGTTGAAATGCTTGAAATAATGTCAGAGAGAAGTAAAAAAAAGTAAATTTTTAACTAATTTCAAAATTTTTTAAATAATTTATAATTATGGCTTAAAGATTTATCCCTTTTTAGACATAATTTAAAATAAGAGTTTATCAAAAGACAAATTTATTTCCATGAGTATTATCGTTAAATAGTATATTTTGTCAAAGCATATTTATGAGTTTCTATAGCAACCAGGATTAAAAAATTTAAAAATTAAATTTGCAGATTGTTTTGCAATGCTAACCAAGCAGACGGATTATTCTGATAAATTTTATGCCAACAAAATTGAAACTCTGTCTGTGCAAAATATGTGCTAAAACAATAAAATTAAGATTTAGGGATAATTTTGAATAATATTTGGTTTGGATGCAATAATATATTTTCCAACAATAGACAACAATATAATAAGGGCTGATTATCGTAGCCAGAGGAGTAGCTACATTTTATATAATAAAACAGCTATTTAATTTAGAATTTACTCGAAAATTAAACCAGTAGAAACAGATATTATAAAGGAAATCAAACATCTTAAATAATAGGGAATGAGCCATATACCTGGAAAAGTAAAAAAAAACTATACAAAACATTTTTTTTCTTTAATTAATAATTAAATTAAAATTCATAACATTTGTAATGAATTTGATACATGTCACATGCATTTTCAAGTATCACTGATTGTATTACATTTTTTACAATAAAGTTTTACACGTTTTTATTTCTACTTTCAGGAATACAGATATTACTCCGAAGAAATTGAATTTTTACCGGTAAAGAAAGTAGCGTTAATTTATTTCATGCAGTAAATTTATATGAATATTTACATTTTCTACAGCATGAGGCATCTATATTTGGTTAAGAATTTTGACTGCAGTTATCTATAAAGAGAAACGGTGAAATATGCAAAAAGTAAAATTATTATTTATTGACCCAAACTTTGGATCGTTCTCCCGACCACATTATTTGGACCATATTTTCCAGATTGCGGCTACAGCTTATATATTTGGGAGTGAGAAATCCGAATCCGTCGGAAAATAGGTATGTTTATTCACTGAAACTACGATTTTGTGCATTTGCCTTCGTGGATTACTTTTTGATGGAATTAACTCGCATTTGCGTTACATGGAGAGGAAAACCGTGAAGATCTCCCATGGTTAGCCTGACGGCAAGAGGACTCTAACCCCTGATCCGTCTACCACTGAGGATATTTTACGTCAACACTGTAGTCGATGCGAGTCGGGTGCAGAATTCGAATGAACCAGTCTTCGATGGGATTCGAACCCGATTCACCTCATTGGGAGCAAGTGCTCTGTCCCTCGAGCCATCAAGGTTCACCCCTAGAACCATTTAAATTTAGTCCTAGAACGAGAAGTATTCAAAGTGGTTCGTTTTTTCTCCCTTTTTTTTCCTTGGCTCATTATACAATATAATTTAAACTTGGAATCAATTTTCGATGAAGTGTGCAACTAAAGTTAGGAAGTATGGGCACAATCAAGCAACTTCTTTACGCTATTAAGAGATGCAAGGGAATATCGCGAACTGGGAAAGTCGTAGAATGTTTTCATGTGACATTGCCTGAGTTAGATGCTTCAAGCATGTAGTTGTCAAAATTTGTTATTAAAACATTTTCCACAATTGCACGAAATTCAAATACTACACAAAATAACTAAAATAATCAGTGCTAGATTGTGATCGATTTTAAAAGCTCTCCTAAACCACAATTGAACTTTTATCAAATTACATTGAAGTAACATTTATTAAACATTTTTTATTCACAATCTCGGGATGGGCAGAGGAACATTCAAAAAGGATTTAATTCACATGGGCTTAAACGATTAAAATGAGTTCACATCAGATCAAAAATTCTTAAGAGTCTAATTCGCAGAGTAAGTATAAATTTTTGTCTTCAGGATGTAAACTTAAATCTGGAATTAAGCCTACAATTAAACAACTTCGATACGCTTGAATTATTTTAATTGTAAGACATGCAATTTTTACATCATTTTAAAATATGTAATTTTGCATGACGAGACTCAAATTTTGAGCAAAATCGGTTGAATAGTTTCTGAGAGATCGAATTTAAAAAATATCGTATATTAAAAATCCGATTGCCCGTGAACTATTCAACCAATTTTGCTTAAATTTCGTATTTTTCCATGTGTAATTACATACTTTAAAATGGTGTAAAACATTGTATTCCTTACAACTCAAAACTTTTTCAACCATCATTAAATAAAACAGCTAAAAGTAATAAATATTTACTAATCGTTAATTTTTGCGTGGAATTATCTTTAGATAAACGAATTCTACAATTGTGTGCGAAGGTTTTTCATTTTGCTTGAAAAGATCAAGAGATATAGCGAAATACGTAAAAAATAAAGTTAACATTAAGGGTCCAAACTTAAGACTGCTTTCCTGACCAAACTATGGGGACCATGTTTCCCAGATTGCGGCTACCCCCTATATTTTGGGGGTCTGAAATCCGAATCCGCTCGAAAAAAGTGTATGTTTATTCTGAGAAAGGGAATTTTTGTGTCTGATTTCGTAATTTAAAATATATTCTGCACTGACTAATTAGAATATATCAGGTCACTCCCTCGAACCATTAAGATTGAGTCCTAGAACCTGAAGATCAGATGAAAAGTTTTTCAGGGGGATCCGTTTTTTATTTTAAACACTGTATATTTATTCGAAATGCTATTTTCTTTTGTTTATTGCATGGCATACAATATTTTTATTTTTAATATTTAGGGTGATCAAGCAACAATGGAATGCACTTATGATTCTTCTGAAAAAACTAAAGTAACATTTGTAAGCCCTGATTTAAATGCTCTCTAGTTAAATTGTTTGCAATGCAAATTTAATTTACTCAATTTATGAATATTCATTTCAAATTTGCGTATTTATAAATATAACAGCAAAATATACTTCCCCTTAATAGAAATATGCTCTTGTTTGTGTTGTGTTTCGCCAAAGCCTCAATAATTATGAATGCTTTTTCTTCTTATTGCTCAGTAATTCTCACACGGTATGTACTCTTTGTAAACAAAATAACAGTCACAAGAGTACGCGATTTTCCCACTCTCCGCACATTTTTCGTCTCCTTTAATTACCTCTTGGTAAGGAGAAGGCCTCCGCACGGATCAATTTTGCTGTCCGTTGATGAACTCTTGTAGGGGAGAAAAAATAAGAAAAATGTCACTATTTTCGGGCTACTAAGCTACACAGTGGGGAAAAATACGAAAGATGTCATTACGTTTTGATCAAATTTTTTGTTTATGGTTAGCCGTGCTGAGGTCTTCTCTCTTGTATTGCTCAGTTACCATGGTTACTTAAAATCTTCCATTTTCGCCTGTGACAATACGTTTTTGTAAGTAGTGGGAATAACTTCGCGTGGAGAAAAAGTAAGACTTGCGGATACCATGGCAACAGAGAGGGAGAAATCGGTATAGAGTGAGGAAATCACGTTACTTTGAAGTGCCTGTTCTGTTTAAAAATAGTATATATTTTACCAGATATAATAAAAAAATTAAAAGGTTGCCTAAAATGTTTTCAGGGTGGTGAAGGTACCGATGAAGAAATGTGTTTGGGATTTCTTCTTTATTACCCAAAAATTGAAAAATATGCATCTGTAAGTGTGCCAACAATAGTTGAACTTAACGCAGCTTTAGGAGGAAAGTAAGCTACCTTTATATATGTTATTTATCTTAGTCAATTAAAAAGTTAAAGAGTAATCATTTAATAATAAAATAGTTATTTTAAGGAAAAGTGAATTACGTTTATTATATTTTTCAATTCCATGACAGCTTTAAACTTTTCTTTTCTCACTATGTGATTAAATTTTTTTTTATATAATGGCATTTCTCTTAAAAGCAGTTTCTGAAAATTCAAATTCTATTGAATTTTAACAATACATTTTGTTGTCAAATTCTTTTAAGTCTCAGTACTAACACTGTATGCTATTAATTTACTTATCTAGCATAAAATATTATAAATTTAAATTATCATGAAATATTTCAATTATTATTAGAAACTTTTAGAAACTATTTATATTAGAAGTTATTATTTCTTAATGGTCATAAAAGAGAGAGTAATTATTTTTTTTATTATGCTCTTATTATAAATAGTTATAAACTGGAATTATTGCACTTCTATAATTATTACAAACTATTAAGAACTATTTATCATACATTATAATTTGCCAAGCGATTATTGTTGCCCTTTTTTTTAGTTTTGGAAGAACTAATTGCTCATAAATTGTTATAAATTTATTGTGAATTATTACAAAGTGGAATTATTATTAAAACTAATATAAATATCAAGATCTTTTTATCCGAAAATATTTGTAGTTCTTTTATCAACTATTTTTGAAAGTATACTGCTTATTAATAATTTATTTTCAATTTGAAATAAATAATTGTTTTTATTTTTTGAAATTAATTAATTTAATTATTGCAAGAATAAAATATTGAAAGTACTATTCATTAGAATTAAATAATTCCCGAAGTGGAATTTTTCACTGCCTGTGATGCAACTATATCTTAACAAGCTAAACTATTTTAATAAAATTATGTTAGTTACAAAATAAAATTATTTTGAATTTTTTTAAATCGAAAACTATCAATTTAAAAGTTTTTTATTTTTGTTACTTTTTTCAGTCTTGGAAGGAATAATATAAATGGAATGATGTATCGGTTTCTTATAGAATACGATTGGAACAAAATTGATTTTGAGAAATTGGAGAACAACTTGAGATACTCGCATCAAGATACTCATTGCTATTTGGGTGACGGAAATAAGAACTCCGTAAGTATACTGAGTTTAAATTAGCAAAAAGGCCTTGATTAATATTCCAATAATAACCTTCGAATGAAAAAAAAATAACCACTTTGAATAACTTTTCCTTTCAATCAAACTTGTCCACACTTAAAATAACAAACTGGATAGCTTAAAGAAGTCTATTCTGTTTTTCATTAAATATTTATTAAAGATGTTGTTTATTAGCAAATGGAATAAAACTTGAAGGTATTTTCAAGAGGTAAATTATTGAAACTCGATGGTTCATTCTTACCTTACAATTAAAAGTGTCCAAAGAAGCTTTCTCTTTAATTCAATGATTTTAAGTGCAAAACAACAGATTTTAAGTGCCTTTATCTCTAGGCAAAACTCTATTTTTGAACTATGAATATGTGGAGTATCTACCACTACAAAAAAAAAATTACAATTCTAATTCGCTAGTCTATAAGACATGTTAACTCGATTCTACGGTACCTTTACATACATATTCTACCTTTACATACATGGCAGTTGACATTGTCGATAACAACTCTCCCCACAGCTACTGTAGTGTATCTACCACTACAAAAAAATACAATTACAATTCACTAGTATATAAGACATGTTAACTAGATTCTACGTTGAGATACATTTTAATAGTTGAAAGTTGATATTGTCTATAACAGGGGTTTCCAACTTACATGAAGCCGGGGGCCACAATTAAAAACACAAATCAAATGGCAGGCCGAAACTTTATCAAAATGTTATGTACGACTCTTTTATGTTTGAAGGAACATTGAATATTACTGTCAGATTTTTATCAAGTTGTACAAAACAAAAGTATTGAATTACAACTTAAAATAAGAAGTAGATTTTTAAAAATATTTAATTGCATATTAAAAAATTCATGCTACAATTACTTTAATGTGCATCTATGTATTAAACAATTAAAGTGCAACAGATATCGAATTGTTTAGAGATAAAACTTTAAAAAGGTTGGTATTAAAACTTACATAGTAGCACACAAAATGTTCAATGAGAAAATTGAGGTTTATCTGCTGTAACCACCAGAGAATAGATATTTACATTTTAAATTTAAAATTTACAAATGTGTGTGTTAATATTTTCGTCCAAAATCAAAAAGTTAAATCGGTTCAAAAAGTTAAATCGGAGAATTTCTTCGAGAAAATTTCTGATACACACATGCTAAATTATGTTCACAAAATACAAAAAAATGAAATAAAAAAAAGTAACGTAAACGATTATTTTTGTATTTGAATAAATATTTTCTTGAATGCAAAACCTGAGAAATAAATTTTTTTGCACCATTGGTATGCAAAATTTCACAGAAANACAAAATACAAAAAAATGAAATAAAAAAAGTAACATAAACGATTATTTTTGTATTTGAATAAATATTTTCTTGAATGCAAAACCTGAGAAATAAATTTTTTTGCACCATTGGTATGCAAAATTTTAACAGAAAGGAAGAAATTAAGTTTTTTATTAACGAAAAAAGTATTTTAAACCCATACAGATTTTTTACGAAAATTGTCAGCAAAAAATGACAACTAATATATTTTAGTTCGCGGGCCGCCAGTTGGAAACCACTGGTCTATAACTTCTCTCCCCACAAATACAATCTTGACAAAATAACATTGTCAGTACTTAAAAGCATACATATATAAAAAATTTAGTCTACATATTTAAAAAAGTTTACGCATCTAAAAAAATTTACATATTTAAAAAAGTAGCTGCATATTTATGAAAAATATATTTTTAAAAAAAATAGTTTTTGTTCACATTCTTAGTTTACATATTCAAAAATCTTATCTTACAAATTTGAAAAACATCTATTTATTCGAATAGCAAAAAATAAGTAAAATAAAAAGACACCAAAAAATAACTTGATAAACGGGGTTAAAAAACAGGATTTTAAAATAACATTTATAAAAAAGAAATCTCAATTTTAATTGACTTTTTTGATTGTAATGTTGATTAATTTAACAAGAATTTACATTTTATCCGAACACTTTCTGTTCAGATAAATTTGTTACGAGAAAACAGCGCAGCGGCCCTTACGATTTTTTAATGTACATAGACACTGACTAATTTGAAAATAAGAAATATGCATATTTTTTGGTTATTTATGACAGTTATTTGCAATAAATTATCTTTTTATAATAGCAATTCCTAAGATGCAAATGTTTTGTCCCCCTTTATTTCGTAGAATCAATTCGATTCTTGATAAAATAAGTCAACTGATACTGGTGATCAACTTAAAAGATGGTGAACTCGACAGGTTTTACTGTATTTTAAAAATATTGTTACGTGTATCCTATTACTGGAGGTTGTTAATTGATAGTTCGGAATACAATCAACTCTTTATGGAAGAAGAAAAACCTTTCGTATTTTTTTTTCATTGTATTATTTTCAGCAATTCTTTTTTTACGATTTACTCATTTTTATTTGGAACGACATGGTCTAAAAATGTTTGAACTAAAGCCAGAAACTTTGATAGGAAATACTTATGGCACGTCATATGAATTTGCTGCAAAAACCTCTTTTAATTTTTAAACTGCCTCTTATATGAAATTTTTGAAAACCGCCTGTTAAGTTTTGGATACTCTGCAGTTTTTTAATCGGCTTTATCAACACCTCTTGGATTAAGTATATTTTTTTTTCAGATCCGAGCTACAATTTCTTATCCAGATAACCTACAACTTCACGAAGAAAAACTGTCTTGCATTTCAGAGGAAGATTTTTTCAGCAGCAATAGCATCAGATTTCTCGAATTACCGAGATGGAAAAATATAATCTTGTGTCTTTTATTGATTTCTTCCCGTCAAGTTTTACACAAAATTTAATGATCTACTAAATATTGGAAAAACTGTGATTCTCTACCTTTTTTTTAGTATTTTTGACCGCCTCCTTTCCTGTGTCACACTTCAACCTCCCTACCCTTCCCTGTTGTCACTAGTCACGTTATATTTAATAAAGATATTCTAAAAGTTCAGAACATATTTCAAATTTTATTTTTAAACTTCAGCTAAGTGTTTTAATGTCGTTTTGAGCAAAACAACAATAATGGTTATATGCGTTCTTATTTTGCTGATAAATATCAAAAAATGTTGTAAACAATTATGTAAATTTGTTCAATAAACTCATTTTGAATGTTCAATTTTAACCAAAATTTGTGACGTCTCACTTCTTGGCACCCGTTCCTCCCTCTTGTCACAAATTGTCACCATTTAAAGAGCCCCCTTTCTCCTATTCGTGACATCATTCATAGATAGCCCCATACATAAATTGCCATCACACCACGTACTTCAGATGTTGAGAATTTAGTTTAGTTTCATATGTTGGGAAATTCTACACATTTATTGCACACATACTAAAAAAATTAATAATAATAAAAAAATATTCTCAAGTCCCTTAATTATTAATCATGGTAGGGAAAAATCTGATTCAGACGAAAAAAATCAGTTGCCAACCTTGATTTCTTCTCAGTCGCCTAGCAACGAATAAAATTTATTTTATTTTTTGGTACACACACATGCAGTCTTGAGTGCTCAATTACATACGCTTAGTTTACAAGCCTTTGTCAAGAAGAAAGAGAGACAGTACAATTCAGAAAAAGATAGCTCGACGATACCCCCAGAGTTACGGCGGGATTCGAGCCCGTTAACTCAAGGCTACAGAGTGTTTGGCATAGCGATTAAAGTTTCCTCCAACAAAATGTCCCTCTTCTTTTTAATTCATAACGATGCTTTTGTGACAAAAAAATACCAACATTTGGATTTTGGCCTAGAGAGTTTGCTGATCACTCAGTCGCTATGAGAATAAATCTTCATGAATAGATGATTTTTAAAAAACGTAGAATAAATCACTTGAATAATTAAACTGCTCGTTCCAAAGCTCAGATAGCTCGTTACAAAAAGATGATATACATCGCTTAATATTCTAGCTTTGTTTCAGGCTTCAGGCAAGCAAAGTATGTTTTATTTAATTATTTATTTATTTTTAATTTTTCTCGGCGAGAGTTCTGAAAAGTGGGCGAGTCTTTCTTGTGATCTTAGCGAGAGATTTGAAAAGTGGTTTATATTTTTGCCACTTTCAATTACCTTTTTTTGATACCTTTTGGAAGCAAAATTATTAACCACTAAAGTTGTAATAATTACACAGCGCTATTTTTAATTAGCCACTTTTGAAAACTGTAAAGATGGAGAAAATAGTTTCACTGTGAATATGTACACGATTATCTTCCTAAGTTGTTCGCCTAATCTTCCTAGATTTCTCGCCTAAATTTTTTAATTAAGATTTTCTGACCAGCAAACAGTTTACACGAATAACGAAGTTGAGTTTATTATTAACTTCACGGAAATCAAAGTGCAAAATTTTGAAATATTTTTGGGGCTGTAATGATAATTCTCGGAATAATTAAATATTATGGTTAATAACACTTAGTTGGAAGGTCAACTAAAAAAAATTTCAAGGAACATAAGTAGAAAATTATCCATAACTGATCTTCGCTTTGATGTGCAAAGGTTAAGAGGAAATTTGCGCGAGCTTGTTTTGCTCTTGAATTTTCTTAACTAACATTTTACCTGCTTGCCCACTTCAAACTTATTTGCAGGAGGAATCAAAAACTTTTGTTCAAACGAATGTAGCTAACCCATAACCCTGCTAATATAACAGCAAATAAAAGGCTAAAACATATAATTTGTTTAGAAAGGAAATACAGCGATGGGAAATAACGTCCACAATTCGAAACAAAGTGATAACCAAGGTTAGTTGTGATAGCTTTCTTTCTTTCTGAATGACGCAACATCAAAATTACTCCCTGTCTAAAAAAAACTCAAAACTGGTTTCCATTATAAAAAGCGTTAGATTCAAAACAACCTGATCTCACGTGAGGGGCCGGCCCTGTCAAAAATAAAAAGAAGAAAAGAATAACACAACTGTTGTTTTAGTTCGCGATCAACAGTAGGCGCGAAAATGGCGCGAAATCTAAAGTTATTCTGCTCCTTATTAGTATTTCTCCCGATCCTGATTGTTACCGGAGATGCAGATTGGTTTCATTGTACAGTATTGGATGGAGATGGTAGATATCATATTTGTTGGAAGACTTTCGTGAATAGTGAAGGAGATACGGAAATTGTATTTGGAGTTGATGTAAGGGCACACGGCTATGTAGGATTAGGTTTGTCCCCTAATGGCGGGATGGCCGGAAGTGATATTGTTACTGGATGGGTGAAGAATGGAAATACTTATTTTCAGGTAAAAATATACTTTTCTTTTATATTTACTTTTTAAATTTGTTTTTCGAAAAATATTCAAATTAGGATACTTTTTTCCTTTTTAAGAATCATTTTTTTATAATAGTTTTATTTGAAGTTAAAAGTTGAAACACTTTTTTTAAATGTAATACTTGAATTTGTTTTTCGAAAAAAAAAATGAAATTGAGACCCCTTTTTTTTATAAGGATTATCGTTTTATAATAGTTGTCATAAAGTTATAATTTAAAGAAATATTTATAAGTTATTATTTAAAGAAATTATATTATAAAATCTTAGTTTTTTTTTTAAAAAAAGTACTAAAAATTAATGAAGAATTTTGTTTATACTTTTTCCAAAATGAAAAAAAAAGTTTTTGAAAACAAATGTTTTAATATTAAAAAAATTGCCCAATATTAGTTACATACACATTTAAATATTTAGCTATGGATTTTTATAATTTTTTTAAAATATTTAATTAATTATTTATAAAGAATAGTTATTTTATAATTAATTATATGCAATTATAACTAAATTTTGAAAAAAAATTATTCAAATATTTTTTTATAGTATTAATTTTTCATAAAAAAATTGCTTTTTATTTGAGTAACATCTTAAACAGTTTTACGCAAATATCTGGTTTCCGGTCACTAGTAAGAGCAACTGACGCAAAATGTTATAAATTATTATTTAAAGAAAATATATCTTAAAATTTAAATTTGTTTAAAAAATATTAAGAGTTTAGCAAAGAATTTTGTTTATTATTTTTCCAAAATTAAGAAATAAAAAAAATAATAAAAAAGTAGTTATATGTTACTTGTATAGATACCTACATATTTAGTCATGTATTTGGAAAATAATTTCTTAAATATATGTTTAATTTTTGTAAAAACTAATTTTTTATGATTGGTTATAGGCAATTATAACTAAATTTAAAAAAATACATAAAAATATTTTTTGAAAGTCTTAATTTTTTGTGAAATTAATTTTTATAATTATGCCTAATGGCCAGACAATATTTGCCGAATAGTAAAAACCTTTGGGAAGTCCCAGAAACCTCCCATCCTATGACCACAATATTTCCTCCATTCCCTTCAACACTTAAAGAGTTCCCGTATCCTGCACTCACCTATTTGTCGCCCTGGAAAATTGGAATACGATATTCATATTCACGCATAGATGGCAGCACTATAAAGCTGCTTAACACAAAAAAGTCTAGCATTTCCCATCTCTTAAGATAGGTGAAACAACCAGATAAGCTACTTAAACAACATTTCACAGTTCATTTGAGAAGACTCAACTGAACTTCAATGCTAATTAAATCGCTCAGTTAAATTTCTTTTTTTTACGGTTCTGAAACCATGCCAGTTGTAAATGGTTGAAAACAGTTTAGTTTTGTATTTCTGGTTTTCTAAACATACTAGTTGTAAATGGTGTGAAAGGAAAGGAAGTGGTCTCCATTAATATTTTACTTTACTAACTTATAATGTATGGTTATTTGCAATAACAACTTTTTATCTTTACCTTTTGTAGTTAGTCATATTTTAAGACCATAATTGAGTGTATTGAAATATATTAATATATTTTTCAACTCTTCAACCCGTGAAAATTAGCTGTGTTCACTCACATTCCTTTTGTTTCAATTTTGATTATTTTTTCAATCATCCAATAATTTATATTGGTTACAATATGTTTAAAATTTAATTTATTAAATTAAAAAGTCTGTGCTTCCTACATTTTTAATTAGTGCAGAATTCTGTGATAATTTAAATTTTCTCATGCACGTTCGATTAGTTAACATGTTTCTTTTTTAATTTTTTTAACGCAAAATCGCAAGCTAAGTAGCGTTTATATCAGGGGTTTCCAACTTACATGAGGCCGGGGGCCGCAATTAAAAACTTCAGTCAAATGGCGGGCCGCAACTTAATCAAAACTTTATATAGGAATTTTTCATGTTTGAAGGAACATTAAATGCACTGGTGGACAAAATTAAGACAACATCAGAATTGGACACAGCTTCAATGGGCCAATGTTCCCTTCACCGATGAGTCCAGATTCAGTCTGCAACCTAATTCTGGACGATTATAGATATGGACGGAGCCTGAAACCCGATACCATCCCAGCAACATGATCGAAAGAGACCATTATGCTGGTGGAGGACTCATGGTTTGGGCAGGGATCATGCAACATACCCGCACACCGCTCCATGTGTTTGGCAATTGTTCCGTGAATGCCCAGAGGTACAGGCAGGAGGTCCTACAGCCCTATGTGCGTCTTTTCAGGGGAGCGGTTGGCCCTGAGTTCATTTTTACGGACGACAATGCGCGACCACATAGGGCTCTCATGGTTGATGAGTATCTGGAAAGCGAGGATATTCAACGGATTGATTGGCCAGCCAAATCTCCATACCTGAATCCTACTGAACATGCTTGGGATGCTCTTGGGAGAGCTATTGCGATGCGCCAACCTCCCCCCAGAACCATTCTGGAGTTAAAAATTGCTCTGGTGGAAGAATGGGAGGGTCTTCCACAAGTCCTCCTTAACTCCCTTATTAACAGCATGCATACTCGTTGTGCATGCTGTCTGTCTGTCAGGGGTGACCATACACCATACTAGAGGCAACACACACTGTACAAGCCTCACTTTTATTGTCATCTTTTATCCTTAAGTTCAGACTACATTGGATTTATTGGCAATAGGTCTTGCCAGTGAATGGCACTTTCATTTTTGTTTTGCATACTTTATTATCATGGAATAAGCTATATCCATACCAAATTTCATTTATTTATATTCAGTATTTTTTGAGATATTTGGGAAAATGTCTTCCATCTCTTAATTTTGTCCACCAGAGTATTACTGTCAAATATTTATCAAGTTTTACAAAACAAAAGTATTGAATTACAAATTAAGAAGTATATTTTCAAAAATATTTAATTGCATATTAAAAAATTCTGGCTACAATAACTTTAACTGTGCACCTATGTATTAAACAATTAATGTGCAACAGATATCAAATTGTTAAGATATAAAACTTAAAAGTATTTAAAACCCATATAGATTTTTTACGAAAATTGTCCTCAGAAAAATGACAACTAATATATTTTAGCTCGCGGGCCAAAAAAAAGGCTTCGTGGGCCGGATGCGGCCCGGGGGCCGCCAGTTGGTAACCACTGGTTTGTATTGTGGATTCAACGACGTAAATGACACCCCCGCAGATTCAGCAGTGTAGGGGGAGGGTGAGTAGAGTAGACAAGTCTCAAGGACGCACTGACCATGGAATAAAGTTAAATATTACGTATTATTTAATCTTGTTTCATAATGCACGCTACTTTAAGTGCTTTCTATTTATTAATATGGGTGTTGAAACTTAAAAACAATCGTTTGAGGTCTGAGTGAGGTCAGATTATGTAACTTAATTATAGTAAGCAAGCAAAAAATTTATTTTATGTTTATTCACAATTCTGCTTCTTCTTCTTTTTTTTTCTTTCTTTCTTTCTTTTTCTTTTTTTTTTTCGTTATCGTGACGGATTTACGTGTGTAGCGTTTTAAAATAGGGAGTACTGAAAACTTTTTACCAATTGTTCATTGGCTGGACGAGCCTATTTATAGATATTTTGTTGTTTCTAAAAAGAAAAGTGTGAAAGGGTTAATGTTTTTTTCCCCCATCTTTTTCTGGATATGACATAATTGCGTGGCTTTTTCTCAGGATCTCAGTGTTAGGATTAAGAAGTTAACATTTTTGTTAATTCTTATTTGTCCTTTTTCCTCACAATAGTGTTGCTTATTTATCGATTTGTGAGTTATATATCTGCTTATTCAAGAATTAAGATTTAAATTTTATTATTTAGTTTTTTTTATTTAGTTTTCTCTGCGAATCTCTAACAAAAAAAATCACTTTAATTTTATTCCATCAATAGTAAGGGCAGCAATTTGAATATAATTGACCTAGTTCACTTAGCATGTAAGAAATATTTTTTCTTTCACAAAACGTTGTTTTAATAATACAGAATGCTCAATGTTCAACTTTAAAATAATTTAAAACTATAAAAGCAATAAAAGAACACTGTACGTCAAATGGAAACTACATTAATTTGCTATTTAAATTCAAGTAAATTCAGTAAAATTTCAAGGTACTTTTAAATGATAAAAAAAAATAAGTATTCACTTTTTATGATCCAAACGATTTAAATTATGAGACATAAACTTAAAATAAATATTTGGAAAAAATCAAATTATTCAAATCAGAAAAATTTTTAAAGTTTAACTGCCGTTACGTTTGTAACCCCACTAACTAAATCAAACTAAATAAATTAAGCTTTTTTAGACGCCTTTTTTTTTAAATTAGACGGGAACTCAAATTTGTAAAGGCTAAGGGAAACGCTAAATACGTTTTTAAAAATCCTTATTTAATTTTCACAAATAAACCAAATATTATTATTTCTTCTGACATTTTCAAACATACGAACTATAGGTTCGTCGATGAATTGAAATTGATGAAATCGGACGTCGATGAAGCATGCGATATCTTAGAATTTTTTTGGGCTCTTTTAACACAATATAGTACTAATGCAATGTGGAATAAAGCATATTAAGACAGTTAGCTGAACATTATAAGAATGTCGGAATTATATATATTTTTTAAATTTTCTTTTGCTTAATTCTTCCGTAAAATAATTTGCTGACTCACAAATCTTCTTTCTTTGACTTAAGAAAAATTAAAATTAAGATAATTAAGAAAGATGGACAAAATTAAATAACTAATAAAAATATTAACTCTATAACATTAATTAAAATTTTAAGAATCATTTTCAAAAATATTCTGCTTTGGCGAAACAATTACAGTCAAGAAAGAAAGGAAAAACTTCTAATTCGAAAATGATTTTTATTAAATACTGAATTTGAAATTTGTTCATCAATTAAATGTGAAAGTATTATTTATTTGAATTATTTTCTATTTGACTTGCTCGGTTAACTACCATTTTAATTTATTTTTTTTTAATTTAGGACAGATTTGCCCTGGGCAACTCAATGCCCATTATAGATTCACGTGCTGATTGGACACTACTTAGTGGAAGTGAAAATGATACTCATACTTCTTTGACAATTAAGCGAAAACTGGATACTTGTGACTACGAAGACATGAAAATTGATGTAAGTAATAATTTAAGACTTTGACACAATAAATTGGACAAAGATAGTTTCCTACTCTTGAAATTATTTTACTTTCATTATTTTTTTACCAATAAATGTCTAGAAGGGGAAAAAAAATCAGGTTTTCTATCTTAGCTATTGCGAAAGTATTGAAACTTAATATGGAATTTCGAAAAATGTTCATTAGATTAAAACTAAGTAAGCATTTATTAGATTAAATTAAAGTAATTTTTATTAACAATTGTTAGAAAAATTTACGTTTTAATTATATGACTTTTCTTGAATTTATATTTTTAAGAAACATTTCCTTCTGCCTACGAATACATGTATTACTATATGAAATTCATATTAAAAAGTTATTTGCAAGAATTGTTGAAATTTTTGTTTTGCTTGTTACACTGAGATTTTAATATGTATACAGATTGCCTCTTTATCCGCGCCATTAATCAATAATTTCATAATCTTTGTCAAAAAGAATGTGAAAAAATCTATATAGGTAGCACAAATCAATATTTTTTTACATTTCTAACGGCAAGATTTAAAGGTAATTACAGTAACAAAAATAACGAACAATATAAAGAACAAATATAGAAAACAAAAGAAACTGCTGCGATTTACGAGGACGAACTTGACGAATTATTAGCGACGTAGACAATATTAATGAAACTGGAACCTGTTTGGATACACCTAAAAGAACTGTTTTTACACCTTTCAAGCTTTCTCCGGGAACTCAACTTTTTTCCTCAATGAAATTTGTTAGATTTTTAAATCGTCTTCTGTTTTTCCTTTACTTTAACAATTATTTGCGACTTCTAATGTGCATTTATTCAATCTTATTTTCGACCAGAATTCTAAAAATGCATATTAAGTTCGAGTCTTTACAGAACGCCTTGAAAACAAAAGAAATAGCTGTAGCGAAAGACTTCAAATCAATATTCAAACTAGAAAAAATTAAAAATATTATCAACTTGTGACGAATTATTAGCGGCGTAGACAATATTAATGAAATTGGAACCTGTTTGGATACACCTAAAAGAACTGTTTATACACATTTCAAGCTTTCTCCGGGAACTCAACTTTTTTCCTCAATAAAATTTGTTGCATATTGAAATCGTCTTCTGTTTTTCTGTCACTTTAATAATTATTTGCAACTTCTAATGTGCATTTTTTCAATCTTATTTTCGACCAGAATTCTAAAAATGCATATTAAGTTGGAGTATTTACAGAACACCATGTAAATAAAATCTTTCTTAATAATGTGTGTATTAATTCATTGCAGGACAGTACCATTCGTTTAATATATGCCTATTCTGACGTTGATCCCTCTTCTGAGCATGATTTACAATATCACCAAAATAAAAGAGGCGCCAAAAGTGTTTTGCTACTTCAACCAAATAAGGAAAGATTGCAGCCCATGGATACATCTAAATACTACCATTGGGATTTATTTTCACAAAATGTAAGTTAATATATTTCTGTACATTATAAAATAAAAGTTTAGAGGAAAATAAGAGCAAAAATATGAAACAAGGGTTAAGCTTTGACCCCCTGAATAACTATTGATTTAATGATCGAATCTTCGCATTCAAGGATGTTGATAGTTCGACGGTTAACCTTCAAACATGCTAATCAATTACTATAGATGATATTCTAAGTTACGAAATCAAACACGCAAAAACTCATTTTCTCTGAATAAACATACCTTGTTTTCCTACGGATTCGGATTTCTGATATCCGAAGTATAGGGGGTAGCCACAATCTGCGAAATATGGTCCCAATAGTTTGGTCAGGAGAGCGTTTCAAAGTTAGAATTCTTAATGTTAATTTTATTTTTTGCGTATTTCGCCTTATCTCGAGAATTGAAATTTTTTTTGCTTATAACTAAAAAAATTCGTTTATCCAAAGATTTAAAAAAAAAGAACTCCAAATTTGTAATTTATGAGTACTATATTTTTTAATTGTAGAAAAATATTTGAATTGTAAGGTTACATAATTTTAAAGAACGTAATTTCGCATGGAAAAACATAAAATTTGAGCGAAACCGTATAGTTAATGAGAAATCGAATTTTAAAAATACGACTTCTTAAAAATTGGATTTCTTGCTCTTTGATGTACAATTGTTTTGTTAAATTTTATTTATGCAGAAAATACTTAATTTATGATATTCTTATTTTTTAATAATTTAAAATAACTACATCACTTAGATATTCAGTTGCTTAAAATAACTTTACTGTTTATTTATGCTTTTTATATTCTGTTTTAGTTCGAGATTAAATCAGATTTCCATACTATGTATTGGTGCAAAATTTACAAGGCACCTAGGGTGAATGAAAAACATCACATTGTCATGGTAAGATCAAATTTTTGAGTGGGTGCTTTACTTATATCTCTCTGTATGTTCATTTTTATTTTAGTATGAATAATTTCATAAAAGTTTAATGATTACTTAGCATTTAATAAACAAATTTTTCTGTGTGTCTTGTGGAGAGAAAGTTTCAAGCGAATGATGATTTTCCAGCAAAATGACACCCTCGCATAGAAGTAACTTTCTGAAGATTTAACGTCTTCTTACGGTGGATGAACATTGCATCAGGCGTTTACACAAATAAACACGAATTTCTGAAAATAGAATACTTGATTGCATGATTGTTCGATTAACAATCCTAATACTCTTTAAATACTACTCTCTTGAAAGAAAAAAAATTCACATGTGAAAAGAATTTTTTATTATTTTTCATTGATTACACATATATGCTGTTGATTAATTTCAAAACAAGTCAGTTTCTTATTAATATTTTTTTTAAATATGTTTCTTAATAAAAAAAAATATTGTTATTTTTAAACCATACAAAAGGATAACTATGCATAAAATGATATGTCTCGCTTAAGCAGACACAGCTTTAGCAATATTCACATAGGAGTTGCTTGCAAAACTGGTTCTCTTTATTTCTCTATCAAACGGTGATTGGGAAAGTACCTTCTTAGCACAATAATAAAAAAATGTAAATATTAGAGCAATTTTAGAGCAAAAATTCGTCCACCTCATCAGATATTGCAAAATATGCATGATATTAGATGAATGCGTTGGCCAAGCGCATCAGAGATTTAAATCCACATTACATTAGTATTGCAGTGCAATCGGAATAAAAATTAGATCCAAAATTTCTGGGCAAAGTGGGACGTGGCTGTCGTTTTTTAAAGGGGATTACTTTCATTGAGGAGAAAACAAATCCCGGTGTGTGCGTTAAAAAATGTAATTAAGCAGGTATCTTTGCTTGAATAAAATAACATATTCACTCACAGAATTTATCACATCTAAGTATTTTAGAGTAGTGAATTTTTTCTAAAACTTGAAAATTAATTTTACTCAATCGAATTTTCACGAAAAGAGAGATATTTTTTTAAAAAAAATTGGGGGCTTAAATAATGGGAATAGGCAATATTTCAAAGGAATTTTTCTACGGTCTTTTCAAACTATTTTTAAAACTACTTCTAAACTAGTCCGCATGCTTTAAATTATTTTCTTTTTCAGTCACTAAGTAACATTTTTATATCAATTATCTTTGTTCAACTTCAAATGTTAAATACTTTTAAATCAGAACTTTTAAGCTCAGTACTTTTTAGTGCTAATTGTCCTTATGTTTACATTAGGTAGAGCCAATAGTAGAAGAAGGAAACGAGCAGTATGTCCACCATCTTGTTTTGTATGAGTGCGTGGGAGCAGATCCCGATGAATTCGATCCACATGTTCAACAAAGAGGACATGAGTGTCGCACACCTAACATGCCAGATCAGTTCAACAAATGTGATGGTGTTGCCGTAGCATGGGCAATCGGAGGAGAAGTAAGGATACTAATTTTAATTTAAATTACATTTAAATATTTAATTCCATTGCTTTTAATAACGGAAGTGAGATATTGTTTTAGTAAATTGAAGGTATTGTTGAAATGTATTGATCCACCCGTCTTTTTATAAGAAGGAAACATTTCCCATAGTTTCATTTACTTCTTCTGTTTAGTAGGATAAATACTTTTAAAGTTCTAGATAGCAGTACAAGACACAGGACCACAATCCTATTGCTTACACGGAAATCGTATTCTTTTTTCCAAAAAAAAAAAAAATGCTCTCTTAAGCAATTTTAAAATGTGACTTACACTGAAAATACATTTGTGGGAACGAGGCATAGCGTTCCTACATTTTTACAGAACCAGAGACAACATCAAAACAATCACAAGATAAAAATAAACACTTTTATTTTCCGGGAAAATGATAGAGTCACAAAAGCTGCGTGACTAACTTAAAAATGAATTAAAATTCAAAATAGAGTATAACAGAGTAGTAGTAGTTTTGTGGTTTTACAGATGCATATATAGACTGGAGAAAATGTGCGATGAATAATTACGACATCAGTATCCTGCAGTCAGTTGCAGTTAATTTCTGACAGCAGAAAGAATATCAAGATGAGAGGTCGCAGGTTCGGTATTCTGATCCGCAGGTCTGATCTAGCGAACTCTACACATTAAAGTATACCATAATGTACTACACTCCCTTTCAAAATGGATTTTGAAAGGGTGAATTTGATTATGTATCTAATTTTAGATTTAATTAATTACTCTAAATTACTACTCTATTACTCTATAATTACTCTCTTATTACAGTTACCGTCATTCGGGGCTACTTTGTGCAGGATTTCGCAGTTTTTGAACTTTGACATGTAAAAAAACTATGTTAATTCAAACTTTAGTAAAATTTATCGATATTATATTCATAACTGGACTCAGACGAGTGAATTTGATCAATATTGGCATTATTTGTATGTAATATTTACGAATAATANCATATTCACTCACAGAATTTATCACATCTAAGTATTTTAGAGTAGTGAATTTTTTCTAAAACTTGAAAATTAATTTTACTCAATCGAATTTTCACGAAAAGAGAGATATTTTTTTAAAAAAAATTGGGGGCTTAAATAATGGGAATAGGCAATATTTCAAAGGAATTTTTCTACGGTCTTTTCAAACTATTTTTAAAACTACTTCTAAACTAGTCCGCATGCTTTAAATTATTTTCTTTTTCAGTCACTAAGTAACATTTTTATATCAATTATCTTTGTTCAACTTCAAATGTTAAATACTTTTAAATCAGAACTTTTAAGCTCAGTACTTTTTAGTGCTAATTGTCCTTATGTTTACATTAGGTAGAGCCAATAGTAGAAGAAGGAAACGAGCAGTATGTCCACCATCTTGTTTTGTATGAGTGCGTGGGAGCAGATCCCGATGAATTCGATCCACATGTTCAACAAAGAGGACATGAGTGTCGCACACCTAACATGCCAGATCAGTTCAACAAATGTGATGGTGTTGCCGTAGCATGGGCAATCGGAGGAGAAGTAAGGATACTAATTTTAATTTAAATTACATTTAAATATTTAATTCCATTGCTTTTAATAACGGAAGTGAGATATTGTTTTACTAAATTGAAGGTATTGTTGAAATGTATTAATCCGCTCCTCTTTTTATAAGAAGGAAACATTTTCCATAGTTTTATTTACCTTCTCTGTTTAGTAGGATAAATACTTTTAAAGTTTTAGATAACAGTACAAGACGCAGGACCATAATCCTAATGCTTACACGGAAATCGTATTCTTTTTTCCAAAAAAAAAAAAAAAAAAAAAAAAAAAAAAAAAAAAAAAAATGCTTTCTTAAGCAATTTTGAAATGTGACTTACACTGAAAATACACTAAAGTATACCATGATGTACACTCATGATGTTACACCCTTTCACAATGGTTCTTGAAAGGGTGAATTTGATTATTTATCTAATTTTGAGATTTAATTAATTACTCTAAATTACTACTCTATAGTTACTACTCTATTACTCTATAATTACTCTCTTATTACAGTTATCACTCTATTACTCTATAATTACTCTCTTATTACAGTTATCACTCTATAATTACTTTAATGTTTTCAATAAATAAAATATAACTAAATTTTGCTATGCAATGCAAAAATTTTCTAAATATTAATCTCGATCTCACACAATTAATTTGATTTATGATAATTTTTTTTTAAATATTTCCTTAGTTTCATTTTTTTAAATTTGACCTAAAGATATAATGAAATTTACAAAAAGTTTTTCATTATTAGTGTAATAACTCTTAATTAATTTTGTAATTTACTTCGAAATAATGACTAAATATTCATAATAAATAATTTTTGCGCAGAGCTTGATATTTCCTGAACATGTTGGACTGCCTATTGATCCTGGAAATCCCAAATACTACTTACTGGAATTTCATTACGACAATCCACAACGTCATAATGGTATAGATTTATGTATACATAATAGTTTTTCTATGCAAAGTGTTTCATAATCACCACCCTTAAGATATATTTTTAGATTTCTCGTCGAAAGTGAAATAAAAAATATACACATGAGGGAAACAAAATAATGTGAAAAAAATGTTTATTATTGGAATCTGATAAACCAATTTCTATGTCAATTACAATAAAGACTGGACAAGAAACTATAATATATATATATATGATGAATAAATAAATACAAGAAAACACGAAGAAAGTTAAGAAAAACAATAAGTTTCATTTATTGCGCTTAAGCTGCAAGTAAACAGAACTCATTAGATAAGTTCAAAAAGAAGAATAAAACAAAGAAAAATTATAGACATATGAAATAAAGGGGGGGAAATAATAAGTAAAAAAATAACAAATAACAGTTTAAATATATAATATATATATAATTAAGATCATTATTATGGAACACCTTGATTATTTTGCGTCTTACTTGACATAGCTCATTCTTTTTGTTCTTGTTCTTGCCTTTTTTTAAAAAATCTTTCTTACTTTAAATTGAGTAACGCTATGCACAAGAAAATATTATTTAAAAGTAAGATTGATAATGAAAATGATTGATAAATAATGTATACCATACTTTTAAATATGTTCTCGAACTAAAGATATTTTATTTTCAGGGAAAAAATATTTCGTTAAAGTAATATTTCTTTATTTTTAGAAAAGTTTTCTTTTAATTTGTGAGAAAAAGAGCGAAAAATATTTTTTTTAAGAAAAAAATTATTTTAACATTAAGTGACTAAGAAATTTGAAGAGAATTATTTTTGTTCAAGAGATCGGAAAATTCTTCAAGTTAAAATTGAGTTTTTGAAATAAAATTTATTGTTAATTTGTGCTTATTACCTTGTATTCTAATTCATTGTACTTCTGAATGAATACTATCGATTTTTGTATTTTAAGGAATAATTGTTATCAATATTATTAAACGCTTTAAACTAATCAAATACTCTTCGCTTTAAGGTATTTTTGACCATTCTGGATTAAGAATGTATTATACATCAAAATTGAGGAAATATGATGCAGCTACACTATGTTTTGGATCGTCAGTTTCTCCTTTGGCATTCATACCACCAGGACAGAAAGAATTCGTTCTAGCTGGTCACAGCGATTCCATGTGCATTGATCCGGTACGGATTTTTAAGATATTAGATTTTAATTAGATCTAATTCTTTTTCACAAACTTTAAATGAAAACAAACTCATACGCATTCCTTTCACACACTTACTCATACACATTCCTTTCACACACATACTCATACTCATGCGTACTCAGACACATTTACATACTCACGCGCATACTCATACACAAACTTTATACACATTCCTTTCAAAAAATTAGGACAAAATTTTATGATAAATTAATGCTTAAATGTTTTTCACCTAACTTAGAAAAAAAAATTAAAAAACGAAATTGATACACGTTATAATATATTTAGCTGTATCAAGTATCCAAAAAAATTGTTTCTCTGAGTGTTTGGAAGGCAAACACTCCAAAACAATTTCCAAATAAAGGCAAAACTATTACAATCCACCCCATTTTGAAGGATTACAGTTTAACTTAGTGAACAGCGGTGATTTTTATTCAAAACAACAATAGACTACGTTACAGCGAAAGCGTCCTAGACTTTGTTGGGAAGTTTTTATCTTAATCTCCTACTAACTGGATAACGCTGGGCACTACTAACTGATTATTTTTGAACTTTGATAATCGTTAGCCAGAGCTACATTTCCGATACTGTCTCCCAAATCTTACAGGGTTTTTTTTTCGGGACTAAATTTTTCTATCAACACAATATTTATTAACTTGTATATTGTTGGGAACAAGTAACGAAATCTGAACTAGATAATTGTTATGATTCGTATATTTGCATGAAATTAGAGGATTGATTTTCTTTTTTGAATACCTTACAGCATGTACAAAATCTACTATAGAATTATAAAATGTTATTATTTACGAATGCATGCTTTTGGCTGATTTCGAGTTATTTGGCATGTACATTTTGCTACAACAGCAATAATATTTATTCACTCCTGTTGTTAGATTTATTTTAGATCTTCAAAAATTTTATACTTAAATATTTTTTTAAAAAATGTAATTAACTCAAACAGACCGAAAATTTTCGGTTTTCGGTTGGTATGCTTTTTTTGTATAAATGCGATTTTTCTTTCCATGCGGTTAAGAAAGTTCCTTCAGAAACATTTCGAAATATCTTAATTACAATTTTTTATTTACCATAATTAAGACAATTTTTAAATAAAAGCTATTTTTTTTGGCCATTTTGGAATTTTTATGCCATATAAATAAATTGTACGAAATATTATCATATTCATTTTGTGGAAAATATAGGTGCCTGCATCATATTAGTTGATACTATAATTTAACATCAATGTCTTCACTCTATAATGCATTCTCTTTCATTTTTCTATTTTCTTTTAGTCTCTTTATTCCCGTTCATAAAGCTAACAATTCAGCTTTTCAGTAAATCTAACAATCACCATTTTTAAGTTTGGTCATCTCGCCATTTAATATTGTAAGCCTCTTCAGATTAAAGATTTCAATTAATGTCAAATTTAGTCGATAATCACTATTATTTTGTGAGTTAGTTTTGTACTAGTCAAATACCTGTTGCCAGAAATACTTGTTATAAATTACTTATGCATTAGTTAACAAATATAAAATACTTTTAAAATTGCTTCTAAACTGTAATCCTTTAAAATGGGGATATATTTATATATATATTTTTCAAATATTAATTTTATGCATAAAATGATTTCAGGTTATGCCTAAAGACGGAGTCAAACTTCTTGGAATACTTCTTCACGCTCATTTATTAGGTAAGATGGAGATCATTTAATACTAGAAAGACTTAACATTGCTCAATACCTAGGAAGAGTGAAAGAGAAAGGTTGGTCTTTCCCAGATTGTTTGTGTGTAGATCGATTAAACATCCGAAATCTTAAAATACATTCATAATTAATTTAATATAAACATATTAGACTTGATCATCAAATTTCTATGGCATTTTATTCGATTTGGGTAACGAAAATACTTGATCAAATGGGGACACTTGCTTCTCAATTATACTTTTACAGTATAATTTTTTTTAAATTTTTTTTTAATGGCGGGCACTTGGGATGTATTGTCCCATTGGCCAGGAGTGCCAGAACTGTTACTCTCTCCTCGGTACCCGGTGGGCACCTTTGGCGAAGCCACGGCTGTGGAGCAGCGTCGCCCACGTCACACAGCCACAAACACCTTTATAGGGAGGGGTCACACTCACACAATCACACAAAGGAGAAAGGACATAGAACACAGAGAGAAAGAAACATCTATGTCCTAAGCGGGATTCGAACCCGCAACATCGGCTCCGCAGTCAGGCACGCTAACCACTCGGTGACCTGGTCGGCGACAGCATAGTTTCTTAGATAATTGAGCTTCCCTTTCTCTATAAATAATAATTATAGATATGTTGAAATACTCCTTTTTTTTCTTTTCTTTTTTTTAATGGAATTGGAGTACTTTACGTGTACGAAAGGAATCCTTATACCCAAAACTACCTTGGTTTATGGGATACCTACCAAGATACCCGTTCAACCAAATACCTACCAAAATATAATAATATTTTATTTTATAACCGTCGTTTAACAGTCGACCGAATTTTTGGGTTTACGACTCATGTTCAATTCCGTAGCCTTGTAGTTTTGTACCCAATCCAGAAGACAAGGGAACTCCTGTATCAGGTATTGGAAGAAATTTGTTTTCGTGGAGGACTTTTGATGGAACTAACCCGCATTTGCGTTACATGGAGAGGCAGACCACGAGAACCTCCCACGGTTAGCCTGATTGCAAAGGGCATGATCCGTCTACCACTGAGGATAGTATACGTCTGGCTTGCACGTGGTCGGTGCAAACCGGATGCTGATTCGTATCCACCAACCATCACTGGGATTCAAACCCGGTCACTTCATTGGAAGGCAAACGCTCTATCCCCTGAGCCCTCGTTGCTCAAGCACTTGCATTGAATCAAATTATGTTTAGTCAGAAATACTCAGAGCTTTCAGTAAGCTGTTTTTCGAATTACAGAGCAACAAAAATCGAGAAGAATCAATTAGCCCAATTCGTTTTTCTAGTGTTAATTAGATAAGACGATATTTGTATAATATATATTGTACATCCTGCATGTATATAAGAGAAAGTTAGTTGTACAGCTAAGTTTTAATGGTTAAAATAATCAATTCTGAACTAGGTATTTAATTTGAAATACGTTTTTGCACCTGTAACTAAATTTAATGTTATTTTCAGGTCGCCATTTAAAAGCAAGGCATTTCAGAAATGGAACTGAGCTTATTCCACTTGGTGATGATAAAAATTATGATTTTAACTATCAGGTAAATTTTTGGTTAAATGAAATAAGTTTTATAACTATGCTTTGAAATGAAACTTTTATTGAATATATATCTTAAAAATCAATTTATTTTATATATAATCTGAAATGAATGCTTCATGAATATATCATGAAATAAAATGGTATGAGTAGAATTTTATAAATATATCTGGAAATTGAATTATTATAAAGATGAATATTTTATGAGTGAAAAATAAAATTATTGCATGAATGGAATTTTTTAAATATATCTTGAAATGGAATTCTAATGAATATAAATATTTTATGTGAGAAAAACGAAATTACATAAAATATATATGGATGTTAAATTACTCTAACATCATTAGTCTAATAGACAGAATGATTTTTCAGGTCATTTTCTTTGTTGTGTGATGCACTATAATGTGTATAATGTGTATCCCCAACGTCAGTATCCTCACGAGATACTCGCAATAGATAACTACGAATTAAATAATTTTAAACTTCATTGCCCAATACTGTGATTAAACTTAAACTTTAATATGGTTAATACCTTAACTCCCAACGACTCAATACCTAATTTATATAGCAGTGAATTTGAACAAGTAGATAAACGGTCTGAGAAATTTCTTTATGTATGCATATAAACGATTCGTTGCTATAGTTCTTCATGTTATTTGCTGTCATAGAATAAAAATGCTCGATAAGGACGCATTTTTTGTTGCAAATTATTCTACTGGAATGGCTTAAGAATTACGTAAAATCTGAAAATTCGCTTTACATATTTCAAGAAAAATGAGACGATATGTCTGCCTTGAACCATATTTACCATGAAAGTTTGCTTTAAGCTTAAAAGGTTATAAGCTTATGTATTATGTAATTAATTGTAGGAATAATTAATAATCTGGTAGCACGATAATCAGTTGAAACTAGGCATTATCCACAAATTTTTGAGTATCATAGTTTTAAATTAGCAACTGTATAAGTATTAAAAATATAGAGTATACTTTAATGAACCAATTGATCGGAAAATTAAAAAAACATGAATGGAAATAGATTGGTCATGTTCTACGCAAACCTAAAAAATTTAAAGTAAAGCAAAAATTTTTGATTGGCACCCTCAGGGCAATAGAAAAAGAGGAAGACCTAAAAATGCTTGGCGCAGGATGATTGCAAACGAATTGAGAACAATAGGAAAGACATGAAGAGAGGCAAAATATCTGGCCACAAAAAAGAGTGAGATGGAAGGTTATGATAGAAAGCCTATGCTTCAATTCGGAGGGAAAAGGAATGTATGTATACTAACAACATGTTTATAAGTAAAAAAATAAATTCTCAACGTCAAATTACAATATCGATACTTTGGTATAAACTTGATTCAACTTTAATGTAATGTTAACGTGTATCAAGTTTCCATTCAAACTCAATCATAGTATCATGGAATAAAGTTAAAGAAATATTAGAATTCGATACAACTTTTAGGTTGTAGCAAGTTAGAACAATTCAGGCACAGTATTTGATACAATATTCAGGTTGTAGCAAGTTAGAAAAATTTTATGGTTCAACACAATCCTAAATATATTGTTGTCCTAGGCTATTAAGGCATAAGGGGTGTGATTGTTCTTGCTTTCCAGTGACTCCATCTATGACCAAGAATTAGATTTCGGCCACATCCATACGTTTAACCCATTTATAGGGCGGATACATTCATACATACAGTCATTCATCCACATATCCTAATTTTAACCTGAACCATAGAACCATCAATCTTCAATCCAGTACCCCCAGAGGCATAATTTGTTATGGGAACATGGAGGACTTAGTGATCCGACAGATTTAACGTGTACCAGTCACCATTTACTACACGGGGGGTCTTCGGCCGGCTAGATTTGAACTCCTGTCCAGACGAATATGAGTCCAGCACCCTACCAACCAAACTATCTTGGCCCATCTGAAGTATATTACAATGTAATATTCTTTTTAGAAGATTTTTAAATTCTTAATTTATGTTTTGTTTCTTGAATTGACTTTCCTTTCATACTCAACCTGAGTTGTAATTAAGTATAAGAAGTACTATAATTTGGTACAACTTTATGATAATGCGTAATCAGTATCATTTTTAGGCTGTAACAAATTTGAGCAATTGTATTGTTCAACATACTCCGAATTTTTTTAACAATGTATATAATCTTTTTAATAGATTTCGAAATTCTTATTTTATGTTTTTTTTCTGACTTAGGAATACCGGTATTATAATGAAGAAGTTACCATTTTGCCAGTAAGTAAATATTCTCTTATATAGTATTTACTCTTCTTTAATCTGAATACTTATCGCAGGATCTAAATTATTCAATTATTTTGATATTCAACGGCATTGCGAAATGTATAAGTTTAAACATAGTGCTAATAAACTCATAACAGCATATATAAAAGATAGATTTTATCTGAATATTTTTTTTTTACTCGTCCGTTTTTGCTCCTCAGGAACGCGAAAGATTATTTGTACTTATGCAACTATTATTATAACGCTTCTTAGGTAGTTTGTCATCTTCAAACAAGGGCTAAACAACTCCTAGTCATATATCATCCTTGACATTGAGTCAGACATATGAGTCATCGAATATAATAACCACTAAGTGAGTATCTAGAGCCTTTTTATCACGAGCGTGTCACAGTGCAGTCGCAATCAGTACTTCAATCCAATCTAATCATTTGTCATAATTTTTCTAATGACATATGGTGCTGTATTATCAAGAGTATCTTACAGATATTGTCAGAAATACCTATAGACTATTTTGTAACAATCGAATTTTCTATACGTTTTAACCCTAATATTATGCATAAAAACCTAATTCCAGTTAAAGAATGATATATTTTTGCATTTTTAATTAGACCTTGTCAATTAGCTAAAAATTAATTAGTCTGAATTTTGTTTTCGGAAGAACAGAAATTATAGAATATAGAAGATAAATGTTTTAAAAAGTTGCCAAAAATATTGGGTTGTTCGGAAAGTCTCGTTTTGCCCATATGAAAATGAAAGACGTTTTTCTTAGAGTGAATAAATATTTTATTGAATTACATATTGTCCATTCTAGTCCAATACCATTTTGTCATCTTTCTGGCAGTAGCATGATTCCTAGCTCATAAACATTTTGCGTATTACTGGCAAAAAAATTATCCAGGAAATTTTTGACCTCCTCATTTAAAACAAAGGTATAACCGTCTAAAATTTGTTGAAGAGACCCAAACAATTATTGTAGACCACCCATTTCTCCTCCCTACTGATGATGAAAATGTCCTATTTCTCCTCCCTAGTGATTCAAAAATGGACATTTTTCTTCAAGTTTGAGAAGCAAATCACAGACGTCGAATGCGATGACACAAATTTCTTTCCGTAAGAACCTGAGGAATCCATATGTCGAGCTTTGAGAATAAACCTAAACGTTTCAAATGATCATGAATTGTATAATTCGACAAATTTTAACTCTCAGTGATCTCACGAGTTGTTAATCGACAGTTTGCATCAAATAATGTCTTGATTAGGATCATGGTGGCTCAGGGGACAGAGCATTCGCTTTTCAATTAGGTGAACCGGTTTCGATTCCCAGCGATGTCGGGTTGATACGAATTCCGCACCCGGTTCACCCCGACCACAGTGCTGATGTAAACTATCCCCAGTGGTAGACGGATCATGGATTAGAGTCCCCTTGCCACCAGGCTAACAATGGGTGCTTTTGTGGGGTTTTTTTTCTCCATACAACGCAAATGCGGGATAGTTCCGTCAAAAAGATCTCAACGAAGGCAAATTTCTCCCAATACCTGATCCAGCAGTTCCGTTGTCTTCTGGATTGATTTCAAAATTTCAAGACTACGGTGTTGAACATTAGTAATCGTAAACCCGAAAATTGGGTAGACAGTTCAACAACGGTTATAAAATAAAATAAAAATATCCTTATTGTTTCTTCTTCAGAATAAATTGGCGTTGTGCATCTCCATGTATCTTAATCGAAATTTTGCCAACCAGTTTTGGCTCCATCTCATTTTCAACGCATTTGATAAAAAAATTTTTAGCGTGAAAAACATTTTTACCTCTTCGATAGTAAAAAAAAATATACTGGTGCTTTTCACGTTCTATATTTGATATTATATATCGGCGAAGTTAAGGAATTTTTTCACAAGTGAGCCTTCCTCTATTCTTTCAAAATTTATAATGATTATACGACTCAAGTGTGAAAAAAATAAAGTACTTTGTTGAAGTACTTGTAAGAATCCTATTGTCAATATGCAAAATTGAGAGGTTTTCATCGTCTTTCTTTTAACGTATTTAGCTTGTTAAATTCGCTGGAAAAGCATTAATCGAAAACAAGTCCTTTCTCTGTCAATAGTTGTTTTCTAGCTTGCATTTGAAATTACAAAAATAAATTTGAGAAGTCATTACATCTCAAATAAAAGTTACATATACTTGATCCAGGAGTTCCCTTGTCTTCTGGATTGTGTTCAAAATTCCAAGGCTACGGAGTTGAACTCTCAAAATAAGTAAACTCAAAATTGGGTCGGCTGTTCAACGACGGTTATTAAAAATAAAGAAGCAATCATGGAAAGTGGGGAGCTAAGCGAACAAGGGCTGGACCTTTTAATCTATGTAAAGAGTTAGTCTTCTAACCCACCCCTCAGGCGTATTCAAACGGGCCACCACCCGTGGTGTTTATTAAAATCTAAATAAAAAATGTATATCATAAGTAACAACAGTCACGTTTCAATAGTTGTTTCACTAGATTTAGGGGTATTCAGAAAAGTTAAGTTTGTCGTCACGATATCTCCCAAATGAGGAAACCCAGGTCCGGCACAACACACAGCTGGGCCACTACACGTCGTGTTTATTAAAATCCTAACAAAAAATTTATATCAGAAGTGGTAACAGTCACGTTACAATAGTTGTTTCACTAGATTTGGTTTCATTGCATTGATGACAGGCAAAAACAATCAACTCAACAAAAAAATAAGGTCTAAACTACCGAAGTTTGTTATAGCGGTGAAGAACAACTAGAGCACTTTTTTCTAGTCTATGTAAATAATTATTTATTTGAAGCTATTTAACTAAGAGCTATTACATAAATTGATTTAAAAATATTATTTGTTTAATCCGTTTAATGCATTTTATTTTGAGTTCAATAATTAAATTATGACTAAAACAATAAATCTTCAAAAAACAATAAATAACTAAATATAATCAAATAATAAAAAAAATTATAATATTTAATCATAAATTTAATATCAAAGTAAGAATTAGTCTCTGAATTTCTTTTTTAAAAATTATTTATTCTTTCGATTCAGGGTGATCAAATAACTGTGGAATGCACATATGATTCTTCAGACAGAATGGAACCAACTTTCGTAAGTTAGATCTTTGTTTATTCTTGTATTTTCACAATTTAATTATTATTAATGTTTTTTTTTAGCTTTCAATTACCAGATCATAACTATTACAGATTTAAAACTTTTTTTTTATTATTCCCTAAAATTCTGAAAATTATGTTTGGTAATTTGCTTTTTTTCCCCTTACCCTAAGATACTAAAATTATTAAATAAAACATAAAACATTAATAAAACATATTATTATTTTGTTTTATTGAAATAATACTACCTTCTTTAATTCAGACTTAAAAAATATTCACCAGTGCTTGCTAAAATGTTTTTGGAAGAACGCATTTTATTTGTTTACCATAATTTTAAAACATGTTGTGTTTTTCAATAAATTGTTTTCTTCTTTCACTATGTAATTTATATTTGTCTTAAAGCATTGAAATTAATCATTATATTAATCATTATAATTTTAATGACACCAGGTGTCTGAGCGGCAGCGCTTCGCGCTGTCGTGCCACAGGTCCCTGGTTCGATCCTTGGGCCACGCAAGGTTGACTCAGTCTTTCATCCCTTCAGTGGGTCGATAAATGAGAACCAAGCATGCTTGGGAACTAAACACTGGGGGTTCTGCGTTCGGCTGACCACCTGACCGGAACATCTGCTCCTGCACCCCAGAGCCCAAGGTCAAGAAAACTGAGATAGACACAGTAGGTCTTGGCCCTCTATGGGCTGTCGCGTCACTGTGTTTAGTTTAGTTTCGTGTTTTTTAATAAATTGTTTTTTTTCTTTCAATATGTAATTTATATTTCTCTTAAAGCATTGAAATTAATCATTATATTAATTTGATTGATCGAAAAAGAATCCTGAAAATGTATTTAAATTTCTGCCGTCGCACAAGTGTTCCTATCACCTAAAAAAGAAACTCTACTTTCACCATGTTTACCCCTGGTTAATTATATGAAAGCAATTTTCTCATTTATTGAGTAACTAATTAAAAATTTAGCAATATTTTTGTTTCATTTTTGACATATATAAATGTATTTTAAAAATACTTAAAATCCAAGAATAAAAGAAGAATGAATAAAATGAAGCAAAAACTATTCCAAATATTAATTAGAGACTTAAATATGCAGTAATTTGGTATCTATTCAATTCTCATTAGAGTAACATAACAAATGAAGAAATACAGCGTTGCACCGAAAAACAGAAATTTTTGAGTATAATTTGTGCAAATAAAAACTGCAAAAGCATATTTTTATTGACAAAAGTGTATGCATTCTCTTATAACAGATGCTGTTACAACAAATACCGTTATAACGATTACCGTTATAGCGAATATTGCTATAACGAATACTTCCATTACGAACACTGATTTAACGAACGAACGAATAGCGTTAGAAAAGTGTTGCTATAACAAATATTGTTATACTGGCAGTTTTAACGAAAGTTATCGAAAAGATAGGTGACACCAAGTATTTTGGGGTATTCATAATCAGATATAAGAATATGGACACCAGTATGGAGCATTTCTTTCTCAGGTCATTTTTCAGAAGAAGACAATATGAGATATTTTGTGATGAGAAATTAAATGCAACCTGCAAATGTATAATTTCGTCAACAAAAATTTTTTTTTTGTTGTCCTATTTTTAATTCGTGTAATATATTGTACTTCAAAACATCCCTTTGTCATGTTCTACCTAGTATAATCTGACTTAGTATACCCTTAAATAATTATTCAACACCAAATAAAAATAATGATTAATATTTTAGGGAGGGGAAAGTACAAGAGAAGAAATGTGCCTAGCTTTTTTGCTTTACTATCCAAAAATAGAAAGATTTGGATCTGTGAGTGCTCCTTCTGTTCAACAAGTTAACTCTCTACTAAATGGAAAGTAAGTTCCTTCTTTTAATGCGAATCATAATAAAATTTTGAATTTTTCAACGAAAATAAATCGAGAAGTTAATTAACGAGCAGTTTTAAAAAAATTTCAATTAATAACACTTTAACAGTTCGATTAATACAACAAGAATAAAACTAAGAATTTTTATGGGGGAAAAGTTTTCTATCCAAAAGTAGAAAGATTTGGATCTGTAAGTGCTCCTTCTGTTCAACAAGTTAACTCTCTACTAAATGGAACGTAAGTTCCTTCTTTTAATGCGACTCATAATAAAATTTTGAATTTTTCAACGAAAATAAATCGAAAAGTTAATTAACGAGTAATTTTAAAAAAAATTCAATTAATAATACTTTAAAAGTTCGATTAATACAACAAGAATAAATCTAAGCATTTTTATGGGAGAAAAGTTTTCTATCCAAAAGTAGAAAGATTTGGATCTGTGAGTGCTCCTTCTGTTCAACAAGTTATCTCTCTACTAAATGGAACGTAAGTTCCTTCTTTTAATGCGACTCATAATAAAATTTTGAATTTTAACAACGAAAATGACACGAAAAGTTAATTAACGAGTAGTTTTAAAGTGTCATATAAAAGTTCTTGAGGAGTAAAAGGAATGTAATCATACGCAGCTAGAGGCACAGTAATCAATCAGTGACAATATTTAGCAGAATGTTACAGGATAACCTAAAATTACTTTTGAGTTTTATTGTTTTATTAGACTAAACCACGACTCATAAAATACTACTTATATCAAGCCAGTATAAAGTCAGTGAACCAGAATGTTTAATTTTCAAGAAATCGAAAAAACAATTTTCAACAATTTAAAATTTTAGCTTTGGATATTAGTACATAAACTAAAGAAATATATTTATTTATTTTTAAAAAAAACACATTTCTTTTACAGTTTGAAAGACGAAGATGAGGAAACTGGCCATTTGAAGGAGTTTTTACTTAATGTCGATTGGAAGTCAATAGACATGCAAAAATTAGAGAACGATATGAGATATAACGAACAAAAGCAGTCTTTATGTTATAATGGAAACGGACAAAGGGGAAATGTAAGTGACAAAAAAATTACTTTATTTAATCACTGAAATTTTTTGTTATTTTTGTCTATACGGAGAAAAATTCTAGTAAAGTTACCGTACTGTACAGAAATGACATTTCTGGTAAAAGGAGAAAAAAAAAACATAATTTTGGTACTAAAAATCATTCATTTGGTAATTTTTCCGTCCCGTAACGGTTTACAGCAAAGGTTGCCAAAGTGGTCTATATAGACCCCCAGGGGTCTATTTAACGAAAGCGGGGGACGATCTGATCCAGGGGGTCGATCCGAATCGGAAGTGTCAATTGGGTGTCGAAGTAAAAACAGTTCCTAATACGCAAATCACACATACCTAATTGAGTATGTAAAATTTGTGATTTTTTTTTATAATTGACTTAATATCAGTTCCTTATAGATCATAAATTAATAAACATATTTATTCAGGTGAAACAGGTATTTACGTATCAGCGTTACAAACGTAAATATCATACGCAGTTTCAGCTCTCTTTGCAAACTGTGAACAGTTTTGAATATTTGCAGCGTCATTATTAAAACTTTTATAGTTTTGGATATCATTCATTTATATCATTCGTTTATATCATAACTTATCGATATCATTCGTTTAGTTTAGATATCAATTTTAATTATCAATACATGTAAAAAAGAAGGTAAGCATTAATAATATGGATTAGTACAGCCCTCGACAAAACTGCAAGATGAGCTTGCTGAATTATTATAGGATCTTGAAGCAAAGACGCTTTTTAAAAATTTAACAATAAGCAAATTTTGGACAAATATAAATATAATGCAGAAATATGTAAAACTTTACGAAATAGCTCAGTCATTTATGCTAGCATTTCCAAGTTCATATATGGTTGAAGCCGGTTTCAGTCACGTAAATTTAGCACAACTAAGTACAGAAATAAATTAAATGTGGAGTTTCGAGGGGATTTAAGATAAAAAAATTGGCCAATTTTGAACCCCATATAGCGAACCTTGCAAAAAAACATCAGGCACACCCATCTCATTGATTAAGAAGCAATAAATCTGTAGTTACTTTACTTATTACTTCTTATTTATAATTACTTATTATTTAATAAATATTAAGGTATTTAAATTTCAATATAAATATATTTTTCATAAAACTATTGTTACACAATGTACTATTACTTTAATAAATGCTTAAAATCATAAAATAAATGTACAAGCACAGTATCTAACAGAGTTTTATTTTAATTAACAGAAAATTACTTTTATGGGGGTCGATGGTGATTTCGAAAAATTATATAGGGGTCGATGATCAAAAAAGTTTGGCGACCCATGATTTACAGGAAATTCTGGCTTTTAAAACTGTAGTTCTTATTACCATTCATTTAGTAAGAAATGTAAATCTTATAAGTAAATTTAACTAAATAAATGGTTCATCTATCATTACTAGGTTAATTTTGCCCAAATTATTATCGGAACACTTCGGTAACATTACCGACCTTTTTGTTCTATCCATAAAGCCAGAAACACGGTAAATTTTACCACATTCAAAACTCTCTTTCTCAGTGCGCAGACAGAATTAATTCTAAACGGGAAAAAATTGAGACGTTAAAAAAGGAGTTAGAGGATAAAAAAATAGTGCTTGTATTGAAACAGATCTTTGAGTGGAGGTCAACCTCATGGAGTCATTATCATTGTAGTGGAGTCAAAGTAAAAGTTTGTGAGTCATTTAATCATGCTGTTAGATAAGTACAGTTTAGAAGTTAGTTTGATGATTCCCAAGCGTTATTTCTTCCTTCAATGAAACTTTATTTTTGCCACCTTCAGTGGTTATTTTCAATGTCAATTTCTCAATTGCCAGCATTTTAACATAGTTATAATTGAACATCATTAACAATTAATTCAATAATCATGAATAATGTAATTGAATAACTTTTTTTATTTAATTAAGTATTTTAAATTTAGATCGAATTTTGAAAATCAAAAATAATTTATAGTGCCCCCTCAATTTATTTATTTTAGGCCAAAATTCCGCCACCTTAAGTTTTATGCAACTTTATTGGTTTGTGGAATTTTTTACATTGATTTCAAGGTGTTCGAACTCAGATTGAAAAAGAAAGCTTATATGTAGCAAGGATTCGAAAGCTAAAAAAAATAATACTGTAGTTTAAAATAAACGTATATGTTTATGAAATCCTTGTCAAAAATGAAGTTAAGAAGGATACACATTAATGATCGAAAATTAATATTCGAGATGAAGATGACCAGTAGAAGATGAGATAGCCAGTTTGATTGCCTGATGAAGCCTAGAAGTGGTTCTAACAATCCCCTTTCAACTCCTCTCTTTGGATTTCAGCAATAATAATAATTTGGCGCCTGCTAAAAAAACAATTCAAAACGAGCAAATCCCATTTCTTTTTTTTTTCTTTGAAATAATTATTAATTTTTTAAAATTATTTTAATTATCAAACTTATTAATTACAAACTTTAAATTATCCTGTTTAATATTATTACCTTGCTCACATCCATTTTCTGGCCCATCCAAGGTAACTAACAAATTAAACGTGCTTCAGTATTGCAGTAAGAACGTGCCATAAGATATCACTTTATTTATGCTTCTGTTTTCATATTTTGTAATCTGGCAATCTTATTACGAAAATATTTCAAATCATTCTTGAAAGATTCCGGTACGCGTAAGTTCATTTTAATTCGCTCCTCACTATGTAGATTTCCTTTCGTGTACTGTTCTCTAATCTCTTTACATTTTATTTTCCGGGCTATTCCACGGCAACTTACATTACATTCACATAAACTTTATTGCACTGAGAACTTAAAAGCAAACAAATAATACTAATACACGTATTAAAATGAAGTGATTTCTTATAATTACAATCAAAACCAAAAGGAATCTTATTAAAATAATTAATATTTTTCAATTTAAACAGTGTAAAAATCTAAAATTAGTGTGGTAACTTACGTTACCAGAAAAGGAATGGCATAAATTTGCAATATGCTTGAAGGCAAAATTCTGTTCTTATACAAATGCTGCATGATTAAGATTATATGTATCATTTTTCTGACATGTTTAAATATTTTTTATGCCTAGATTTAAGATTTTGTTTCAAAAAGTAAATTGAATATAATTTTTTAAATGGGTAACTTACGTTACAGTAATTTAAATACGAAATTCACTTTGTTTCAAACTTTTATTCCAATAATGATCAAATGCAAATTAAGATATTTAAACAGTATAGTGCAAGGGAGAAAAAGTGTACATGAAGTAAACTCAGAAACTTTTGATTTACACACTTGATTCACACATATAACTGCAAACTTATTAAGTCTTCAGTTATTAACTAGTATAGGGGGCTCAATTCCTTTCACCATGTTTTCCTGCTGGTAGAATATTTCATCTCCTTTTTCTGGTCATTTACAATAGATTCCCACAGCAGCCATTACATTTACTTTAAATTCTTGCCCTTCAACAGACATTACCACACCAGGATATAACTCGTATCTAACCATATTCCAACCTCCAGCTTTTGTCTTGGGTTCATCATTTTCTTTTTCAATGTCTTTCACAAAAAAAACCCTTCTGGTATGCCTTCTTATACTCTTAAACGGTGGATCTGCTTAATGTTTTTAACCAGTGGAGCTTTTGAGAATAGACTAAACACTCCTCTCATTCTAGAGACTCGCATCATCTGTTTTTTTCTAAACATAAAATAAATTTCGAAAGAATTTCGAAAGATGGAACATTATGGATTTTGCTAAAGGCTTCCTTAGTCATTCCGAACTTTTCATGATACTTACAAAAACAAACATTTCTCGGAAATTTGCTACTAAGCAAGACATGCTTTGAACGGAGCTCAAAAAATTTAGTTTTTCCAATTTTGCATTCTGGATTTTCTTCCATAAGCATTTGGTGCATTTCTCGAACGGAATGAAGAAGATGCCATGCTTGTACTTTCTTTTTGCTACCATTAGCATCTCTAATTATAANATTAGCTTATAATATATATATATATATATATATATATATATTATGGCATTAATGTGTAGAGATACACTTTATTTTATTTTATAAAATTGCATGTTAAACTATATAAGTTAGAGGATATATGTTACTTATTTATACTTTATTTTAGTAATAGTAAAGATACATTTGTTTCTTAAAAAATATACCTTTGCAAAAGAATTTTATTATTTAAATTTTTTTTTCATTTCAGACGAAAGATTCAGTTTCTTACCCATCAAACTTCGAGCCGTTTAAAGAAAAATCAAGTTGTCCAAAATTTTTGAGTAAAAGTAGTGGATATTCTCTCACTAATAATTTACAAATGACTTGTATTTGCTTATCTGTTTTTGCGATTCATGTTTTGTGGAAACATTAACGCACAAAACAAAGACTCATTAAATTAGTTAAAATGTTTTTACATCTAAATCATCTACACTTCATATACTTTTGACAAGTTACTGTGCTATCAGAAAAACGAATAAAAGTGCGAATTTGCTGCCTTATAGCCAAGGTGATATCGTTTTAAGAATATGAGTTCATGGGGCAGTATTTTGAATATGTCTGTTATTTCAATACTTTTATATTTTTGTTCACATATTCTACTGGCTGAAAAAAAATTTATGAGGAAAAACTTTGCTGGTGGCGCGTTAATATTTTAACATATTCGGAGTTACATATTCACCCGAATATGGGTATAATGTTAATATTTTAATATATTAACATACCTATATTCGGGTGACAGCAAAGTTTCTGATAGGGCCACGTTACCCGTATTGGGGTGACGCTTATTTGACTACTTGCAGAGGATATTCGTATGTATTTGAAAATATATTTCACGGTAAGTAATGAATCTATTGAATGGTTATAAAAGTAATACAAAAATGATTTATTAAGAAAATTGTTGTGAGTCTCGTGAAAGCTTTATTGTTCACTGCTATTTGACTCACCGAGAAATAAGTTTTTCTTTTCGGAATTTCAATGTAATATAGTTTAATTATTTTAAGTTATACTCCTCTTTACTCGGCAAAGATTCAAACTGATCGAATAAAGTAGCTAGATGAGAAACAGGTGCGAAGACATGATACAGAGAACAGAGATACCACGGAAACAAACAGAGCGAGATATTCTTGTGAACACCAGAGACTCGCATCATTAAAATATCGGTGGGAGTTTTTAGCGGAATACTCTTCGTAGAGCGGTACTCGTGCCTTGAAGGAGATTTCACTGTAAATGAGTATGGCAGTCAAGCGTTAAACATAAAATCGAACTTTTGTAAGTATAGAATGAACAAATTGCTATTGCTAAATGCAACGAAAATACAGAGAGCCATACCTCTCTATGCAGTTTTAAAAAATAATTATGTGTACATAAAACCATATTGCTTATATATATGGTAGCGGATAAGATTTTTGATGCCTTAAGTTTCTAAAACGGGGCATAAAAGGTGGCAAATTTGTATCCCAAAGAGCCTTAACGTTTACAGACAGATAGCGTACAACCAAAAATAAAGTATTGTGCCCCTATGTGTTACGTAAAATATTCTTCCAAAAAAATAAATCGAAATAAATAAGCAGTCAAATTTACATTGTCTCTTGTAAGAAACTATAACCACACTTTTCAGTATCATCAGCAGTATTTCAGAAACCACACTATTCATCGAAAACTCTTGTCTATGAATATTGCTATCTGGTTCCCTAGGAAAATATTCCTTAGAATTTGTTCCCCAGATATAAAGCTGCACAATGTGTAAACTTTTACTTTCCTCTTTTCTCGCTAATTACTAATGAATTTTTATAAAAATTAGCTATTATTTCTACTCTCATAAAATTTAGTTAGCAAGTTTTGTACTTAACTTGTTTAAACTTGTTCAATTTTGCATTGTTTCAAAAAATAGTGAGTACCTTCTTGACAGAATAGTATCTAAGTACCGCCAGTGCTCTGAAACAAGAAGGTAGCGGGTTTGAATACCGCCGTAACCCTGGGGTGTATCTAAATATTGCCTGCTCTAATTTTTGCTGTTTTCTATTTTCGCAGGACTTTTGAGCAGCTCTTTGTAATGTAGTAGTACTTTATTTAAAATGCTCTAGAGCAGCGTAATGGGTTATTGGCGATAGTCTGGAAAACATCCCTGAGGATTCAAGTAGGTACTTTCTATAAAATTGCTGAGAATGATCCGAAAATAATTACAGTTTCGATATTCTGCAATGGAGAGGGCTTCCCCACTTCGGCGAAGTGGAACAGTTTAGCGAAATCCGATACCGCCCACCCCTGCTCCCTTCACAGTCTGATCAAAGTCATCACTCACCCACCCACTCACTCACCGCTGCCAGTGATGCTTTTAGTGAGCTTCAGTTCTAGGGAAAATTTTACAGGATCGAATATAAATTTTTACAGCTTTGATGTTTATATTTGATTGAGTGATTGTTTTCTTATCTTTCATGAAGCAATATTAGAGAAAGAGAGTGTGACAGGGCATATTAGATAAATACTTAATTTTAATTTTGAGACTAGAAATCTAGTATAAATGCTACAGCTCGATCATTTTGTGAAATTTGTTTTTCATACATTTTATAAAAATTGGTATTGTGTAATTATTTTTTTATGACTTTTTATTTTTAATAAAGTGCTTTAACTTTGTATAATAAAATAAAACCATTCATAGAATATCAAAATAATGCATGTATTATATTGATCTGATGTTATATTTTTCTATATATTTTAATACCTTTTGTATTATCCAACGCACATATTTTTATATTGCATTCTTTTGTAATTTTTTTTTGCTGCTATATGAGTTATGTTATCAATAAAAATAGTACTTTATAGATTTTGGAGTGATTAATCTTTAAGATTTCTTATTTTGTAGCATAAATATTAAATATATCATGTTTAAAATTTAACTTACCAAAATTTACTTCAGTTACTATTTGTACTCATTTTTGCTTAAATTTACAGCCTGTGACATTTATATACAAGTAATTTTTTCTTAAAACATTATATTAAGCTTACGCGATCTTGCTTTTGTTTTCCTGTGGTCGAAATATGATCGCGGATTCTACGATTTTGTTTTTCATTTTATGAATATTAATTCACGCAGAAACTGACTAAAACAGTGGTTTTCAAACTATGCAACGTTTAGTTCTGTAGGTTTGTTTTACCTCGGGAAAAAATGGTTGTAAAACCTGTTCACGGCTACCTTGTTTTGAGGGAGTATCCTGATTACCAAGATTTATTACAAATATAACCTATATATCTATTGTCTACGGTAAGAACTCCCCCCCCCCTCCACAAAGTCTGAGGCCGTCTGCTGCTTTAGAAACAAGAATAGCGCATTTCAGGGAGGGTAGCTTCTCTTCACTCTAGGGCTAACGCAAAAGAAAAAAGATTTCCATTCTCTCGCCGACTCGAGCCTAAACCTGCCCTAAACAGTGAGCCCTCACCCCTACTTGAAATAGTTATACCTTGTTACCATAGTCACCGCCACGGGTTCAGACAAACGGCTAGGGGAGTTCTTACTTTACACAAACTGTATAGAGATGTTTCTTATTTGAGAAAAAGTAAATGGTAGTGGATAGTTCGTAATTAAAAATCGAAAAAGCTTTCAATTTAATTTTTAAGAAACATAGAAATTAAATGAATTTGCTACTCAATGGTTTTCACTCTTTTTTTTTTCTCTATGATTCATATTTATGAATTGGGGAAAGTGGGTAAATTCCGGGTAGCTAAGATTCGAAGGCCTGTGGGAGCTAAACTATTTAAACTCTGAAATTTGATCAAAATATCCCTTGTTTAAGTTGTGTACAATATATCATTCTCGAAAAGTCATTGATGTACTACTTTTTCATAAATGATTTTTTTCTAGAAAAAGTCGAATCATCCGGTCATAACCCTCCAGTGGAGCAAAACTGGGTACACATGTTAACTCGATGAGAAATTTAGAAATATTAAAATTTCTTATAAAAAATGAACATTTCTGTTTCATATGATAATTAAAAAAAATATGTGCGTAATTTACACGTGATGTAGTTAAGGTCGTATTCAAAGAAAACAGAAAGAGACTGATGAAGGCCTGACCACAATTCCTTAAAAATATACTGATTATTTATTAATTTTTCGTTTTTCTTCTTTTTTTTTAAAGAGAATTTCAGAGAATTACTTCATATCCATATAAAAACTACGATTTTGTATAAAAGGTGTTCGAAAATTTTATTAAATATGAAAGTAAGGCTTTTTTTGCTTTGAAGAACAGGCCCGCAATAAATCATAAACTCGTATAACTATTGTTCAGAATTCATTGTAGTTGTCTTCTTTCTTGGCATCGCAGCTTGTGTGAGCTCAGGGGGTATGCGACCTAACCTTGAAAGTTGAGATTATTGAAACAAAACAGAACAGTACTACTAGTGAACGAAATCCGCATTGTTTGTTTATCTTTAGAAAACGTATAATAAGCAGGACTAAAGATGTTTTTTTTAAGACTCTAATGGCCAATAAGTAAGGATAGCTTAAAAATAAGAGAATATAGAGAGTTGACATAGTAAAACTTATCTACACAGACACCATGAATTAACAACCACAAGCCAATAATGTAGGCCCTTCTCCTTGACTAGTAAAGTGTAATTCAGAGTTAGTCAGCTAGGAAAAAGCTAATTTCCACCCAATCGATTTACCCGATCTTACTCCACTCTTCCCTATATCTAAAATATTCTTGCTTAATTTTTTTTTCTCATATAAAGCAGCCAAAATATCGCACTGTGATAAATTCTATTCATCGATAGAATTATGGTAAATTCGGTTGAAACTTGTATTATCGATCACAGAAGTTCAGTCCGGTTTTGAATATTTTACTAAGTCGTCCAAGCTTCATCAAAATTTGAATTTACAATAAAATTCTTTTGAGATAATAGGGCAGAAAGACTAAAAATACGCATTGTGTTTCTTCTAATACAGAGCTCCAGAAATTTTTTTTTATTGTTCCATAATACGAATATATATTAGATTATTATTGTAATAAGAAATTAATATGAATTTGTCTATACATTTTGCCGACCGAACAAATGGAGAAATAGTCAACTTTTCATTTTGTGACGTGGCTAAATTAACTGTTGACCACGCTTGTGGTCAAAACGGAAATATTAGCTTCATCTAGTACTCATATTTGCTACACATCCAGGCCTCATACAGAACAAAACCCGGTTCTGAAGCATACGAGATGGTTTCTCTTTTCCTCAAACTTACTCAACGCGGCGCTTGTTACGTAATAGAACCGGTTGAACTTCTTTCCTGTCTTCTGAGATCTTCTATGAGGCACACAATTACATTGAAAACGAAACAGTTAAGGGACTCAGCCCCATTCTAGTTGTGTATTGTGCTCGAGTAAAAGCTAGCCAGTAGATATTTTTTTAACGGGTAAAAATTTTTAATTGGTGGCAACAATAAAGCTTTGATAAAAATTTGGAAAGAAAAAATAATGATGATATAATTAGAAATCATTAATTTTTATTTGAATGTCATAAATTAGATTCAATAATGTTAAGTAATTCTTTGCAATGTTGTATCGTTGTTGTTGTTAATTTACGTCGCACTAGAGCTGCACAATGGGCTATTGGCGACGGTCTGGGAAACATCCCTGATGATGAGCTTCTCACGAATCCTCACAATTTTGATCCTCTGCGGAGGGGATGGCACCCCCGCTTCGGTAGCCCGACGACCTGCACGCGAAGTCGAGCACTTTACGGTAGCACAGTTTAACGAGGACCAATACCGCACACCCTCGGTCCCTACGCAGACTGATCCAAGTGGTCACCCACCTGCACACTGACAGCAGCCAGTGATGCTTGACTTCGGTGATCTGCTGGGAACCGTGTCTTAACGATCAGTCCACAGCGGGACCTGTTGTATCGATGGAAACATATAAATTTTGGTAGTTGTTCTTTTTCCCTTCCATATTTTCTGCAGAGACATGCTCCCTTGCACGAAACGTTTATCAACACCACTGGATGTAATAACATGCTTTTATATAATATTCTTACACTTTGAGTTATTTTTAAATAGTAGTGGTAATAATTTAGTGCCAGTAAAGATGCGAAGACCATCAGATATGTTGGAAAAATTTTGAAAATCATGTATACAGTAGTATGTTATATTGCATTAGATGAAACCCTCTATTGAAAAACGTACCTTCTTTTGAAAGAAGTTTAATAAGTTCCCAAACATAAAGCATTTAAATTATGCTTCTCAAAAGAAAGCAGTAATTGCCAATTGGATAGATTTCTCCGATCGGTTATTGGCAAAGTGTTAGAAGGATTGATTCTGCTTGTATCAGTCAAACAATGATTGGTACTTGCATTCACATGTAGAGCAGAGCTTCAGTTGATGTTTGAATGCTCTAACTGGTCAAAAAATTGCCAAAACTCTGATTACAAATAAATTCGCTTTGATAACGATAATTTCTCTTGCTGCAGCGTATATATTTGCAGGCTTGTACTTTCAATTACATAAGTACGGCTTATAATCCTTTGTCAAGTAGAAGAGCAGATGAATTCAGAGAAAGTGAGCACGAAAATACATGAACGGGAACTACCTCCACATTACAGAGCATTGCAAACCCTATTACGATAATTTTTACTTGATCGTTGAGAAAATGATTGTGATGTCATTTAGCACAGAGCTTCAGTAGAGATTTGAGTGCTTTAGCTAATAGTAAAATGGTTAAAATTTTGACTGCAATATTTCACATTCATTTACACAAAAAGTAGGTTGGTAGGTACTTTATTCACATCGCACTAGAGCTGCACAATGGGCTGTAGGTGATGGTCTGAGAAACATCCCTGAGGTTGATCCGAAGACATGCCATCGCAATTTTGATTCTCTGCAAAGGGAATGGTTCCCCTGCTTAGGTAGCCTGACGACCTTAACGCGAAGTTTTGGTAGAACAGTTTAACGAGGACCGATACCACACACCCTCTGTCCCTAAGCAGGCTTATCAAAGTGGTCACCCTCCCGCTTACCGACGGCAGTCAGTGATACTTGATTTCGGTGTTCTACTGAGAACCGTGTCTTTACGATCATACGCAGCAAGAGAAATTATCGTTATCAAAGCGAATTTATTTGTAATCAGAGTTTTGGCAATTTTTTGACCAGTTAGAGCATTCAAACATCAACTGAAGCTCTGCTCTACATGTGCATGCAAGTACCAATCATTGTTTGACTGATACAAGCAGAATCAATCCTTCTAACACTTTGCCTTTGCCTTCTAACACACTGCCGGACATTTTAACAGAAGCGAATTTATAAAAATTTATTAATTTAAACAGATTTTTATAAACGTCTTGGTGATCCATATTTTGATTGCAAATCTCTGCCCAAGGGAATATATAGAATATTTCAGAGATTTTCAAAAATAAATTTATCACAAAATATATAATTTTATCCTTGATTTATTCCCTCGTTTATGAATTAAAAATGAAGGATATTACGAAAGAAGTGTATATTTCGTGATTGGTTACAAAATAACTGTTCGCATCGCATATAATGAAATGAGGCCAATTTAGTGACCCTGAAGGAAGTATATTTCGATATGTCCTTCCTGAGTGCATAAAACATTACATTGGTATATTATACTTCAGCAATCTATCTTTTTTTTTCTAAGAGCTATGCTATAATTCCAAATGCACCTGTTACTCAATAAAGGAAGATTTAAAAAAGAATCTGTAAACATGATTGTATTGATCTTACTGCAAATTATAACTCGTTCTAATCATGCGAGGACTCTGATTGCCACAATATAATCCTAATAGCAATAAACAGAAGCTCTTTAAGCGAAATGATTAAGTGACTGACGTCAGAGATGTTATAAGAAGATAGTTTTTAAATATGTGAAGTAAAAGCATAAGCTTTATGACTCTGTTATCTATGCGTAAGAACTAATATTAACTGAAGAACTTTTCTACAATAAAAAACGTAAGTACCGCCTTTTATTTAAAAGAATTTATAATTTTAAAGAGAAATCTAGCAGAGAGAAAATTGGTATTTCGGTATTAGAAAAATAACATCATTTTTTAAATTTTCAAAAGACCATGCGAATCCTGCAATTCTGTCGGAGATGATTGTTAAGTTCATGGGTTAAGCAGTTATAAAATAAGTCGTATTTAAGAATTACAATGTTTTGGGTACTGTTTATTGTTTGTTGGCGACTATTATAATATAAAATTAGCAAAACATTCGTACTTTTGTAAAACTTATGGTCGTGAAATAAAGCACATTTTAAACACCATTTCTCTTGAGTAAATTACAATGAGTTCATAGCGAATATAAAACTATCATCGCAAATAAATACAAGATAAAATTAAGGGGCTGAAATTTTGTATTATTTTGAAAAGAAGTAAAAGAGACAACACAGTTTTATATCTGAAAGAAACAAAAATTAAATGACCAATAATTACTAAAGGAATCACTATTTTTTTTAGAAGTCTGAAGAGTAATATAGTTGTTAAAACAATTTATATGTTAGTACATATGAAAATATTTTACTTTTTTTAAAAAATAAATTCAAAGTAAATAACAACTTAATTTGTTAATAAATGCTATTTTAAAGTTTTGCAATCTTAAAATCTTACATGTAAACGCACTTTGCTAAATCATTTTGCCTCGCTATTATATTATATGCATATTATATCTGTGAATAGCCGACCGGGTGGCCGAGTGGTTAGCGTGCCTGATTGCAGAGCCGATGGTTGCGGTTTCGAATCCCGCTCAAGGCAAGGATGTTTTTTTCTCTCTGTGTTCTATGTCCTTTCTCCTTTGTGTGAATGTGACTAGCCCTATAAACGGGTTTGTGGTTGTGTGACGTGGGGGACGCTGTTCCACCACCGTGGCTTCCACAGGTGCCCACTGGGTAACGAGAAGAGAGTAGCTATTCTGGCACTCCTAGCCAATGGGACAATACATCCCAAGTGCCCGCCATTAAAAAAATATCCGTGAATAAATGCAGTGTTTGTGTTTATAGCATTTCTACTTGGAAATTAAATCTTTGTCTTACGGTTCTGAAAGAACTCCTCAGAACCTATTTTAAAATAACAATTTCATAAATATGACAACATATTAAAAAAAAAATTTTTTTGTCTTTTTTCTTACATTGTATGACATATTTTTCTTAGTCTCGTAATTGTTTTCCTGTACAAATCTATCATTTCTTAATTTCTAATATCTAAATAAATCCAATATTTCTTTATATATATTATAAAATTTAAATGATACATTTAAATGAAGTTTATTCATTCGATATTAGAATTAGTTATGATAAATTATAATTTAAAATTAAAAATTAAATTCTCATTAAATTATTTCCTATTATAAAATGCAAATAATATTGCTTCTTAAAAACATAAAATAGTCCTACATGTTCATTTTATTGAGTTACAGCGAGTCAAATAACATTGATTTATTCTAATAAGAAATTAAACATTCTCACCTTAAGCATTATAAGTTCTCGTAAATAAGCTAAAGCAAAAATAGTTTACTTTGCTCAAAAATATTAAAACTATTTATTATTGTTTTATCTTACAAATCTGATAACCGCGTACCCGAGAAATTCCAAGGATGATGCCAAAAACTTATCGAAAATCCTTGACTCTCGTTGGCTAAGCCCATAAATATTGTTTTAATAACAGTACGGTTTAATCCCCTCCTCCAATCTCAATACCACGTTTTATCCACTCCTCTAATTCCAATACCATGTTTTAATCCACTCCTCCAATCTCAGTACCATGTTTTATTCAATCCTCCAATTCCAATACCATGTTTTAATCCACTCCTCTAATTCCAATACCATGTTTTAATCCACTCCCCCAATCTCAATACCGTGTTTTATTCATTACTCCAATACCAATACCATGTTTCAAACCACTCCTTCTATCTTCTCACCATGTTTTAATCCGCTTCTCCTATCTCAGTACCATGTTTTAATCCGCTTCTCCTATTTCAGTACCATGTTTTAATCCGCTTCTCCTATCTCAGTACCATGTTTTATTGTTTTATCCACTCTTTTAATCTCTGTACCTTGCTTTAATCCACTTTCTTGGTTGGAGAAACAGACATTATTTAACAATTAAATATAAAAATTTAAATTACTTTCTTAATAATATGTTTATGAATTTTTTTAATTAACAATTAGAAATAGTATTGAATTCAATCAATTAATTAGGTTTTTTGAAAGATTTAGACACCCAAGTTGCTCTGTTATTTTCTATTTTCGAAACCATTTCGGTTACAAAAAGTATCGGCTGCTTGCTTCATAACCTTAAATATCTTTACAATTTATTATATTGATAACGTCTGCAATAAATAAATTAAAGTACTAATTAGTTTATTCGGGAAGTTGATTAAAACCTGTTTAATATAATGTCTTTCATTTCCACCAGGTGTTGAAAAATATTTTTCCTCTATCCAACCTAATATTATAAGTCTATAAAACTAGTTACATTTAAGATCTTTTTTTTTATCCACTTTATAGCTGATATCTCACTATGTCACATTTACGATTTTACTCCAATTATTTTTTTATAAAATCTATTGTATTATCATTGCTTAATTTTTTTTTCAGATTCATAGAACCAACAATTGTAATTGAAGATATCCAAGTATTGACAATGAATTACACCAATTCAACCAATTTTGTTGCTTTCCCAGAATTCAAAGTATATCGCCATGGATATATATTCCAAATTTGGGGTTGCTTGACGACTATATTGATAGCAATGGTAGCATTCTTTGGCAATCTAGCAGTTATAGTCGTGTCGTTCAGGGAAGAAAAACTCCGAACTCAAATTGGCAATTTCCTCATTGTCTTCTTATCAAGCGTAGACGTTGTGACCTCCATATTTGTCATGATCCCATCTGCTATCGCAATGGCTGCAGATGCCTGGCCTTTTGGTGTGTTTATTTGCAAAGTAAACGCTACATTCAACTATGGGCTTTCCTGTGCATCGTCCCATACTGCAGCTATGATAAGCTTAGACAGAGCATTAGCCATTGTCTACCCTTTAAAGTACCAAACTATCATGACATCTAAGGTTATGATTGGTATTTTCACCTGGGTATTAAGTAATACCGCATTCTGCATGGTGCTTGCTCTGTCACTGTTATATACGATCACTTATGATTACAATGAAGCTATCTGTGCTGGCGCTTTTTCAGAATATAAAACTAAGCTCTTCTTCTATGTTGCATCATCCTCTTGCTTCGTTTTACCAGCGACAATAATCGTCATTTGCAACACTATAATTCTGAGGCAAATAAGGAAGTCCTCCTCGGTGACGCCACGGCAAATAATCTCAAAGGGAACTAATGATTTTGACTATAATATGAGACGAAGAAAAGATGTTGAAATGCGTAAATCTGTTTACAGTATGATGGTAGTAATTATAGTTTATTTTATATACTTTGCACCATATACCTTCACAAAACAAGGAAAGTCTATATCTGATATTGATGCCCCACCGTGGTTGAATTATGTTTCTACGTTAATGATGTTTATTTCTTCAGCCACCAACCCTTTCATTTATGGAATTTTGCGTAAAGATTATAGAGATGGTTTTAAAAAAATTTATCGATTACTTAAGGAAAAATTGCATTTTTAGTAGTGGTTCGAAAAATGTACCATACCGTCTTTACGATTTAGGTGACTCTTTTCGATCTCTTGGCTATCTTATTTTAACTCTTAGCTTTTTTTTTGATTTTTTTTTTAACTTCTTGACTTTTTACCATTTACCTTTTAATTCGCTCTTTGATTGTTTTTTTTAAATTTTTAATAATCACGAGTTTTAAACTTTATATGCTCTTCATGGCCATTGTTCAAGCTCATCGTCACCTCTGACTTACGGGTCATCTTGTAGATTTTTAATATGAAATATTGGTGTATCAAATCTCACAATTTTGATAAAAATTGATATTCCGTTAAAACTTTATAAGAGCCTTTTGTCATCAGATCTCTCTTTTCAGTTGTTTAAAATCATTCTAATTTTTGTAATGTATTAAGAAATGTATTTAGAGATGATGCCATAGAATGTACACTGTATCTTTATCTTTTAAGAAATGTTATGGCGAGGCTCCGCCGGACCCTTCAACCGGGACTTGTGACGGTGAAAACATGCTCCCTCGCTGAGTTGGGGGACTGTCCTTGCGACGAGCTCATCAAATTTACTCCCGCATACCCTGTTTCTAAAGGGGGGGGGGATCAAATTACGGCTTATGTTAAGATATTTATTTCTCAGAACAAATTTAAGGATCAGGACCTTATAGAATTTATATATTACAGAAAACACTTATGAATGATAAAATTACGCTTAAATTTAAGTTTATATCGCAATAATAAAACCTCCCAACCTGTTCCCGCAACGCCTTATAAACGTAACATAGCAAAGGGATTCACCGGATTTTTCTATATTTTTTTCTGGTTTTAGGAAGTTTGTTATTGTTTATATTTAATCAACCGTTTATACTGCCGGGTAAAATAAAAATCAACGTAATCGACAAAAAATTCAAAAGTGAGATTTTTATAAACTACATGTTGCAAAAAAAAAATTTTTTTTCTTCAAAAAATAAATGTTTTTTTTATCAGTTTTCTGAAATTCCATTTTAGCGTTCATAGCATTAGTAATAGAAAGAAAGAAGTTGTCAAGTCACTTTTCTCGGAATCCGTCGTGGAGCACTTACGTTGTTTTTTCACCGTGCAACATAAACCCTTGTGTTGCACCGCAGTACAAGGGTCTACCAAAGGTAAATTGAACACGTGAGATCACGTCAGAAAAACGATAGTAATAACAGAGCTCAATCATTCTGGGTAATAAGGGAAAGTACGAGACGTGGTTACGAGACGAGATTAGGACTGCATCGCCGATTGCATGCATCTGATTGACTAGTCGTATGAATGCATTTAAAGTGAATTTAAAGTCGTTCTAAAATTTTGTGCGTGCAGAATAAAACAATGTACAGTCGATAGAATATTTATAGCTAGAAGGTGAGCTGAACAGTCGAGTACAAGTGTTCATTGTAAAAGTGGTGGCTGTTCATGGCAGGCACTGTATAGGAAAAACGGAAGTGAGCAAGTGGTCGAATATATTTTTCGTGAGAAGGATCGGATTATCGGATCGGCAAAGACCTACTCAATAGAGATGGGTGAGTGGATCAAAAATAATGTTTTGGAACGCATTAGTGTGGTAAAGTTGCCTAGGTTAATAAGAAAAAAATGGCATAAATGTTTTTAAATCAGTTAATATATTCCAAAATTCGATATTTACTCAACTAAGTCCTGTCAATTAAAAATATATTTTGGGCATTTTGACTGCAAATTCCTCGGGGCATGATCCATAAGAACTGACAAATTGGAATCCTCTTCCTTTGTTCCATTCCAGATGGCTAACTGTTGTCAATTGAGTTATTCAGTCGTATATAAGTAGAATCTTAAATGCACAGCGAGCCGTCCATTAGGGAAATGCAGCTAGAAATTTCTTACTACTAAAAATAAACTTTCAATTTTTAATTTTGAAATCAATAATTGGATTGTTATCCTTTTCCAATGCTCTCTCAATACCCCTCCCAATACCACAATCAATTAGTTTTTCTAATACTTGTAAAATTTTCATTGAATTATAAAAGTTTATCTTGGGGCGTTTCTTAGTGACCAACATAATACAAGCACCTTTTTTCTACTAAAAATCCTACTACTGGGCACTGTTCTGTTCTAGACAGATACAACTTTATGACTTTTTATTATTGTTCGATGGTTCTGTCGTCATATAAAATGACTCATTTTAGCGAATAATATGTAATTTTCATAGTTACTGAGAGTTTGCAACAGTTACTCATAACTATTAAGTCAAGTTTAGCCTTTTTCTAGCCAGCATCCTCTATATTTATTCTGAGAACAATGCAGGACGTCAGTATGGGAGAAAAGGCACAGTTTTGAGAAAATTAATAGCATTTGTGTTTTAGTTTATTAATGTTTAAAAATTTACTCCAATGTTGCAGCTGCATTATTTGGGCTTATAAAAATCTACAAAAAAAAAAAAAAAAAAAAAAAAAANAAAAAAAATGAGAATATGGTATTGATTTTGCAATTTTTCATCCAAATGAAAAAAAGTGGCCAAATTGGTGATTTTTTTTAAAAAAAAAGTTTTATTATTTTTTAAATATTTAATTTATTTATTTACTCTAAAGCGGGGACAATTTTTTCCTGCAAGATGGCATGTATGTATAGTTTAAAAGTATATATTTGCTTCAAGTACGAGACACTTAAACTGTGATTTATTTATTTTCCTTCGAAAATCCATGTTAACATGACGTCATATCCACTGTAAATGCTTGCATGCGAAGTCCTTAATGAGTTGCATACGAGCATCTGGTGCATTCCTCATGCCTTCACTTATTGTAAACTTAAATGCATGCTTCTAATGAATGCTATTTCCCTCGTATCTAGTATGCGTGCTCAGTAAATTGGGTAGCCAGCATTCATTTCATTATAACTTTATAAAATACACATTTGGTTAATGATATGGCTTTTTATATTTTATTGAGGGCTGATAGAATGAAATCTAACTTAAAACGGGTAATAGTTTATGAATCGTGTTTCTTAACATTTGATCGCAATCTGAGTCATTTTAGTCTTTTAATCGGAGTCATTCTAAAAAAATATTTAAAAAATTACATTAAAGGTCAAAAAGTTACATTTGAGACAGAAAAAAGTTATCAAAAATGTGACGGACCATTATCGAGGTGAAGTGGATAAAAACATACAAATCAGTTTGACTATTGGAGAAAACAGAAAGGAGAAGAGTGGTGTTATTAGAAACGAAAGAACGTGGCTACCAAAATATACTAATTACGTAAAGAAGAGGTTAAAAAGAGCAGTGAATATGCTTAGCGAACTTTTTTTCGACCTTCACTCATTTCAATTTTATAACTGTATTTCATTTTTGAACTGACAATCTGTGCAGAGCTATCATTGCGAACAAAAGTACAAAAGGGACTGATTTACAATTCATGGTTTTACTTACAATTACTGCTTTTGTAGCACTTGTAGTAGTAATAGCGTAGTAGTATCATCAATAGAAGTACTATAATAGTAGTTGTAACACCAGTAGCAATAGTAATAGTTGTAGTATCACAGAAAATAAAAGCAATGGCTATAGTAATTGTAGTCAACAATTGTATTCATTTCATTTTTTTTTTTTTTGCTACTAGCAATAAACAAATTGAAATTTAAGTTTCAGAAATTTATTTACTGTATTTTGTTTCCTTTGTATTCAGGAGAAGATTTTATATTTTATTTTATAACCGTCGTTGAACAGCCGACCCAATTTTATGGGTTTACTATTACTAATGGTCAACTCCGTGTCCTAGTAATTTTGAACCCAATCCAGAAGACAAGGGAACTCCTGGATTGAGTATTGGTAGTAATTTGCCTTCGCGGAGGACTTTTTGATGGAGCTAGCCCGCATTTGCGTTACTTGAAGAGGAAGACCACGAGAACCTCCCACGGTTAGCCTGACGGCAAGGGGACTCTAACCCCTGATTCATCTACCACTGTGGATATTTCACGTCAGCACTGTCATCGGTGCAAGCCGGAAACGGAATTTGTATCGACTGGGATTCGAAACCGGTTCACCTCATTATAAGGCGAACCCTCAATCCCCTGATTCATCGTGGTTCTCAGGAGAAGACTATAAAAATTACCAATAAAATTTATAAAGGATGAGGACCAGCTATTAGCCTAAGGATATTTTGCGTTAGAACTGTGGTAGGTGCGAGCCTGGTGCGGAATTCGAATCAACCAGCCATTGCCGGGATTCGATATCGGTTCACCTCATTGGGAGGCAGGCAATTTATCCTATGAGCCACTACGACTCTCTTAGAGGAATAGATTTGTTATCAGAAAGTCCCGTGGTCAGTCACTAAGCAAGGAAAATTTCCTTCCCCTTCAGATTGCTGTCTAAATTGAGAAAGTGGCCTCACGTGTGATAGTACGTCTTCGGATCATTCCCAGGGATGTTTTCCAGTGCGCCGTCCATAGCCCATTGTGCAGTTTTTGTGCGTCGTAAATAAAAAGTACTTTCCTATTCATTTATTGTTACTCATATATGTAGTAGGAATACTTTATTTGCTACTCACTAGAACGACACAATAGGCTATTGGTGACGGTATCAGAAACATCACTGAAGATGATCAGAAAATATACTAAACAAACACCGCTATCTGGATGCTTCGGAAAGTTTGGTGAAAGGATATACCCTTCGGTCAAGCAAGTCCCTCAACATATTACGTTCATTTATTTATTTAGCTTTGCACATAAAGACTTTGCACGGCAAATCAATATCGAACAGAGAGCACAGATTAGAGATGGATAATTCAAAGGGGTATTCTGAGTTTCAGCTGGAGTCGAACTAGTCACTTTCAAATTGTGGACATTTGGAAGGACAATATCCCTGCGAACGAAGCCTTATTTTATTTATTCATTGTTACACATATATATGCAGGCAGCGCTTAAGAATTTATCGAGTTGAACAACAGATAGTACAAATTAGAGAGGGATATCACAAAAACAGATCCCGGTAACGGCGGTATTCGAACTGGCTTCCTCCACGTTGCAGAGATTTTAAATGACGGCGAGACTGTTAGGCTGAGCCTGCCAAGCCTAATGGTATGCCATCCAAATGCTGTGCAGAGCTTGGAGGTAGCGGGTTCGAATCCCGCTGTTGCCCGTAGGTAAGTGGGTAGTACTTTATTTACGCTGCACTAGAGCTACACAATGGGTTATTGGCGGTGGTCTGAGAAACATCCCTGAGGATGACCCGAAGACATGCCATCCAATTTTGATCCTCAGTAGAGGGGATGACTCCCCTGCTTCGCGCTGTTTCCCTAGATGTATCTTCGTGCTGTTCTTCTTTGTATTGTGCTATCTGTCCTTCTATTTGACTAAGGTTTATAAGCCTAAATTGAGCACTCAATTAAGACTTATAAACCTTTGTCAAGTAGAAAGACACATATAGCACAATACAGAGAAGGACATCACAAAAAATACATCCAGGGTTACGGAGGGATTCGAACACGCCACCTCCACGCTTAACAGAGCGTTTGGCGAGCGAAACCGCTCGGCCAGCAAATGCAAATATTCCAATAAAACGGCGAAACTGCTCGGCTTTAACAGAGGCCCACTATACTTTGTGAAGTGAAACTACTCAACTCTCTTCCTTTTCATTATTTAAGAGGGTGCTCGGTAGCTAGCTGTACACATTGTCCTAAGTCACTATGGCCTTGTTACAAGAGGTTTTAATTTTCTTGGGATGCTTCTTGCTGATAGTTGTTGGAGGTAAATATTAATATAATTACTTTTTAATTCCATTATCAGTTTTATTAAAACAAATTGCATTTGTAAAACATTTTATCATTTATTATAGCTTCTAGAGGTTCCGAAAAATTCAAAAAGAAGCATGTATTCGAATGTCCAATGGAATATGGTGTTTTCGCAAATCCTAACGATTGTAGAAGATTTTATACGTGCAATGGAGACGTTGCGTATGACACTCCTTGTCCAACACCACTCTATTTTGATGATGCTAAAAAGCTTTGTGTTTACAAGTCTAAAGACCTACAGTGTGGACCTGTTCCAATGAGTAAGTGTTAAAACTTTTTAGTTTCACATTTTGCAAAATAGCTAGCAAACTTACGAGCTATAATTTGTCAGGTTTGAATCTTAAATTATGAATAAGTCTGCAGAGTTTAAACTTTCCTTTTTCATGTAGTACACAGCAAATTGCAAAGCAACTTTAACTTTAGAAATTTCTCGTGCTGCACTATTTTGTAAGATATGATTCCCAGGATTATTCAACTTATTAAACTTTCGATTAGTTTCAGATCGTGAGGTAGGATGTAATAGTAAACTCTAGTTAATTATGCTCATTGCTTCTAATAGTTGACTTATATTTAATTAACTGTATTTTGAAATTCTTCCGGTAACAATTCTTATAAGCAAACTGCGTTTTTAAAATGCAGTTCAAAAATATTAACTCTCAGCATATATCCTAATTCCACAAATTTTCAATAATTTTAGATGTAATTAACATAAAAATTTAGAAACTCATTAGTCTTCAGGAGTTTGCTTAAATCTAAAATTATTTTAATGCAAGTAAACTAGATTTACATTGATAAAAGCATTTGAATGTTTAATTTTTAAGTTCTTTAGTGTTGTTCGATAAATTGAGATTAAAAGTAGATTGTATGCAGTTATTAGGTTTTTAATAGTATAGAATTTATATCTAAGATTGTGATTATTTAATTAACCTGTCTAGTTTTGTTGGAGGCTTAAATTATGGCTTATTTAAAGCTATACAATCACTCTTCCTTTTTTATTCTGAATTTTTTCAGAACTTCAGATTTATTTAGCACTTTACTTATGAACCTAATAAAATTAATTACAAAAGATCTCCAGCGTTGGGCAAGTTTTGCGGCGTAGAAGTGACTTAATGATTGCTTCGGTTTGATATTTTTACTGTTCTGATGAAATATCTGAATCGCAAGTTTTTTTCCACTTTTAATTGCACTTTAATTCCAACGTACTGTTTCTGCAGCGTGGCTTAACATTTAGAAATTATTAGTATGCCTTTTTTTGAAATTTAATATTTCTATAATTTTATCCGTAACGAAATATAGCCATTTGAATTTTTATAAGTAGTTGAATTTCTTGTTCTTTTAAGCCGTATAAGATAAACTTAAAAAATGGGCAGAGGTGTTTTGAGTTCACTTTCGTCAACCGTTGTTACTTTTAAATTTCGAAACTGGCCCTTTTTTAAAACATCAAATGTGTATTATGTTTTGTATTGCAGTTAATTTTGTAAGAGTGGGGGCTTCAGTAACTAGAGCTTGCAATGAAATTTTAATTTTCTGTGTAATTCTTAATAAAGTGTTTGTACAGTGGTGTTGACCACATGAGAGTACAGAACTCTCTGTAAGGTTAATTTTAAAAGCTGTAACTTTTTGTAAGAGTAAGTTTAAATTAAAATGCAGCAGATTACTCTGATAACCCATGTCATTTATGTCATCGTGCATTCAGTTTCTGTTTTAATAAAACACTACTGCACTCGTGGCAAGAGTTAAAATAGCTTGACAATCCCGAGTTTGCTGTTCAGCACTCTAAAGTCATGTCTAGTATGTTTTATAATTAACATATTTTTGCTACATAAACTGAGCAAATATCTTTCTGAATTAGTTCAAATGATTTGTAATTGATTTTTGGTTGCTTTTAACACTGAAAGAAGTTTTATGTGGCCACCAAAGTGTCAGAATTCTTGCTCGTTAATACTCATGAATTTCACAGCTTATTCCTATACGGGACTCTTTGCTTTTACTTTAAAGCACTACATTTTGAAATCTTATTTAACAAAAAAGGTAAGCTAATATAAATTTCTCTGTTTACTTCACATTAGAAGTGTACATTTAGAGACGGTACTATGTCAGTTTGAAAATTTTTGTATCTGCCTAAAAACGAAAGTTAAAAATCCGATACGACGGTAGTGGATAATGCTTAATTTTGCATTTAAACTATACAAACCTTTCGAACTTTTAACATTTTCTTTCAACATTGGACAATTAGACAAATTTCATTGTCATTACTGGACTAGCTTGTAACAGAAGCTAGTCTTGCAGAATTTTAAAATTACCATTAATGGCAGTTCATGTCTGCACTATTAATTTTGTTCGAAAAATTCCTCTTATTCTCCATTGTCATCCAATTTTACATTATCACTGTCGTTGAATAGTAGACTCAATTCTGAGTTTACGACTACCAACTTCAACTCCGTAGCTTTGTAATTTAGAACCTAATCCAGAAGACACGGGAACTCGTTGATAAAATATTCGAGAGAAATTTGCCTTCGTGCAGAACTTTTTGATGGAACTAACCTGAATTTGCGTTGCATGGAGAGTAAAACTACCCACAGTTAGCAAAAAAACTCTAACCCATACCACTGGGGATATTTCACTACAGCATTGTGGTCGGTGCGAGATAGGTTCGAAATTCTTGTCGACCAACCATAGCCTGTGATCCGAATTCTGGCGACCTTATTTTGAGACTAGCATTCCCTGAGCCATCTCAGCATCCTTATTTTAATTTGTACTTCACTAGTTTAATTTGACTGTTCTTTGTTCTTTATTTTCTAATGTCTAGTGAAACTATATATTTAATAATATGATAGCACTTATTTCTACACTTCTATATTTTGACTATCTTTTACAGCTACACCTGTTCCAACTACTCCTGATCCTAACGCCTCCCCAAGTTGTCATCCGGAATCCTGTCAACTTCCAGATTGCTTTTGCAGTGAGGATGGCACCCTCATCCCAGGAAACTTCTTACCCAAAGAAACTCCTCAAATGATAATCCTGACTTTCAGTGGAGCTTTGAATGTCTTGAACGCCGAGCCTTTCAGCCTTCTACTTAACGAATCCCGCCACAACCCAAATGGATGTCCAATTAAGGCAACATTCTTTGTTCCACATGAATATACAAGTTATTACTACGTTCAGAAGCTTTATGGACTTGGTCATGAAATAGCAGCTCAAACTATCACGTAAGTACAAATTCTTGACATATTTAAAGTGGAGCTTTAGGTTTCTATTATCTCAATCTGTAAAATTTATATTGTACAACAAAATTTGTCTCAAACTCAATTGAACTACTTCATGACAAATTCAATAAATTTGAAAACTGTGTATGAAAGTTGTGCACAATGTTTTTTAATAACAAAACCTAAATATAAATCGCAAAACTCTCTAATTTTAAAGTCTCTAAATTTCAGTAATACTTGATTTTTCTGTGGCATAAAACTTTCTCGTCAGATTTCAGGACATCTAAAATCTATATTGCAGTAAACCGTGTCTTATACTAGTAAGTTTTTTCTTGTTGACCATGTCTTAGCTTTTGAATGTAGGTCTGTTATGTCACTATCACGCTGAAATAAGCTTAACATATTTCCTAACAATTAAAAATCATCAATATAATTTGCAGTCTTTTTATACCACAGCCTGAATAGAGTGCAGAATAAAATCTCTTTAGAGAATCTCTACATCTGCCTCTAATATTTCAACATAGAATTTGAAAACCGTTATATGGTTGCTAATGTTTTGAATTAAAATTAGTTATCACTCACGCTTTCTCTTCCGCCAACACATTTGAATTCGTAAGGCTACGAAAAAGCCTTGGCAATAAAGTAAATCAATTAACAACTAGTTCTTAAATTTTTCATTTTTTCAAAAAGTTTCATTTTTCGAAAATTAAAATATGAGTCATTTTTGATTTCTTGTAGGATGAAGGTGTCCTGTGGGGGCTAAACTCTGCAGCCACACCCTCCAAACCATTTTCTAAATTATTTTAAATGCACACAAAAATGAATACTTTAACTTTGGAGCTCCATACGATTCCATAATTTTAAATTTCTTCTCCCCTTCATATGATTCCTCATTGGTGCAGTTTATGACTTATTATGCAATTTGCTCGTCCGTATCACTCTGGAAAATATATGGATACGTGAAAATACATCAACGTTTTCAACTAATGGTAATTCGTCGAACCTCCTCAACGAACAGAAATTCCAACAACTAACTTTTCATGATACACTAGAACATTTTATCAAATATAGGGAAAATGTAGAATAACTGGGGCCTGCCCTTACGGAAATTACTATGAAATTACTATTACTTATTACTTCTATTGGCTGCAATGCGAGAATAAATTATTGGAAAATAGCTTTTTTTTTAAATGCAGGGTATTTTAGCAAATTGCTAGGTTACTTTTATACCTGTCATAAAATTAGTCTATAACCATGATCCAAGATCATGGTATTTAACCGCTTGGGCAAGACTTGTATAACAGTTGTATCTTTATTTTTTTTTCATTTTAATATATATCTAATATATCCATGTAGCGTTGGAGACAAAACGAGCGCATCAAATTTAATATTGGACTCTCTTATCCCACTTTTATAACAATAGAAGACTTATGTTATAAAAATTATAAACTATTATAAAGAAACCTGGAGTCAGTTTGCCATAATATGGAATATTCCAGCTTTTAAGTCATTAAAGAGTAAAACACAATTAAGATTACTTCGGTTTTAAACATTAATTTCTCAAATATCTTATTTTATCGAAAGAAATCTTCTAATTTTAAATTCCCAGGAGCCCTGTCGTGCTTTCTAGAAAGTCTAATGCAGTTTACTTTTCACCAGGGTTTTGCCCCTTGTGCATGAATTATTGTATTATTTTAATCTGGTTTAGCGTAGTATCGACGCACCCGGTTTTTGTTCCCTTAAATCAATCTAAAACTATCATTGTTTGAGGTTTAAGAGACTGAACAGGGATTTGAGTAATTCCTCTATTTTCGAACATTGTCTATTAGAATAGTCTAGTTTTTAAAGTACTTTTAGCTTCAAACAAAGTATTGTCAGATTTGCTAAACTGTTAAATATGGTTCGTTAAGAAATTAAGGTATTAATATGGTCTGTTTTTAATTTGAAAAGGTAATATTTTGGACTCGGGAGAATTTTTCATTTGAAAACATTCAATAAATGTAAACGTTATGAACATAGAAGCAGTAGATGATAGAAGCGGAAAGCTTCACTTTTTAATACCCGCTTCTTGGACACTAATACCTGCATATGTTCCAGTTTTCAACAATCTTCTAAACGTAGATAAAAAAAAAAAGTTGGGTACGTGAAACTAGACAAGTGATTAAGCCTAACTATTTAATCGGATGCCTGTAAGCGACGTCGCGCGTGTGTTTAACCAATGTTTTCTGAATTGACAAATTCCAAAATTCACCTATGAGGTCACTTGCCGGTATCAAATTGGTGCATAATAGGCCCTAGGTTGGATTGTAAAGATTTAGTGTGGTTATATATTCACTCCATTGTATACATTCTGAGATTAATGTCTATGAATTTTAGCACTATTGAAACAAACAGTATTAATACTAAGTTCGCTTGTTTTGGGTTAATATATTTAGCTTTTTGTTAAATTATGAATCATTAAATTTTAAATCGTTGATAAAATTTGAAATTAGAGTTTACCGTAACTGGTTATAACCATTTGAAATGTCAAAGTTTATTAGTTTTTTAAGTTAAAAACCGAGCGTTCAATTAAAGTGAGACTAAGGGCTTCCATATTAAGACTTGCGTTTTTGTTTTATGGACTCCTGGAGTTGTGAATTTTTTATCATAGCACTTGACCAGAAATTAAATTTCTTTTCAGGAACCGTGAACCTGAACAATTCTGGTCTAAAGCTTCTGTAGATGAATGGGTGGAAGAAGTAATTGGCCAGAAAGAAATTTTAAACCGCTTTGCCAATGTCTCCAGAGATGAAATACTTGGTATGAGGGCACCTTTCCTGAAACCTGGAGGAAATAACATGCTTGGTATGATCTACGATTATGGATTAGATTACGACTCGTCCATTGCAACACCATTGTCAGAAGTTCCTTTATGGCCATACACATTAGACTTCCAGATTCCGCACAAATGCATTTCAGATAATTGTCCAACAAGATCTTTCCCCGGAATATGGGAGTTTCCGCTAAATACCTACACTGCTGGTGACGAAACTGGAGCTACTTGCGCATTTTTAGACCAATGCGTTTTTCCTGATGATCCAGAAGCCATCTTTGAGTTTTTGAGCTTTAATTTCTTACGACATTACACTTCCAATAAAGCCCCATTCGTCATGAATTTCCACGTTAACTGGGTTACAGATGACACCAAGGTTGCAGCTTTAGATGTTTTCTTGGATCATGTTCTTGAAACCTATCCTGACGTCTGGTTTGTCACTATGCAGCAAGCAATACAGTGGCTGAGGAATCCAATTCCAACAGAGATGGTTAAAAGTTTTGAGGCCTGGAAATGTCCAAGAACAAGAATGCCGGGTTGCAATAATCCTCGCACGTGCAGAGTTAAACTGAATGACGGTTTGCGCTCAGATGTACGTTATTTGCAACTTTGTGGTAAATGTCCTGAGAAGTATCCTTGGCTGAACAACATTCGTGGAACAAAAGAAGGCAAGAGTGTTAAAGACTTGGTGCAGAAATCTACAGTATAATGTTTGTTAGAAATTTTTTTCTGTTTTTGTTTGCTTGCAATTTTAAATCTTGTTTAATAAATATTTGTTAAAGAAACAGTAGTTTTTCAATTGAACATACATTAAAAATCAAATTGTAATTTTAAAGTTTTTAAAGAGCTGTTTTAACCCTTTGAGACCAACTTCAGTCATTCAAAAACAGTTCTTAGATATGTAACCAAGATGTGATGCTACAACGGACACATTAATAAATCTCTTTAGAGAATTTGAAAGATCTGAAAAATTTTCTCACAAAACTATTGTGACTATATTTTCACATTGCGGTTATTTTACAGATCCACAAGTTATACAGGATTTTTTTTTGTACAAATGAATAATTTACTATAAAAATTATTGGCATTACATAAAGTTACCTTAACATGACTTTAACTAACTTGTTGGGAAATTAGACATGCTATACAGACTAAAGAGGACACAGGATAAAAATGTAAACTGGCCATTTTTCTTAACAGCGATAAATATGAATTTGATTAGTTCTTGATTGCAAACCTGCGGCAAGGATTTTACATAGACTTGGATATAATTTTCCGTTGTGACACTAATTGTAGTAAATTAATATTCCATCGCTTAAATTTTGTCCTAACAGAATATGCTTTAAAGCTAGGCTTTTAGTACTCTCAATACTTATGTATTTTGATTAAAATTCAAACTGTTCAGTAAAGAAACAAACCATCAAAATTAAACTTTCTACTGAAGCAGGTGGAATTAAAATATTAAATTTCATTTAATTGCTGAAGAAAGTTGAAAGGCAGTCAGAAACAGTGAAGTTTCTTCGGGTATTCTAACGGGTTTTGATATTTTCACCCTAGCCTTTCAAGCGATTAAATACATTTATTTTTCAAAAGCCTCTTTACAGCCTAGTCTAGTAAAGTTGAAAATGAGCGTATGTCTGAACAGTCAGGATAAGCTGAAATTTTAAAGTTAATTGGATTTCTCAGATCTCCATCTCAAATTGTGCTTCCTCCCTCACCCTTAAGAACCATTTGGCCAGCAACTTATTGTTCATGTCTTCGCTATTAATTCAGAAATTACAAACTTAAGTTTTCTTCCTGAAAATCTATTCTTTAAAAAAAGCTGAAGTTTTTCTATAAGTACTATAGAAAAAGTTTTTGGTTCTGCCAAGTTATGAGTCATGATTGTTTAAATTTCGCGACTTCTCTATTTTATGCAGATAATGGATTTTAGTTAAATTCTCTAAAAATTAGTTTCGTGAAGATCATTCTCATTGTAAGTCTTCATTGGCGAAATGCCACTGGATCAATCAAGACATATAGCTTTAAGTCTACTTTTCGCCTTATTTTTTCATTTTGTTTAAAGTACAGTATTTTTTAAATGACTATCAGAAAATTTTAGCCAACTGTTAAGTTTGTGATACATAGTCAGAAAAAAATAAGTTCTATTGAGTTTTTTAGGAAGCAAATTCTTTTTAAAATGTAAACATTTTTATTTCCTACGAGCTGCACAATCAGTCTTCCCGATGAGCAGACCTAGTGAGTTCTCCAGAAGTGGTATCCACTCTCTCAGGACCACCACAATGGGTGAGATACCGTAGCTCATCTTAATTTGGACGTCTAGCTTCTGCCACACTAGATGGCAGCACTGAGACTCTATTTGGATGCTAAAGTGGAATAGAAATTTAATTTTGCCGGAAATGCCAAGAGCCAACAAGGCACTCCAGGGATCTTTTACATGCCGCATGGCCGCTGAGGATTTTCTGCATCTTAAAATCCGGTGTCTGGGACGGGGATCGAACCAGCAGACCTGGGCTCAGAAGGCCGACGACAAACCAACTGCGCCACTCAGCCACAAAAACGTAAACATGAAAACCCGAATAAATTTTAACAATTTATTCTACAAAATACTTTTAAATTATTTAAAAGACAATGAATTTTTTGAAATTCTGTCTTAAATTATCATTTAGCAACACTCTGCTGTTTTTTTCACACTGGTTTTGATTTCCTATCCTTAAATGCATCCACGAATTAAATGTATTTAATTCAACAATTTAATATCTAGAAACTTGGGTTTCAATAGTGGTTAAAAAGTGGTACAAAATGCAATATTAAAATTAAGGGTAAAAGACAGTTCAAGGAAACCAATTCGTACTCATTTAATAAACAAATTTTGTTTCAACAAAAACTAAAAATTAATTTCTCACAAGAAAATATCTTTTTTCTATGTATACAAACGTGAAAGTAGAAATTTAATGGAATATGATGCGCCAAAAAAAGGACCATCTTGAATTATTTTTGTTCCTATGATGGGATCCTCACGTTTTAGGACTAAATCTTAATAGCTCGAGGGGGGTGACCTCAAATATGCTAATTAAATTAATTAGCATTAATATAATTTAGTAATAGCGTTATTATAAGTTACAAAATCAGACACAAAAACATAATTTATGTGAATAAACATACCTTCAGTACTTTGAGATCCAAAATAGAGGGGGTAGCTGCAATCTGGGAAATATGGTCCCAAAAGTTTGGTCGGGAGAGCTGTCCTAAGTTTGGACCCCTTAATGTTAATTTTACTTTTTGCATATTTTACCAGATCTAAAGAACTTTTTAAGCGAATTAAAATTTTGCATGCGATTATAAAATCCGCTTATCCAAAGATAATTCCACGCAAAAATAAATTTTAGTAAATATTTTTTATTTAATAAGTGTACAAAATTTTGAATTGTAAAGGATAACATTTTTTTTTACGTCATTTTAAATATGTAATTTTACAGGGCAAAATACAAAATTTGAGCAAAATTGGTAGAATAGTGTCAGAGAAATCTAATTTACAAAAAGTCATATATTTAAAATTAGATTTCTCAGGAATTGTTCAACTAATTTAGCTCAAATTTCGTATTATTTCACACAAAATTAGATACTTTAAAATGGTGTAAAAATTGGTATACTTAACAATTCAAAATTTTCAGACTATTATTAAATAAAATAAGAAATATTAACAATAATTAATTCTTTTAATGGAAATTATCTATGGATAAGCGAATTTCATAATTTTGAGCAAAAAATATTCAATTCGCTTAAAAAGTTCGAAATGTACAAAGTATGCAATAAGTAAAATTAACATTAAGAGGTTCCAACTTTGGATTACTCCCCTGACCCAAAATGCCGCTTCACCTATATTTTGAGGGTCAAAAATCAGAATCCATCTAAAAAAAGTAATGTTTATTCAGAAAAAATACGATTTTGTGTCAGATTCCGTAACTTAAAATATCATTTACACTAATGAATTAGCATATTTAAAGTCACCCTCTTGAACCATAGAGTCCCAGAAAGTGAAAATCTATTCATTAGATCAATAGTTATACAGGATAGTCCTTTTTTGTGTGCACTGTACATGCACATAGTAAGCATGGAAATAAGAGTTTCAAAAAATATTTGGAAGTTTAAGCAATAAACATTTCTTCATCAACATAATGCAAAAAGTTCAGGGCTGAAGTTTTTGATGATACACATGTGGTCTAACCTTAGAAAAATTTCGTTTTGTTTTGAATTTTTTGTTTCTGACTTTTGGAATTGCAAATTGAAATGATGATCCAGCTGCCTTATAAGATAGTCCTTTTGGAGAACCAGAAGGGGGCGTTGATAAAAAAGCTGGAACCACTGGTGAATGAGTAAGCTTTTCAAGTAAATAAGATGGCCTATTCTGCAAATAAGATGCTTCCTCTGGTAAATAAGCTGGACCTTCCATATAAGGAGATTCTTCTTCGAGCCGTGGAGGATCTTCTGGTAAATAGGAAATTTCTTTTTGTGAATATAATACCTCTGTTGATGCAGACGGTGCATTGAAATCACTTTTATTTAAATTATTTTCCTCCCAAGCAAAATCTTCATTTTGAAAAACTGTGTTAGACACTGAGTGCAAGTTCTGAGGAAGGCAAAATGGTTGTGACACACTTGATGGCGGTAGTTTTTCATCACTATGTTCGTGTTGTGGTATTGTAACAGTTTGGAGTAAGGAGTAGTTAGAGAAAGCTAAACTACTATTGCGATCAATGGGAAGATCAGGAGGAATTACATTCGAATTACGAAAAGGAAACAAATTATTAGCTCTGTGAATAGACAAAGCAGGATGTAGCTTATTAGGTAATAAAGGCCTGAGATGCATATTACTGTTATTAATTTCTTTTATAACATTCTGGTATGAAGCTTTCGAAAACATTGGTGTATCTGATGTCGGAAGAACGCATAGTTTATTTGATTTCAAATCAAATTCTTGAATTGAAACTGAATGTTTTAATGATGGTAATGGATTGTATGAGAAACTGTTACTGTTGTTACAAATCGTGTGGTTGGTGTTGCTTTGAGAAACAGGGAGATCAGTTGTATTATAGGAATTATTATTTGATCTACCCAATTTAGAATCTATATCTTTTGAATTCAATAAAGACATGTTGTAGTAGCAGGAAGTAGAAAGTATGTTTTGTTGTAAAACAATGTTCGCAGGAGTTGTGTCAGTTACTTGAATTTTCTTTAAAATATTCCATACATCCTCATTTAGCTTTAAAGAAGAAGTTGCAGTAGTTGGCTTGTACAATATATTATTGTAATTGGAAGGAATTTTTCTTTCCCTAGATGGAACATCAATGTTAAGAATTGAATCAATGGTTTCATCTCCATGTTTATTTTGTAATTCGTTTACAAAACCTAAAGTTTCTGTTTCAAAATTTTCATTCTCAAAAGTTTCAGACTCAACACAGCAGACAGTATTGGTTTCTGATTTGTCATTACTACCTGTTTCCTAAAAAAAAAAAGAGAAGAAAAAAAGGTTTATGCAATAAATTGTAGTTAGCAACATAAACATAATTACATGCAATGCAAGGAACCATGATTATGTGTAGGAAAAAATAGATGCAATGAATACATATAAAGGAATAATTCTGAAAATTACTTTTTTTAAAATTATCTTTACAATTGTATTATGTAGTTAAAATATAAAATTTACTCAGACTTTATAACATAGATCAAATGACTTAGTGTTCACCTTGCATGATTTATATTTACAACTAGATAAAATATACAAAAATTTAAAAATGAAAATTTTCATGCATTTAAATGTAGATCATTAAAGGGTCTATGTGATAAACAAGAATAATTTATAATTATAGCATTAGTTACCAATAATGCAAAGTAAAAATTTTTAATTCTGCTAAGGTAAAATAACATAGTTACTGAATTAATGCTTTTACCTAAAAACTTGTACAGTTGTGTTGTGTAAAACCAATTGGCTGAACGAAAATGGTGTTATGACCTGGTTTCAATCCTAATTTCTAGTTGATCACCAGCTCACAGAGCTGTAAGAAAGGGACTTGTTTGTGTAAGATGAGGCAATAATCCTTATGCAGGATATAACCTTCCATGTTTGGTAATTGAACTTATCTAAGCCAGGTGGGATAAAACCATGGGCTGCTAAGCTAGGGATAAAAGATTTATAAATAAATAACAGGGTTCATAGCCAAATCTTTTCAAAGAAAAATAAACACCTTTTAAGTACTTTTCAAGCACTAAAAATATTTTTCAGCACTATATACAATAAACAAAATAATTTTCAGACTTAATATGATCATGATAAAATAACTTATTTCCGACATAGAACTCTTTTCCTGAATATATATATTAGCCATCATAAAAATATAGAGAGATTTTTTGGTTCAATTTCAGAGGGTGGAAAATGAAGCCTGAAATTGAGAATATTTTGCAAAATGCAGCAGAGTTGCACATGAGAGTGCAAGAATCTCACAGAACCCATCTCAGTATATGCACATGCCGGCCCATGAGTATTTCAGCAAACATGTGAAATGATTGGCTCTTTCATATGCTGCGAACCGACGGTACGCCAAATTGTATTTATTGTGTTTGAATGAATTGTAAAAACATTGAATAGAACAATGTGAAAAACCACGCTTTTGTATAATACAAGGCGAAAATAGACATGGTGAAGAAAAAATCTCATGTTCGAAAAGGGAAAATTAAGCACTATTTAAGAAACACCCAATAAAAAAAGCACCCTTAGGGGCTTATAAAAAAAAATCGAAAATAAGCACTTTTTAAAAATGCTACACACCATGAATAAGTAGAAAGTGATTTTAATATGGTACTAATAAAAATTATTCTTCACGCTTAACAAATTATTTGTTATACATAAATTTGTTTCATGACATCAGTATTTCTTAATCAGAAGAAATATTTCTTTGTTATTTAAATTAAATTTAACTCAATATCAAAAAATAAAATTCTCTTACTTTTGTTTAGAAAATTTCCAATAAAATTGTGAGATACACTTTTGTTACGTATGGGAATTTTTTTTTACATTCCCTTTTTATATGTAGCAAAATATATTTTTAAAAATGAAAATATATATTAATATCAGATTTTTTAAGCAATTAAATAAAAAGAGTGAACAAAATGACTGCTGGACTCAAGGATTTTATAATATATATGAGTGTCATTATGTGTAATGATAGAAAAATATTTTGTGTAAGTGCTGGAGAAAAATATAACATTTTAGTATAAGTTACAATCATTCAAATTATTGTAACTTTTGATGATGTAACCACTAATCCTCAGATCATGATTCAATAACATCCATTCTCTTAAAAAGAGTAAGATTTAAAACATTTAGCAAAAATTTTAATTTTTAATAGATTTTCAGTAGTATAATAAAAGATATTATAACCTTTCAAGAGTAATAAAATAAATATAAAAAGATATAAATTTAATATATATTTTTATATTAACAGGTATGTGATGCCATTTCATTAAACTTGCATTTGCTATCAAAATGTTTTTATATCATTAGTTCTTACAGCTTAGAAATCATTAATGCTATAAATTGACGAAAGTACTTTTGATTTGTTTGTAAAATTACTAACTAAAAGTAGAGAAAATTCCAAAAAATATATTGTATGCTTTTTCCTTTCTATGTAACTAAATTATTTTGTGAAAGTTTGACTAACTCTGAATTAACCTTCCAGCATGTGCGTTAGCGCAAATTGTATGAAAAATTCAGTTTTTATTGCACTTTTCGCATACTGCAGATGGGTTGCTAATGGTCATTTCTATTATTTCTTTCAACCCTTTACCCACATCATGAAATGTGCCAACAGATCACGAGACAATTTTTATTTTTAATAATGGTTTTGTGCTACGTGGTTTCCTGCAGGGCTCGAAAAAACTCAGAAATTTTACCCGTCCCCGAGGACGGCTTGCCCAACAATGTACGCATCCTCTTTGAAACTAATCCGTCGCTTCTAAATAAATAAAAATATAATTTTCTCTTATTTATTACAAACATTTATATAAATTGCACAATGAATTAGTAGTTACTAGGATTACATTATACAGTAATAAAAGAAATACTAGGTTACTAATAGTAAAACCTAGTATTTCTATTATGAAATAATTTATTTCTTTGATGAAATAATTTAAATAACAAAGGTTAAGTTATCTGTCAATTATGATGTAAATTTATCTGATGGTACTGTTGTTTTTAAATGAATCAAATATGACGCTTGCCAGTTCCACAATCAAGCCAATGATTTACGGACGCTGTATTCGAGAAATTTGTTGTCCGTGTGGAATTTTTGACCGCCGAGGACGAGCGGTTTTTTGAGCCCTGGTTTCCTGTTCCTTTATTTTCATCTAATGATAAAACAATCCACATGTAAACAAGGAATGTGCGGTTTGTGTGTCCGAAAAACAAAAATTCTCAGCATTAATGAAATACAAGATATGCTATAGATACCCATGCAAATGTCATTTGGATATCGAAGTTATTTGCATGGAATGCAATGTGAACTTGAAACACTGAGAAATCTTTTCAGAATTCTATTTTTTTTTATTATTAGGCAATTCTACTCTGTATTATTACTATTCCATTATTTTCTCTTATTTCTAATTTTTAAAAATAAATAAAAGAATTAAAATTGGAATTAGTTTAAAATTAGTCTTTGTAACTAGTCGTTTGTTTTCTTTTATTTCCTAAAAGTAAAATTGTTTGTAGAAATAAGTTAAACTTATGTTAAACTTAGATTTTTCCAACCAAAGTTGTTTTTTTTCCTTTGATGAATATTAAAAGTATCTTCAATTTTAAAATATTGTTATTAACTAATAAATTTTAAATCATCTTTAATAAAATACAGTATTGCTTTTCTACCTGCTAATACAAGCACTTAAAAATATTAGAATATGACATCATTTGTATTTTGAAACAATAAGGTTAGTTTTTTATTTCTTGACAAATTTATTATTAATAATCAGTATTATTTATGTAGTTTTCCATGCCAAAGAAGGTAAAATAACAGCTGTCTTTATAAAATAGAACATGCACGCTCATGTAAAATTGCTGAGCACCTGTGCTGGAAGGTTAAAGAATTCATTTCTCTGACCCTTTGTTCTTGTAATAAGTGCTTTCAAATGTAAATCAATTTCAACTTATGTTGATTTCAAGTCAATCTTACTTGCATTAGCTTAAAACAGTACACCATCACTTTTAACTACAAATTTTACCAAACAATTGTTAGATTAGCAACGGGTAATTCTCTTATCCTCTTTTTAAGTGACCTGTACGTGCACTACTTTGAGGGGAAACTCTTTGACTTATTAAAGTTCCCTTTTTATCAACGATATGTCGACAATTATTCCACAATGACAGACAATTTTGACATTGATCGTGCTTCCAATCCCATCGTGCTTTTCATACACAATTCTAAAACTTGTTTACTTAAAAATGAAATATGAAGAAATTATTTTGATTATAGAAATGTTTTTAAACTAAATGAAAACTAACTAACAGTTTTTCACTTGGCATGCTTTTTAGGTGCATTTACTTAGACAGCTTATAAACAAAAGATTTGAAGAATTCTAAACTGGTGTAAAACACATGAATATTTATTCATCTTAAGACAAAATATTGTAGAATAAATAAAACTGTGAATCCCAGAAAAGATGTACCTTCCTTCAACAAGCAGTTAATAACAATGACAGAAAAAACTGGTGTTTCTTTATAGTATTCAACTAATTTTTTTCAAGATTTTGAATTTATTACATAAAATTTTGCAGTTAAATAATGAACAGAAATATATAACCAAATAAATATCACATTATTATAAATTGGGTAGCTGAATTTAACGATTGTGTTTTAATTACACTTTACGAATACCCAATGTATTCAAAATACAAATAACATTGTTTTTTAAAGTAAAAAGTATTGATTTTTTAATAATTTAAGTTTCTGTAGTTTTTTTACTCATTGTTTTATCTTGTTATTAACAGAATCACATTTAGCCAACAAGTGGGCCAATGACAGGCTCCACTTGTTGTAATATCATGCTAAACGTTGTAAGCAAAGGGTTAAATTCTAAAGTTGTCCAAAAACTAATAAGTTTTAAATAATCATCTTACAAATTTTAAAAAACCTAAATAAGTTTATGTTTTCAGCCACAACATATCAAAAAAGAAAAAAGTACAAAAAAATAAAATAAATACATTTCAACATAATTATAAAACAATAGTGTTATTATTAGGTATGCATAAAATGTCGAATTTTTAAGTGAACATATAAAACTGCATGTCTATTCTAAAAGTTGTTTATTTAATCAATACTTTTGCTGCAGTATACTTTTTTCAAGAATATTTTAATACATACCTTCCAGTTTTTAGAATCAATAAACTCTGACACGGAATTTTTCAGACTGTCTTCGTTTTTCTACTGATAAGTTAGTAGGAGAAAGGTTCAGTGAGTAAGCAGAGTGCTTTGAAATTTCATATTTTAATTCTGTTGTTTGACGTATGCTACAGATCATTGTTTTGGATTAGTACTTTTCAACATGTTGGTTTTAAAAAAGTTTTACAATACTGTTGTATGGTCAATTTTTGTTCTAGAAGTATACTTCTTTTTATATTCAGGTAAATTTGTTTCCACCAATGTTTGGAGAACAATTTTGTAAGGAGAAATCATCTGACCAAAATTTATCAAACCAATGAAGCAATTTTTGATGGCTAACAGTATTCTCTCCCAATGCCTGGTTTATATTGCAAGCAGCTTTTGCAGCATTATTGCTCGCAGCAACATTCCTACTTACATAACAGGGTTGCCACTCAGATCTGGAAAAAAAATTCCCTGTGTTTTCCCTGTACATATTATAAACACTATATTAAGAGGAAGCAACAAATGATGTGCTCTTGTGTGAGATATATTGGGCTAACTATATTTATTAGTTTTAATGACTGGAAAAACAGCTGAACATACTTAAATAATGCTATCATAAATGAAATAGTTTAGTATAGCTGAAATATCATGGTCAGATATCCCATAGATTAAGCCTTGAGTGGTCACCATTTTTTAAAAGACAAAAATAAGAAACAGAATTCCCTGTATTTCCCCAGTTTGTAAAGAAAAAAATCAAAATTCTCTGCATTCTCCCTGTTATTTCAGGAGATTTTTAAATTTCTTGTATTTTCCAGGTTTTCCCTGTTCTGACTGTGGAGTGGCAACCGTGACGAATATCAGTTCAATTCATATCCTAACAAATTTAAAAACAAGTAACAAAATGGAATACTAAATGAAAAAATCTTCTTCTTCGCAAAGTAGCTATGGCAATGATTATATCAAAATGAGACGTAAACAGGGAATCAAACTTTCATATATAAAGAAAATTCGACATTTTATACGCACCAACCTAATATATATTATAAATGACCTTATAATAATACTGCAGTGCAATTGACAAACAATGTAAGTAACTCTCGATAGATTCCGAGAAAAGTAGCTCGACAATTTTTTTGATTCTATTGCAAATGTTATGAACGCTAACATAGAATTTCAGAAAAATGAAAAAGCAAAACTCATTTTTGAATATTTTTTTTTTTTGCAACATGAAGTNGGTCCCGATCGTTCCGGATAATCGGTTCCCTACTGTATTTTTTTTTTTTTGCAACATGAAGTTTATTGTACAGAGATGCGAAATATGTATCTAAACTTTTTGTTGCTTACGTTGATTTTTCGTTCGCACGGCAGTATAATAAAAAGCAATAAGTTATTTATTATACTGGGTACTGTTTCGCATTCAAATCTCACTAAAAAATTCTTTGTTAACTTTAACTCTTTGGTCAATTTGTAAATGTGGGGCATTTTTCCTTGATACACTGTTTTCCAATTAATTACATGGAAAATATACTAGGAATTGGGTCTCTCTAACTTACTGCTTCTCTTACAGCTTCTTGCGATGAATCAAACCCAGATGTATACATGTCTAAAAGTTCATGACATATGCCTAAATGAAGAAAAGAATAGAGCTTAATATATATATAAAAAAATATTTTTGGGGAAATAATTATTTTCATAAGCTATTATAAGCTTATTATATCAGCTTATTATTACATTTACCAAAGCTTTTATTATTACATACCGAAAATAGCGTTTTTAAACACCCTATGCCAAAAAAATATAGCAATAAATTTGTAACTAGTAACAATTATTATGGTCATCAAATGTAATAATTACAGAGAATTTCTTAAAGGTAGCTAAATATGTATGGCAATATGGACATTTTTTTGCTATAACTTAAAAAAAATTCAACAGAATTTTTGGAGCAATTCAAAATAAGTAACAAAATTATTTTCCCCAAATTTTAAATTCATGTGTAAACTGTGCAAGACATGAGTAAAAATAAATTGTTTGCTTTTTCTTAGTTTTGTAGAGAATTGTATTCGGCAACTAATAAAAAGAAGTCCGATTTGAATATCTTAAATATTTAAAAAGTTTAAAGCCATTTCCTAGGTAGCTTTCGAGATTTTCTATTACTTCTGCATGTTTTCTTTCCTTGTACAATCACATTTCGGTGCATGAACATTATGAGGTATTATCATTCGTTATATAATTTTATCTTATGATAGAAAATATCATTTTGAGTTTCTTTCAAAAAATGCAAGAACTACTGAGAAAATAGTTTGAAATTTTTTTAATTTTTAAGATATTAAAATCAGACTTTTTTCATTAGTTGCAAAATACAATTTACTACAAAATTATGCAAAAAAAGTGTTAATTTTTTCTGCACATGCACAGTATCAAATAACTACTTATGTATATATTGCACAGTTTTCAATGAATTATTTTCAAATTTTAAAGTAAAAATTTTGTAATTAATTTTAAATTGCTCTAAAAATGATGTTTAATTTTATCAAGTTTTTTTAAAGTTACAGCAAATAAATCTAGGACAAAAAATTTGTAAATAAAAATCTCCATAAATATTTAAGTTACATATACAAAATTTTGTGCAATTATTACATTTAATGACCTAAATAATTACAAGTTAAAAATTTATAGATACATTTTCTGACGTAGTGTTTAAAAACAATATTTTCTGTTTGTAATCTATTTTCAGTCCCTCAAACCTTTAAAAAGCTTTTAAGTTTATTGGTTAGCATGAGAAATTGCATAAACTAAACACTTCTGAAGTTATAAAATATTATTTAATTTTTTCCTGAGAAATATGAAAAAATGTATAAGCACAGAAGTGTCTCCATTATTTTGTCCACTGCCGGTATTAACAAGTTCCTTTTTTATTTTAAAGTAAAAGAACACATCTTAGAATTAATGCCTTTTAAAGCAATAAAATTTTAATTCTGTCAGCAATCAAAACCCTAATAAATTTCATTCTGGAATTTTTTCAAAATTTTTGATAGATAGAAATTTATGAAATCACACATAAAAATGTACTCTCTCTGAGTAAACACACCTTTTTTCCAAACAGATTCAGATTTCTGATCTCCAAGATACCAGGGATAAACAGAATCGCTGAAATATAATCTTAATAGTTTGGTCATGACAGCGACTCACAGTTTAGACCCCTTAATGTTCATTTTACTTTTTGCGTATTTCACCATATCACAAAATCCTTTTAACCCCTTCCTTCTCACTCCCATGAAAATGACGGGGTGAGTTTTCACCCGCTATTTCTTGCTCCCGTGATGTTTTAGGGCTGGAGTGTTCAGTAGTAAAGTGCCAATAAGAATAAAACTAATTCATTTCTTTTGCCCGTAAAACATTTTATTTCTCATTTTACACACCAGATAGCAGTACCAGGATATTTTTTAAGGTAATTGTAGATAGTTAGTTTATTTTAAACTAGATTTCAGCACTAATCAAATACGTAATACAAATACAAAAGCCAAAAAAATAGGCACTTTTATGGCTGTTTTCTTCAAAATTAACCAATCGTTAAGGGGTTAAGGGAATCAACAAAAAAATTGCACAAAATCATAGAATTCATTTCGTTAAAGCAATGGAAAATATAACTTTTAGTAAATATTAATTTCTTAAATTTCATTTAATAATAGTTGAAAAACTTTTGTACTGCAATTGAAAATGAAAATATTTTACATCGTTTCAAAGAATGGAATTTTAAATGGCAAACATACAAAATTTGTGCAAAATCGGTCAAATAGCAGCCAAGAAATTTTGAAAGAGTTGAGTTTTAAAATTTTGATTTCTCAGGAACTATTTGACCAGCTTTGCCCAAATTTTGTGTTTTGTCATTTTTTAAAATGATATAAAGAATTGTGTACCTCACAACTCAAAATTTTTTGAGTATTAAATAAAAAGTTATATTCACAAAACATTCTATTGGTAGCAGCTATACTTTGGTCGGAAATTCATATCTGTCATATAAAAGGTATGTTTATTCACAAAAGTTAGTTTTGTGTCCAAGTTTGTAACTTAAAATATGTTGTAATTTAATGATAATTAAGAAATATTCCGCTGGTGGCGTTGATGAATGTTTGCGTGGGACCAGAGACCCATGAACTCTTGTTGTTACATATTCTTCCCTGTTTTCTTAAGTGTTTCGTGCCGTCTATGTTATTAATAAAAATATATTTCCAAAGAACCGGCTCAAGGTAAGTGAAATTATTTCACACTTATAATTAGTTCATTATAGAAATGACATTGGTTAAGTAATATTTAACAAAATATCCCCTGGACCCATTTATTAGCATATTTGAGATAACCCCTTCGGACCTTTAAGATTGAGTTCTAGAACGTGAAAATCTGTAGATCATCCATTTTTTATTTTGTGCACTGTAAAAGGTATAAAAAAAGTTACCTTCTATCATCTTTATTGAAAATCCTTCAGCATAGGCCTCCCACCAATAACATTGGTTTATTTTGCGATTTTCCCAATCATCTATTTCAAATCTGTTTATTTTTGATGCTAAATGAAGAGATGCGACAGCAATTACTTCTGGCTGCCACTGAATGCAAATCGTTGTGCACAAACTATTACAGAATATTTAAAATAAAAAAAATTAAGTTTGAATAAAATTATGTTTTCATTTAATAAAAATACATATTTAGAGCAATATTGTAACTAACCTGTCGTTTACAAATATCCAAGCACTCTGAACCAATTTTTCTAAATCTTCTTTTCTTCCTTAAAATAAATAAGGTAAAAAATATATTGTAGAAATTAAATATTTATGAGGAGATCTAATTACTAATTCCAAGGAGATCTAATTAATTAAAATGGATTTAAATGTTGATTATTCACAAAATTCTAAAAACATACATGGGATTGGTATAACACAGAAAAAAACAACAATAGACAGCATGAATAGTCATAAAAAAATGAGCAAAAAGTTGGCTATGTGCCAAACTTCACAAGTCATCACAAGTTTGATTTATACATATCACATATACTTAGCATTCCTCATTCATAAATATTTTAATGTAATATAATAAATCAAAAAATGTTTTCAAAATATGCATTTATACCATTTTCAACAATACTGACTAGCAAACATACAAAAAGACTGAATATTTTTCATGGCAAAACAAAGATCAGCTATAACAAAATTGCTTATGAATTAAATCCATTTTTATATCATTGATTTGGTTTTATTGTCTGAAAGCAAATACCAGAGAAAGAAATGAGGTACAAGTGAAGAATTTTTCCTTTATTCAGTATCCACGAAAACAACATATTTCAGAGGTTTTAAAAAAATTACTAATGCAATGAATTTAGGGAATATTATTAATGAGATATTATTAATAGATTATCATTAATTTTACACAAATATAATCTCTAACTGGAAAAAAGCAAAACAAGTATAAGAAAAAATGAATCACTTTTTCTTTTCTGTAACAAATAATAATATAAATAGATTATGCATTTCAATCTCATTTAATACATACTTATTAAATGAGATAACTTTATAATGATTCACAAATTTTTTTTTCAAAGCTCATATAGTTGACCTATTATCACAAATCTAGATCCCCACCGAAGATATCTCATACCTTTATATAAAATTTGCAGAAAATGTCTCATTTAGAGCAAATGTTTATGATAAATAATTTTGTCTTTTCATTTTCAATGTTATTTGCAGGTACAATCAACAATGAATATATAAAGCAGAGGAACGGATAAAAATTAATTTATCCACCAATTTGTAACATTGATAAAAAAAAAATTTTTAAGTCCAAATGAAGTGTAAATTTAAGTATACTCAATCTTTTTACAACTTAGAATATTAAATAAATTTCCACATCTCAACTTGATTGCCTAAATTCTCAAATAAAAAATTCAAATTGAAAAAAAAAGAAAAAACACTTCTTGGAGAGTTCTGATTTTTACACTGAAATCCTCTAAGTATACATACATTCCATTCACTAAATTAGAATAATTTAAATTGTCTTAAAAAACATTCAAATTAAAAAAGTGCAAAAGGGAAGAAGTATGCGATGCATTAAAAATGCACTTTTAATTGTGACATAATAAAAAGAAATCTACCAGAAAAGCATCCGATATTTGAATTTGTACAAAATAATTTAACAGATTACGTAATTTGTACATAGAGTTTAAATAATTTTTCAAATGTTTCTCGGAATATAAAATTAATGGGATAGTAAAAAGGTTGTTAAAAATTACTTTACTTCCTTTGATGACAATCATTAAAATATGTTGATTTTAGTAAGAAGAGTGTTACCTTTAGCACGAAATTAAACAGTCTTATAATTTGCATTATCAACTGGTTAAATTAATTTCAAAATACTGCTTATAATATGCTGCAAAAATTAGGAAAACAAAACCTTATTCTTTCATAACTAGGATATAAAAAGTAATAAGCATACAAATTTAAAGAATAAAATGAAAAATATTCTAGAACAATCCAAAGAAATATATTTTTTAACCATCTAAATAATAATTACTTTATACTTCAAATTGCAGCTACAGATTTGTTTTCTGACATTTGAATAAAATTTTAAGTTTTAAATATTAAAATTTTTTATTGACATTTAGTACAAAATTAAAAATATCAATAATTTAAATTAATATTTAATTTACTAAGAACTTTTTTTATTATTCTTTTTTCTTTAAAAACTGCTGAATCTTGCATTTTTCTTCCTGCTGTTGATGCAGTCAAGTAAATTGAATAATTTATTTAATATATTTAGTTTATGGATGCAGGAAACTATTTTTATTCAAAATTTTCACAACTTTTTATTGAATCGAAAAAATACTAAAAACTGAAACATTACTTTTGACCAAATTGTTACTCAAGTTTTAAGAGAGCAGTTATTTTACTGCAATCAGGAATGAAGCTCACTATATAAAGTTCCTAGGGAACACTTGATCCAATTACTTTAGAAAATAGGCCCTTAAACTTACTCAAATGCTACTCAACACTAAAGCTCAAAATGCTACTTTTAAGAGCTTATCTGAGACTTTTAAGAGCTTATCTGAGAGTTGAATTTCTAACAAAGTGAAAAAAGCAAAAGTAAAATGAAATAAACTAAGCTCTGTTTAAGTTCGAAATTACATTAAACTTCTAAACATATAAAATTATTTTGGTAAAATGTAAAAAAAAACAAAAAAAAAAAAAAAAAAAAAAAAAAAAAAAGAAAAAAAAACATAAAACTATTAAACAATTGAGTTGAAAATGAACAATTATGTTAACTCTACTTATTCTAAAAAACAAATAAATACAAATATAAATTCTTGGGCTTCTATAATGTCTACTCAATTTAATGGTAATTATTTCAGAGGCTTTAAATATTCAAACAAAACAAATGAAAGATTTTCCCTCCTAAATTGCAAAGTTATTTATAAACATTATTAGAATAGTAATTTCAAAGATTTTAAAATGCACTTTGTTGGAATGAATTATTTTACATAAAATAAGAGACAATTTTTTTAAAAAAAATTCGAGTAATACCTTTTAAACGTTTAGCATATTTTAGTATACAGTTGTATGGATGGGCAACATTAAAATTAAACTGAATAGACTTGAGTAAAACATTTTCTAACTTCATCATATCTCCCTAAAAAGAACAAAACTTTATGTGAATAACAATATAGCATGGAAATAATAAATATTTAAATGGATTTTCATTACAGTGTAATAATAATCAAACAAATGTGAATTTGTTTTCTTAAAAAAAAAAAAAAAAAAAAAAAAAATAAAAAAAAAAAANTATACTTAAAAAATTTAATCAAGAATAAAAAGTAAAATAAACTGAAAAATGACAGAAATTTTTATTATGGTTTGATAAAAGAAAATGAATAAAATTTAATAAAATGCACACATATGTTAAAAATTATTGATTATTATTTAAAATGCTTTTATGTGACCACAAAACCAATGAAGTTTCTTCTCTTGTGTTGGCATCAAAGGGCAGAAACAAACTCAGCAATAAACAGGGATGANAAGGCTGAAATTCGAGAGACAAAAGCGAAAAAAATCTCATCCCTGTATAAAGTTCAACCAGTTTTATCCCAAGGAAATGATTTTTAGAGAAACTTCAGATGAAGGAATGAGGACTTCAATAATTTCGCTCCGCGGAAAATTAAATTCCTCATAAAATATTTTAACTTGTGCAAATAACAATTTCAGCGGAAATTAGTGGAAAAAATGGAAAAATCTGAGAAAAAGCGGAAATCCGCGAATCCGCGGAAGAATCTCATCCCTGAATAAACTACGTATTAATGAAGAAAAAAAAGTGAACTGTTCCTATAAATTGCGTAGCATTTTTGCTTTAATTATCTCTCCATATTAAAATATTGTAAGGGCTGCTGGCATTGTTTTGAGTATTCAATCTAACATTACATTTTGTGTTGTTGTGCAAAAACTATAAATCTTAAAAACTTGAAATTACAAACCACACAAGTCGAAAAATGTTTAGGGAACAAAAATGTACTGTACAATGGAAGAAAAAAAATTTAAAATTTGATAACTAATTCGAGAATTATTAACCATTAAACTTGTAGGAAAAAACATCAGACAATCAGTTCAACAGGTCACAGGATTACAACTTCAGAATTAAAACTCGGTAGGCTAAACGGGCCATATTTGTTTATGAAATAAATACAGAGTTTTTTTGCTCACTGAAGATTTGTAGCTCACTGAAATGCAACTATGAAATTAAATTTGACAAGCTGAAATGAGCCATTTGGGAACTTAATGCAAATATAGTTTTGAAATTTCAAATTATTCAAAAGTTATTGCAAATTTAAGTGCTTTTTTATGATTTTTTTCAGACTTTTTGCTTTAATTCTGTGTATGAATAGACAATAAAGGCTGGCTTGTTTTTATAAATTAAAGATAATCTTTTTAATAAAAACTGGACTTTTTCAGATAAGGCCATCTTTTTTGCAATATTGATTCACGGAGCGTTTTTAGTTTCGATTCTGTCAATGTGGAACCTCAGAACTCCCAAATATATAACTGTGTAGGTCCCTGTGGCATAATCACGGCAAAACTGTCACAAAACGTTACAGGGTTCTTGCTGAAAGATTTTTCTTTTGAAAACTAAAGAATTTTGGTTTTCTTTTTTGCATAAATTTTCACATTTTTTTATGCAAAATTTCGTTCAAAAGGTGATAGGAATGCTCGTGATTTTTCTATTCTCATTAGAAAATAAAAAAAGTACATTAATGACTGGCTTCAGCTAGGATTACAAATAAATAATATACATAAAAAAAAAAGCTGAAATCGCGAAAGCCTAAAAGATAGTTCACACTAGACTGAGCAGGGATATGGTTACAAATTTGGTTGAAGTAAAATCGATCCAATATTTTTAATATATTACACACATGAAACTTTCTAACACAAATTTGAATCTTCCCTAAAACTATCGCTCACAGCTTACGCCAATTCCATCATAAATATATAAGGTATTTTGATTATATCTTTTTTGTCTAATTATTACTATGAATCTTTAGTTTTTTAAAAAAATCTTAATGTCTTACATAGCTCAGTTATTATTATTGACATTTTTGTTTACCGAAATACCGATATTATTATGGCATGCTAAGTTATAATTGCAGATTCCATAAATTACTCTTGGATACACTTGGTTTGCGTCAATATCATTGTTAATCCATGATGTGTTGCAATCGTTCTTTCAATAATTATTGATATAAATTTTCAAATTTTTTCTTTAAAAAATAAAATCTTGATGTTTTTTTACACAATTTTACAACGCCTATTTACTTTTAATGTGACGATTTCATTGCTTTTTTGACAATTATTGCTAGTAAAGCTCTGAAAACCAGCAAATTCAGGCATTAATTGCTAGTGCTAACGATTTCCTCAGGGTTTTTAAAATTCCGCTTATCGGTTCATTTTATTTCTACACATAAAATTTGAATCTCCCATTTAAATAATCACTTTGATTTTCACATGGCTTTTAAACTTTCCGATACATTTCAGACAATATGAGAAATTCGAATCACTCATTTGAGTATTTACTTTTTAAAACAATGATTATATCCATTTTATAGCAGTTATTGCTATTAATTTCCACTTAGTCTTTAAAATCCGATATTTTTAATATAACATTATTTATTGTAACTTCGGACTCTCAAAACAAAACACGCATTTTAGTAATCCCTTCTTAAAGAGATTTCGTCATCAATATTATTTTATCTCACAATATTTGAATAAAAGAAACTACATATTAAATTTAAAAAAATAAAGTTTTTTTTTTGTAAACACAGCATTTCTGTTATTTTAAATCAGTAACACATATATTTGATACCATTAAAAACATCTTGCAAAAAGATATTAGAGCTAGAGAGTTTTATGACAGAAAGCATTAAAAAATACGGTCACAGGGGTGTAATCCGCATATGAAAAAAAATTGCAAAGTGGTGGCAAGACTTTGCAACAAATAGAACCAAAAAGGGAGAAATGTTCTAGAAAAAGCCAGGTCCCCCCCTGGTCTGTTATGCCAGTGATGATGCTGATGAAAAATGTTTCTAAGTCATTACACAATACATACAATGAGCATTACTGTCAACTGCCTAGTTAGCTATTTGAAAAACATTTCCGAAACATTACCTTAGGATTTTCACCTAATTCTTTAAATTCCGTTTCTGTAAGTATTTCTTTTGCAGTTCTAATGATGTCTTTGGCTCTTTTAGGTGTTTCTTCAACTTTTCCAGAGAGAAAAAGACAACAACAAGCAGCTAACTAGAAAAAAGAAATATTTATTACATGCACATTAAATATAAAAGAAATATATATTAAAACATTATTTATGTAAAATTTCAATTTAAAGAAATATATGTAGATCACATAAATAATAAAAAGCAAACAAAATAATGATTAATGGCTTATGATTAGGGTTGCAAGTTTGTCGCGGGAAAAAAAGACATAAATTCGCGGGTGATTCGCGCAAAAGTTTTAAAAATTCGCGAAATTTTCGCGGATAACATATGCACTGATATTTACACCGAAAATAAATTTAAAAATAATAAAAAACATTAAAAAGTTACAAAATTTTATTTTTAAGCAATATTAATGCCGTTACTTAAATGTACAGAATTTTGATACAAAATATTATACATGGTTAGGTTATTCTCGCTAATGTTTCTCCTTTCATCACTCAATACATTTTTGTATTTTGAAAAAGATCGTTCGGCATCCACGCTATTAGTTGGTACTGACAAACATCGAATTGCCACTTTAGACAGTTTTGGATAGCGTTCCATCTTCGATTTCCAAAACTGAATTAATTGTCTACTTTCAACGTGTAGTTCATTAACTGTCGCTTTGTAAGCATTAAATTCGTTCTTCAACTCTTCTTCATCCTCAAACATGGGGATAGAGTTAAAAATAAAAGAACTATCATCTTCTTGGAAAACATCTAAGTATTTGAATTGACTAGGATCAAAAGCTCTGCATGCTTTAAAAAAGCTTGATGCTGGTTGACGAAATCTGTGTGTTGTAATATTGCCTTCAAAAAAGTATGCCTGAATTTTTTCCTGGCATGATTTTAAAGCTTTTTTAGATTTCAAGTGCTGGCAGGTTATAGATTTGCTTTTTAAATCTTCAGCAAGATCAGACATTTCATTAAAAATAACATGCAAACTTATTCTTTGTTTTTCATATAAATTTAATAGATTCAAAATTAAAGATGCATATTTTTCAATCTCTCTTGAATCTTCACTCAATTCTGCGTTACAACATTCTTCGGAAATCGTGCTGATCAAAGAACTACTGCTATTTTGTTGCTCTTTATCGAAGAACTCTGCATATTCAGCTAAGTAATTTACGTGAAACAAAGCTGCCTTAAACCAGCTATTCCATCTGGTTTGTACAGGAACCGGTGGTAGAGCGGCGTTTTTACCCTTTTCAACTAAAAAGGCTCGAAATCGACCCTTACGTGAAGGACATGCAGTGAATGCACGCTTTAAATGCACAATAAAAGAATTCACTTTTTCAAATTGATTTTGCCATATTTCTCCTAGGAGATTTAAAAGATGTGCATTGCAAGTCACATGAACAGCATTCAAGAAAACTGCTTTCAAACTTTTTTCCCATGCTTTGTTCATGTAAGACGCATTGTCAGTGACGAAAGATGAAATGGTATTAAAAAATAACTTCAAATTGTGAATAATTTTCATTTAAATCGCGCGAATTGAATAACTTTCGTTCAAATCGCGCAATTTCAAAAAATTCGCGAATTTTTGAAAAAACCTTTCAATTTCGCGGAAACGGTCGCGAAAATTCGTGCCGCGACAAACTTGCAACCCTACTTATGATTATCAAATAATAAAAAATAAAGAATTATTAAAACCCTAAAAAAAACTTGGAAGATCAGCTGAATAAATTATTCAACTTTCTGAATAAATTATTAAAAACTTTTTGATAATTTTTCTAAACAAAAATAAATAAATAAAACAATCAGTTAACTGATGATATACATATAATAATGATTTGCAATAAAATATTGCTTTTCGTAATTAACAACTTATACAGCCTAATTTAATAACTTAACATTGAATTTTTTTTATAAACTCTTCAATTCTTAATATTAAATTCAGTCTAAACACACAATTTCCATATACAAAAAAACAATTTTCCCTTATTTTTTAAATTACAATTGATTTTTTAGTTCAATTAAAATGTCTGGTAGAATTGAAACAAAGATAATTTTGATATAATTAAAAGAAAATTACACATGTACACTTAAGATAAAAATCAATTTTATGAACACTGCCAATAATTCTATTATGTTGAAATTTTAATAAAAATATAAGTTTCTGTTTTTTTTTTTTGAAAAAAAATTAATAAGTACATTTTTTAAAATAAAACAATTATTTCTAGATACATATTTTCTAGAAGGAAAAAACTCAAATTATTACTTAAATGGTACTTTTTCGTTAGCAAGGCTCAAGTAAATTCAATAAGGTTTCTAAGAACGCAAAAAAATTGCAAATAAATAAGTATAAGTAATAAGTTGTATCTTTGTATGTAAGAAAATTAGTAATAACAGAGGATACTAAGAAATTATCATAAAGACACAACATACAATACTTTGACATGATTAACAGTTCCAAAAATGTTACATTCAAGGTTAATTTACAAATGCATGTAAGAATAAGGACATGTGGCTACTAAGAAGAAATTAAAGGAATTTTAATAATTAAATTTAATGTAAAAATATCAATTAACAAGTTTAATAACCTACAAATTATTAAACTTACTGAGTCTACTGATGAAAAATTAAAGAGGTTTTAATTATTAAATTTAATTTCCAAATATAAATTAGCAAGTTTAAAAAAGAAAAGTTGAGTACAGAAGGATGCTTACACACATCCATAAAAAATGTGCATTATATTGACCTAGTCCTTAAAGAAAGAACATAAGGCAACTAAAATGGGAAATTCTACAGGCTCTAGAACTTCTTAGTAAATTTTAGCTAAATATAAAATGGTTAAAATCTCTCTATTCCAGTAAGTATAACAAATTGAATTAACAAAGCTAAAAAGCACTTTTTTTAACCACACATAAAGTAACCAATGACAGAAAATACTGATAACATCTTGAACATTCCTCAATTCTTATGAACTATCTATTATACTAAATTTTGTTAAATTAATATAAATTCTTCTCTGGGATTAAGAAAAAAAGGTTTTAAAAATCAATTTTTATCAGCGGACTAAAAAAAAACTGAGAAAAGAATTGCATTTGTGTTACACTTAAAACAAAAAATATAGAACACACTACTTTTGTAAGACGTGGGAGGAATTTCAGTGGTGATAGAAGTTTATTAAGTGATGCTCTTCATGTTAATGATGTGACAAAAAATAATTATTTTCTTTTGACACCAACAAATAACAAGGTAAATAATGCGTTAATAAAAAATTGGCTAACTTGATCATCTTTCTATTCTCATTATAAGCAATTAAAAAAGATATTTTGTAAATAAAAAAAAAGGTGAATTAAAAGGTGTGACAGAAATGTATCAAGAATAAGACAAAACAGTTTTAAAAAATTGAAAGATTTTAAAATCAGATTAAAGATATATTTTTAATAATTTAAGAGTAACAAGTTAAGCATTTTTTTTATTCATTTACATTATATTTGAATTTAAAAGATATGATCAAAAAAATATTTGGAATTACATTACATTTTACAGTTAACAAAATAGTTTTGAACTTATAACTGAAAAACTAAATGATTAAAAATTAATATGTTTCCAACAACAGTTAGCATAGCAGCCTGATTAAAGAGATAAACATAAATTATAGTGAAGGTTGCTTTACAATCAAGAAACATGATTGATATTAATTAAAAATTACATTACAGGATAAAAAAAAGTTTTTATCTTTCATTTCATGTTTAAACTAAAAACTCACAAGCTCTAAAATTTTTAATCTACATTCCATTTTTGTTCATATAAATTTATTAAAGAATAAAAAGATTTAGAAACTATATAGCTAGCAAATAACTACTTATTCAGCACTGCTGAGTTTTAAACAGAAAACAAAAATTCAGTGCATTCTAACATAAAATTAGATAAATAATTTTAAAAGGAAATAAATGCTATACACTTACATATTTTGAAATACTTTTAAATGAGTAGGACAAATAAAATCTCTGAAAATAAACAATACCAGTAGCAATAGTGGCACACCCTCTTTATAATTAATTAAGGATACTTTTTTTAAAAAAATTAAAAACATACAATAGAAAACAGAAAATAAGATAATTCAAACAAAAAGTTTATTCTTTATCTAGACATTAACTGCAACTGTATATATATACAAAAAATCAATCAACAAAAATATACACCTTTTACTCTTATATTAAACTACTTATAACTAAAATGATTATTTCAAAAATTAATGTTTTTAACTGAAATCCATGTTGTTGCTTATCCTCATAGATCTGACATCAGTCAGATCAACTCCAAAAAGTTGTTGACAGCCAGAAAGTCAATGACGAGAAGGGGATCAGAAATTAAGTCCACCCCAGACAGTCCGACACAATCAAGTATATGTTTCAGCGAGGCTAGTTGGATACAGCATTTTTTACAAGTCGGGTAAATTTTTGTGCCACGTTTGAATGTTAGACATTTTAGATGACCAGTTGAGAATCTGGCCATGGCAGTCTGGGAGCTTTGATCCCAATTGATTCCCAGAAGGGTGACAGGAGATGTTGCAGTGTACCATTGGTGCTGAGGTGGAGTTTGCCAGATTGATTTTTGTCTGTATTTTTCATTGGAGTAAAGTTCCTGATAAGTAAGCGATGACTCAGCGGGTATATCTTCCTCACTGCCCTCTATCTGCTATGTCGTTGCCACCAATATTAACATGTGATGGAATTGAAAGCGTTGAATTGTGATGAACTGAATTGTATGCATTGAAATCCATACCATATTTTATCTATACCATAAAATTTTTCATCAGAAAAGTCTGATTTTTTTTATTTTATTGAAATGTCAAATATTAGATTTTGTGGGCAAGAATATACAATAGAATGTGAACGGAAGGATGGAAAAGTTTCTCTAAAAATAGGAATTTTATAAAATTATTGTAATAGATATTGGAATCATTTAACTTGAATCTCACTAACTGATTACTGTTACTGACAATTTTAAGACTGGTTATTTTCCAGGTATAGTATAGGATTTTTCCACATTTTTTTTAAAAAAATTGCAAATTTCCCTATTTTATAAATTTAAAATAAAATTCTCTGACTATACCAGGTTTTCTCTGACCCACAGGAGCCCCGAATTAAAATAGACTATAGAAATGAGACTTAGAAACTTGCTTTAAACATAACAAATAATTTTATTATATTAAATCTTAATGGCACACTACAATTAATTACGTATTTTGGTGTTGGACGTAAAATGTCAAAAGTACATCTTGGAAATTTTTTGGTAAATCAAAATGCAGGGGTCTGTCTAGGTTTTTCTGAGAGGTACCTATTTTGTGAAAATTTAGACATAATTTGGGAAAAATTAAAAATTGTGTTTAAAAATCCAACACAAAAATATGGCAAGAATATGGATTTATCATTTCTTAAGGAATAAAAAAATAAAATTTTAAGAAAAAGTATTTTGTGAAACTACCATTTTTCCTAAAATTAAATTTGTGAAACTACCGCTAAACGGTAGTAAATTCGGTCTGGACAGACCCCTGAAATGCGAAATGTTTCTACACATTTGTGCAAGATTACCTGTTTTGATACAATTTACTTTAATTATTATTTAAACCATTTTCTATTATTTGACTGAATTTTTCAAAGAAACAGTAAGTGTTAGAAATTCCCTACAATGGTTAAAAATTGCAAATGATGTTCATTTAACAGCCTATAACTTATTGAAAACTAAAATTAATAAGTCAATGTTTCCAAAACTTTAGTTTTTTACCTTGAAAAAGATACCCAGTTAGGTTAAAAATATTAAATTTAAAATATTAAATTTAAAATTATGGTCATCTGGTTGACCTTACCCTGGAATTGCCCTTTAAATTAACAGAGTTTGACTCTAATGTAATGAAGTCTGAGAGTTAAGGGTTTAACACTAGAGAGTTAAGGGTTTAACACTAGTGAAAAGTATAGGGACATTTCTGATTATTTACAGGGTATCTGCTACATTTTAGATTTTTAAATTAATGACTTTTCATAACTAATTCCAAGAATTTTTCATGACTTAACAAAGTTACTATTTTCTCAGACAAAAACACAACAATAAATTTAAAAAAGCATCATAACAACATTATTGAAATGATAGGTATAACCAAAACTGTTATACTCTGCATCTCCATATTTGTAGATTTTAAATTTAAAAATCAGGGTAAAGAAAGAATTGAAACAATAAAATAGCTGAATAAAATGCATAAGCAAATATTTTTCTTTTTCTGCAGGATTATATTGTAAAGATACTTTTCATGTTCATCGGAAAGGAAAGAAATACTCCTGATTTTTCTGTTCTCATTTCGGAATAAAAAAAATTTGCCAATGACTGGCTTGCTTCAGCTAGAATTTTAAATCGATAAAAAAAAATAATAACAAAAATTCCGAAATCACATAAGTTTAAAAGATAATTCGCTCTAAAAATGATGCTTTTCTTTCATTTTTTTTAAAGAAAATTATAAGAACATATTATATTTTAATAAAATATGACTGTGAGTGGGGATTTTGTTACAAATTCAGATATTCAGAACACCATGAAATGGTAAATTTTATTTTAAAAATTAGATTTCTTGGCGACCTAAATTCATGACTTTCCATGAATTTTTTTAAAAAAATAGTTAAAATAATGAAAATTTTTGTTCTATAACGAAAATCATGACTTTCCAGGTGCGCGGATACGCTGTATTTGATATGTGAATTATATTGCAATCATTGAGATCTTATGGAAGACCTTATTTTAAGTTAATATTATAATTACTTTTCAATAAATATGTTTCTATTTTTTAGTTTCGACATTCTACTACACATTCAGTTCTTTACACTACACATGAAAACACATTTTAAAAAGAGTTTTTATTTTCGAGAAAATAAAGGCAATTAATAAAAACTAGAGAGTTATACAACAATAAAAAAGATACAGGCCCATTTGCTTCCCAAGTTCCTGGATAAAGCGAGCTCCTTCTTTCCGACATTTAGCTTCTTTAATAGTATCGAATCCATCTAAAATTGATGGTGTGCATCTAAGCTCTTGCTTTTCAATATACCAATTCAACATACTTTTTAAAGCATCTGAGGGGGAAAAAAAATTATTAATCCCTTGAAATTAAATATATATTACACTTTTTCATTTAATATAATAAAAAGATATCATAGAAACTAACTGGAAAAGCACATAAAGAAAATTAAAAGTTTGCTATATCTGGCATTCTTAATGCATGGCATTTTCCTGGTGTAAAAGCTTAATGCTTTTTGAGGAATAACATGCTATTTTCAAAACTGCTGCGAATTTGCATAACTGTTAAGTCAAGTGTAACCTATATTGAGCCCCTGCCGTCCAAGCTAATTCTGAAAGTCTGTTCATAAGCGCAAAACTCTACCATGAATAAAAGCCAAAGTTTTGAAAAGATGAAAAAGGTTTGTGATTGAATTCTAAATTAAAAAAGTTACTCTAATGCTGTTAAGTTACTCTAATATTTATATAGGCCTATAAATATTTGCAAAAATAAAGAATTAATCATTGATATTGGCAATTATCATTTAGGAGGAAAAATCTTGCCAACTAAGCAATTTTAAAAATATTTAAGCTATTTGTTCATTCGAAAGCTCAGATAATTCTTTACAGGAAGATTGTATAATAATGGTGTAGAGCTTTAACTCAAGTAAAAGGCACCTAAAGGTTGTTTTGCTTTTACTTTTCTTAGTAAAAAAGCATACAAAAATATTATTAAAGGTCTTTCACAAAGTTTTTTAGCAAGAGAAAATAAAAAGTCGAAGTGGAAGCACCTTAAACATGAAGTAAAAGACTAATTTTGAACAGTAATATGTAATTTTCTTGCTTGACGAATAATGTAAACTTTCAAATGGACAAATAGCTAACATATTTTAAAAAATTATTTTATCCTTTAAAAATTAGGCAATTTTGCAAGATCTTTCTACCACGATGAAAATGCTTAAAATTAATTAGTAGCCCTTACCTTTTACCATTTTTAAGAGCTTAAACAATGCAGGACTGAGTAACTTTCATATTAGTAAAAATAAATAAAAAACTGTTTCTTTTCTGTATATTGGTGTTTTTCTTAACTGTATATTGGTGTTTTGCATATTTCTATACATAGCAAGTTTTAGCCCTGAATGACTATTACAAACTCAAAAACATTTCAAACTAGCATATTAGCTAGAAAGCCTTATTTTATTTCATATGATGAAAGAACTTCAAAAGAACAACTTTAAGGATACCTGCTATTGCCTATGTGGCATTCATGCGTTTGTATAAATTATGCATATCTGGGGATTATTATATTCATCAAAAAGTTTTCTAATTGCAGGAACTTTTACATGTTTTTGACCAAACTTTGATGTGCGTAGATAATAAGCCCAAAAATAATGTTGCGGCTCCTAAGAATTTTTTTGCTTTTCATTTTCCAACAATTAGTAAATGTTTAAATTTAATGTCTTAGTTTCACAACAACAAAAAATTCTTTTGAGTATTTGTTCTGAGAGGTCCGAAAACTTAATAATTTAACAATTTAAACAAGAGCATAATTTTAAACTTCCCCACTTGGAACAATCTCTAGCTCTATACAGATTGAAAAAAACTGATGCAGAATTTTATTTTTAATGGAGTAACGTATAGGTAATGAGCAATAACGACAAAAATTAAATGAACACATATTGAAGAATTCACAGTTTACATATTCTCAGATTTTTAAATATTTTTTCTTTAACAGTTTAAACAAAATATTTTATTGATAAAAGAGTTGGATATACAGTGGAGCCCTGATTTTACGTTGTCCGTTTCGTACGTTATCCCGCTTCTTACGTCATTTTCTGCTGATCCGTGAAAATTGTCTATACCGATAATGTTAAAAAATCCCGGATTTTGCGTTACTCCTCTTATGAAAATCCCGTTTGATGCGTTTTTCTACAAACAGATCAAATTTTTTTTTTTATTCTATTCGAAATGGTTTTACTCATTTTTCCGGGCTAGCATACCAAATGAGATTTTCAGTCGGTTTTGTTTGAGTTTGAAAGCTATAGCATTTTTTCTCATTTTCGAAACCTCAGTCATCGTGTTCTTTTCTCGAAAGAAGATGTCGAAACTAAAATGCTTTTCTCTGGCCGAAAAGGCTGAAATCATCTAAAAAGCTAAAGAATTTCATGGCACTAAAGTTGATCTTGCTAAATCTTTGGGTATTGCTTATTCAACTTTACAAATGATTTTAAAGCAAGAAGCTTCAGTAGAACTAAACGCTGAAAAACTCGGAAAATATGCCAAGATGAGAAAAACCCTTTAAACATCTCCGTATGATGAGTTAGAAAACATTTTAATGAACTGGTTCAAGGAAGCCAGAGCAGCAAAGATTCCTATAAATGGATCCATCCTGAGAGAAAAGGCGCTTGAAATTGCTGAAAGGCTTAAACTCCAAGGCTTCAGTGCATCAAATGGCTGGATCGATCGATTAAAAAAAAAAGGGAACAATTTATGCTTCAAATCTATCTGTTGCGAATCCGATAGTGTGGATATGACAATTGTGTAACAGTGGAAAGAAGAAACTCTGCCAAATTTATTAAAGGGCTATAATCCAAGTGACATATTTAATGCGGACGAAACGGGATTGATTTTCAACCCATTGCCAAACAAGACATTGACAATTAAAGGTGAAAATTGCCATGGAGGAAAGCTTTCAAAAATGCGCTTGACTGTTTTGCTCTGTGCAAATGCCGATGGAAGCCAAAAGTTAACGCCTCTTGTGATCGGTAGAGCAGAGAAACCACGGTGTTTCAAAAATATCAAAAGTTTTCCTACCGATTACACTTCAAACAAAAAAGCATGGATGACGCAAGCATTATTTAAAAATTTTCTTCGAAAACTGGATAAGAAAATGAATTTTCAAAAGCGCAACATAATTTTATTCCTAGACCAATGCACTGCTCATTTAAACCTTAAATTGAAAAACATGCGTGCGAAAAACGTGCCAACAGCTGATCAAGCGATACAAAGTATAAAACTCTAAAACAATTTTTACTTGCAAATGTAAATCAAGAAGCAAATTTGCAAAAAAATTGTTAGTATTGAACGAGCTGTATACGAAATTGTAGCTAGAAACGAAAAGCAAGTAAAGATTACTCATTTTTTCCATTAATTTAACTGGTAGGTGTCAACTTTTAAAAATATGCATAGATTTTTCTTAACCCCGATTTTACGTTATTCCGCTTCGAACGTTTTTTATCGCTAGTCCGACAGAAAACGTAAAATCGGGGTTTCACTGTATATTGTCTCAAAAAATAAATAAATTCTCCAAATAGAAGGTACTTTGAAAATAGAATAATTCATTATAATTGGAATACTGATTTCCGATATATTTTCCAGAGGAAGAACAAATATATAACAAAATAGGGAAGAAAGTAGTATAATTTCACAATGAGACTGTACAATTTTATGTTTTAGAAAATAAATAGTTAAAGAATTTATAATATGAAATTAATTTTTTATAGAACATACAAATAAACGAAAATCAGTTAAAAGAAAGTAGTAGGTTTGAAAAGCAAAAAAATTTTCAAGTTAATGCATTTAAGTGTAGAACAAAATATAAATAAAAGAACGAGAATAAATGGTCAATATGCAACACTGATGAATGAAAGTTTATGCTTTTTCAAAAGTTAGAAATCTGAAAGAGAAAAGATACAGTTGCTTCTAATTTTATGAGAAACAGAATCATATTTAGATTTTTAAAAAAATATTGAATAAAAATTCCTTACAGACATCATAAAAGAAATCAATACTATTTTAAATAAACTAAAACATTAGAATAGCAAATTTACACAGTTTGTGTCACGCGCCATATCTACGGCAGAAAATATGAAATGAAAAATAAACAAAACTTGCCGATGAAATCAGCTTTTCGCTACCTATTTCTGTTTCACTCAAGGTTTTCTATAAACCTCAAACAAGGTTTTAAAAATATCCATCTTGCGCGTGATGTTTAGCTTACATTGCATGTGATGTGCTGAGCGCAGAAAGAAGAAAACTTCCTAGAAATATGTCTTTATTTCTGTGTTTCGTCACTTTACTATCTGAAGTAAACAAGGAAAAAATATACAATAATTTCAGCTTTTTTCTATTTTTAAATTTCTTTTAGTTAAGTGACACAACCGGATAGATTCACGTATGTAATGAGTAATATTATATTAAATGAATAACTGTAAAAATAAGATTTGGAAGAATTAGTTTGTTCCATGAATAAGTTTGCAACACGATTTTGGGGGGGAAAAGGAAAATTTTTTTTTAACTTTCCCCTTTTAAACTGACATCTATTTAGTAAGCAAAATGATCTGGATTTTTATTATTATGTATTGGCAATAACACATGAAATTAATATATCAATTGAATTCCCAAATAGACCTTACCATAGACACTTAACTGAAGTTTATTTAGATAGCTTGTAAACGTCTAAATAAAAAATATAAAATTAATTACACATATAAAAAATGATTATTACCCTAGGATAATTCAGAAATATCGCATTAAATTATAGCAATAAATGTGTCTTGAAGAAGACTATTGGTTTGTTCCCAATTATATTTTTCTCTTTGTATTATTTTATTTTATTATTTGTGTTTATATATATAGGAAATAATTAAGAAAGAAAGAAAAAAGATTCAAGTAACGTTAAGAATTTAAGATTTATTAAGTTTGATTAACTATGCATAAACTGCAAGTGCATGGAATTGTTAAAATAAGAAAACTATAAAGAAAACAAGCAAAGAGATAAGAAGAAAAAGGGAAAATGATTTTTAAAACGAAAATTAGAAGTTAATGAATGTTAGAAAATATATAATCATGCCATCACGATTCCAAATTTGTAGTCTTGCGGATAAATAATGTGAGTTTACGTATATAGCTCACACGATTATATTCACCAAAATAGTGCTTTCTTATACTGTATTTGCATAGCCAAAACTATATATGCCAATATAATAGTCTGGAAAGCACTAAAAGAAGTAAGAAATCGATTCCCAAACAAAAAAATTTTTAAAATAAAAGTCACAGATAAATAGTTATTCAGGGTGGTTCGTTTTTTATTTTGCTCCCTGTGCATAAAATTGAAAACTAGTATTTCTGTCTCATTTAATCTCTTAAATCATAAGTTTCCAACTTTTTTCGGATCAACACCTACATAGCATTACAAAATTTTATTTAACATTTTCGGTACAATACACTTTTAACTATATCCCCAATTTGTTAAAAATTACTATTGTCTAATGCATTCATGTCTGAAATAATAATTTTATCAGTTTTTATACAGACAGCTTATACTTAAAAGCGTTTGAATAAAAATAAATTCATTTTTTTTTCACTTTTTAATCTAAATTAAATAATCCATAAAATATTATTTTTTAAACATCAGTTTAATATTTTATATATATGAGTAAAAAATGAGATGTGATTCAAGAATAAAATCTAATCTAGTCAACTTTTAATCTGTCACCAGCGCTCTCTAATACATCTAATACTGAGTCAAACATATTTCAGAATCAATTCAGATAAACAATCAGAAGTACGTAAAGGAAAAAGTGTGAGGCAAAAATATAATAAACTACCGGCCAAAAATTATTTTTGCATCTTTTTTAATTAAAAAAAATGTGTTTGAATAAATCAAAGAGTATATTACTTGTTTTGGAGGAATTAGGACCGATGTTTATTGAGTAGTTAAATGGGCACAGTTTTAATTCCAATCCAATGGTTTATAACTTAATAAACAATGCCCTTTAACTTAATGTGGATGCTGCAGAAATTACTTGCTAAATTAAAAAACAAACAATTTCAAAACAAGTTAACTAGTTAACGATTCAAATTACTAATTTTTTAACATGTACAACAAGTGGGTTTTTCTATAATTTTTGAAGAATATTGTATGGTGGATATGTCATTTTGTATGAAAATTTTAAATACCCAGAAAGTAAGGTCCAAGTTAAAGTCTTTTAGATGTAACCAACTAAATGTTTAATTATTTCAGTTCGATACAGTGTATGTTAAAATTATATACTGATCGCTAATGTAACGAATTAAATGTTGAGTTATGTTATTTAGATACAGTGCATGTTAAAATTATGCACTAATCACTATACATTGAAACGTATTCAATTTTGAACATTTTATTGATATTCACTTTTGTTCGTAGCATGATTACAAACCACGATTTCTAGATCCTCGTTCAAATAAGATACGAGAAGTGGGCCTTAGATTTAACTTAAACTAACCAAAATTTTCTTAGTAAACATTACAGCAAGAAATTTTTTTAAAAATATTTTTATAAATAAGTAAATAAAAATCAAAATAATAAATAAAAATTAAAATAATAAATAAAAGTTAAAGTAATAAATAAAAATTAAAATAATAAATAATAATTAAAATTATAAATAAATTAATTAATAACCTAAAACTACTCTCGTGGCTCAAGTAAAAAGACGCTGAGTTTTCACGAAATTTTTCCATTCTTAACATGGGAACCAGCACTGCTTAATTTGTTCATTTGGAAAATAAGTAGTTACTATTTAGGCCGAATAAACTTAGATACATATTACCAATAGTGTGAATTTTCAGAATAAATTTTTTTCAGAAAATAAATGGAAATTAAAATTAACGAAACTTGTACCTACTGACCTAGAGAACATGCGGGGTGTGAACTCATACGGTGTCACGGGAACATTATTTTCGCACCTTCTTGTAAACATATTTTAAACTTTTTATTCGAGCATTTAATACTTATTATTTCTCCATATTTCTATATTTCAAATTTATTTGTTTTTATATTTTTAGTTAACATTTTTATAAGAAAAGAATGCAATCTTTTTAAAATATGAATTTTTATAACATAAAATAATTTTACTTTTTATTATTAGTACCTATGATTTATTTTAATTTTGCATAAACAACTGTTGTGTGCTTCTTTTTTTAATTGAATGAAATGAAAAGATATATTGTATCGTAGTAAAAGTATACTTAATTGTTTTCTAATTTAATACATTTTTAAATTTTGGGACGTAATCTAACCTAATTAAAAGGAAAAATCCATGTTTAAATTTCTTTTTGATTTCACATTTTATCTAGATAGTACTAATTTTTCTGAATTAAAAAAGTATTAATTTAAATTGCGTTTATTTCTTTATACTTAAAAATATTCTTACTTCACATGTAATTGATGTTTTTAAAACATGATATATTTTATTTAGCTGTAACCTATATAAATAAATCAAAATGTATTTTGTTTGTGTTGTATAATAATGCGCAATTTTTAAACGATCCACACCAAATTTAGTTTAAGTACCAAAGGAAGTAGTTGATTATAGTAATTTTAGACTAAAGAGAGTTTGTTTGACCTCCAAATAATAGCATCATGACAAATGAAACTAAATAGTTAATCTTCATTTTGATTGAATGAATTGCTAAGAACGTGTTTCGCTTAATTAAGAATGTAGACACTGCAAAGACCAATGCAATAAAAAGAAATGGATATGTTCTAGCTATACTAGTTGTGTCGGGATATGTATTTCATTTTTGTGTGAGCTTTCGTATTCTTGATCAAAACCGATATTTTTTCTACCCATAAAAAATGGGCATTTATTTAGCTAGTATGAATAAGACTTTATCTTTATAGTGTTAATATTTTATTTATTGATATTTACAAAAAAAAGAGCATGAAAAGCTTGTTTCGCAGAATCATATTGAAACTTAAAAAATTGTATAAAACTGTATGTATGTACAGAGAAATACAGAGAAATTATGAATATACAGAGAAATATGCAGAGAAATTATGATTAGAGGGTAGGTTTCTCAGCTCTGGAAAATTTATGTTTATCAATTAATTTAAATATTGCAAATAAATTGTTTTCTCAAAGAACTTTGAATATTGAGCTCACAAAAGGTTAGAAAATTAACCTCGCTGTATCAGGTAATTTTGCTTTGTAATTTTAACAAATTTTGCTTTAAGATTCGAAACTTATATTTGTACAAGATATTGCATCAACCCTAAGATAATTTAAATTGCATCAATTATCAATTTGTTGTCATTAATTCTTTTTTGTTTAGAGTTGGCAAAATAATAATAAAAGAAATTTAAAAAATGCTAGCGTTAGAGCCTAAAGAGAATTTTAATTGCACGAGCATAGAGAACATGTCTCCCTACCAATTTTCTTTACTATTTATCAGTTTTTATAATTCACTAATTAGGAAAGTTGGACAGAGAATAATAAATGTGAGTTAAATATTAACAACATTGCGTACTTAGCTGATAGACAAAAAATATTTTGATTTTAAATATGTTATGGAAAATATACACTTTTTTGACAATTTGACAAAAATATCAAACGTTACTCTACACTAATTGAGATGTAAATGCAAGCTTCAATTACGATTGTCGAATCTTAATACTGATTTACTTATTTTAAAATGAATGTATATTTTTGAAAAGAATCATTGAAAAAGGAGGGGGGGAAATCGAGAGAACACTTAAAAAATAACATAAACACCTTTAACTTTTTTTTTTAACTTCAACTTAAATATTATTTGTAATCCGGCAGCCTTCAGAAGTTTTGTGGAGGATTGGAAAATCTTGCGAGAATTTCTCTAACACCAACATACTTCTATTTCTTTTCCTTTTCGAGATTTATAAAATTGGAAAAACGCTATTTTTTTCTCCCTTCTAGTCGTAACAACATCTTTTTAAAGGATTATTTCATGTCCCTGCGAAATACAGTTGACATATTTTCTTTTCGAACATATTAAGCATCCATGGATTTTGTGAAATAGTTTTGAAAAGTACTTTTTTCTGCCGTAGAGCAGATTTTCTTATGTGTTCAATTTTCTTCTTAAAAAATTCAAAATAGTAAATAGAAATATTTTAGG